GTCGTCTTCTTCTTCTTCTTCTTCTTCTTCTTCTTCTCTCTCCTCCTCTCTCTCTCTCTCTCTCTCTCTCTCTCTCTCTCTCTTCCTTCTTTCTCGGTGTTCTTTTCTGCGTTTTTGCGTTTCAGCGCCTTCGGATGATATGAGGGACGTATAGCTCACTTTTCGGTGTTTGATTGGTTCGGGGCACAGTGGATTCGACGGTCAGAGGCAAAGGGAAGGGGTCGACGAAGCAGGAAGCGAAAGAGAACGCGGCGAAGAATACGTATTTCGCCTTGACAGGCCGTGAGCACCTCCTTGCCTCCGTGCCTGCCTTGCCTGCTCCGTTTCCCCACTAACTCCCGTGATACTGGCTTCAGGATATTGAGGAGCCACATGCCGCACGCCCTTGGATGTGGGACGTACGTCACAATCGGAATCGAAATCGGGACGATTGCTTGGAGGGTGAAGGATGGGCGATGTGAAGATGAACGGAACATACAGCATCTATGCGCGATTTTCCCCTTGTTCGTTTTGCTTTGCTTTGCTTTTCATGGGAGGATGGGAACGGTCATAACGGCGGGAGCCGGTCGGAGGAATGTATCACGTATCTTGTGATTGTATGCTTGCTTGTCGTTGTTGTCGTCGTCGTTGTAGGGTCTGTAAAGTGTAGGATGTTATCGGGCTGCAATGTGTAATGTTCAATGAAAAACATCGTTTCGCATCGAAGGAATGTACATATGAGCAGTCGGATCTAACATTAGGGGAAATATGTAGCGGTTCACATCGTGTTTTGGCGATGTGAACTAAACCGATGACAGGTTCAACACTTCGTAAATTTGTCCTGACTTCAGTGTGAACCCCGACGGGAGAGTGGTCTCTTTCCACCTCTCCCCGTTCGCTGTCACGAATCAAAATGGCACCCACAGTCTGGCATGAGCCTCATGTACTGTAGCATCAAGAAGATGCTCAATGTCAAAGGTCATCAATAAGGGGGACGAGATACAAGAAGGACCAGACCCGTCTCGAGAATCGAAACTCAGTGTGAACTGAGTATTATATCCCGCACCGCATCTGACATTTTGAGTTCACACTTTTCGCTGTCAGAATGACGAAAGAAACTGATGTGAACTGCTACATATATGCCCTATTATATGCCGTTTATCGAAGTCGCCTGCGTCGCGTTTTATCATCGCAATCCGTACGCAGTTCAAAAGAGCAGATGTTGCGTGGCGTCAGAAAGGTATATAGCACTAAAGCGCTGTATAATAATTACTTATACATGACGACGACTGCTAACTGGCAGGCTACGTGCTCCCAGTAAATGTCTTTAACCTTCAATTTCCCTGCCCACGCAGCTCCCTCATCCGTTGGCTTGGCTGATTCCGTTCCGCTTGTGCCATGTTATTTTTCCTGGGAAGATACGATCCAGGGGATCGAATCATGATGGTCGGAGGAATATATGCGTGCTTGTCGTTGTCGTTGTCGTCGCCGTCGTTTTTGTGCAGGTCGGTGAGAGGTAGGATGCTGTTGGGTGCAACGTCCAATGGGATCCATCATTCTTCATCGATATCGATGGAGTGGTGAAATGGAATTACTCCGGACATGAATATAGCATAGACACATAGAAGTGAGGCAGGACAGAATGCGAACCAGAAATAAAGCAGTTGAAAACTCAACCACGGACCCATACCGGTACTATAAAACCTATAATCAAACCGCCACCGCCGCCACCTCCCTACCCCCCCTCTTCCACTCATCCCTCCTCATCCCCCTCCCTCCGTTCGTTCCCCTCGCACCGCGACCCTGACCGCCCATAACCAGCTCCTCAATCCTGCCCACCATCCCCATAACCTCTTCCAACCCTCCTCCTCCCCACTCCTGCCCTCCTCCTTGCCCGCCACCGCCACCGCCCTCCTCCCCCCAAACCACCCTCCCGCCCACCTCCCTCCTCACCCTCTCCACCACCTCCCTCGTTCTACTATCACAAACGACCCCATTCCTCCTCATCTCCCCCACCCTCTCCATCACGCCCCTCACGTCCCTAAACCCATCCCACAGTGTAAGGAGGAGTTCGTTGTACGCGGGCGTGGTGCAGCCGAAGACGTAGGAGGGGATGGAGAGGTGTTGGGCGTGGTGGAAGAGGGCGAGGGAGAGGTGCGGGTTGGAGTGTTTGGTGCGGAAGGTGCGCATGAGGTGCGCGAGGAGGTGTGGGTAAGTTGGGGGTTGGAGGATTGGGAGGGCTTTCTTTACTTTCACTTTCACTTTCACTTCCGATTCCGAGTCCGCGGAGGTGTCGAGCGAGGTGTTGCGTTCAGCGGCGATATCCCCCAATGCTTTCCGCGCATCCTCCTCATACCTCACACTCTCCCCAAACACCTCCCTCAACGCCCACTCCACCAACCCCGCATCACTCTCACAAAGCTCGATCTCCTCTTTCTTCCTATCCAACTCCGCGTCCAAATACGAACTTTTATTCCATTTCGACTTGGTCTTGCCGGATTGACGACGGAGGTGGGCGTAGAGCGAGCTGATGGATTGGGAGGTTTTGGAGAGCCCGATGGAGGCGCCTTCGATGGGTGCGAATTCGGCCTCGTCGTCGGCGCTTGCGTTGAACATGGACGAGGATGATGACGTAGACGCGCCCGAGGAGGACTGGGCATCGACGGCATCGAAGATCATGTTGAACATCTGGTCGAACGCGTGGATCTCGCGCGCGGTCATGCTCTGCCGTCGGGGGTTGTTGTGGTTCGGGTTGTGTTTTGAGGAGGGGTTGGGACGCGGGCGTGTGGGGAGGATTTGGGAGGGGAGGAGCGGGAGGTTGTCGATGTCGTGGAAGACTTGGTCCCAAGGGGTGCCGTGGGAAGAAAAGAGGGATTGACTGGGTGAGATGGGAGGATGGAGGGTTAGTATGCGTGCGGTGGTAGAAAAATGTCTTGTTGTTAGCGCATGGAATACAATGGAGTGTTCGCTGGTTGAGCATTGGTGCTTGAACGCGTAAAGTCTTGGACAGAGCCAACCATCATATTCCGAGCCTATCTAACGATCTTCTTGTGCATGCATGTATCTCTCCCAATACAGTTCCGCTACCCGTATACGGACGCGATGATATTCCACAAACGAAGAAAAAAAAACAGAGACGAAGACAGAGAAACACGCACTCTTTAGCAGGCTTCTCCGTAGATTTCGTGGCGTATCCTCGCGTCCGGCATGCAGGACTAGGGCCCAACGCACTGAAATACTGCGAGGATATAAGACGTCGGGGCTGATGAGCTCGCTGGATGAGACTCGGCTGAGCCGGAATGCCGTCGAAGGCGTTGGACGATGAGTCACGCATTTTGAGAGAGGAGGCTGGTAAGAACTGAGAGTCAGGATAGAGATGATGCGACGCTGTAAAGGGGAATATACGGTGAGTGGTAACTTATGGGATACGAAGATGAGGAGACGGACGTGTGATTGAACGGCTGATACGGCCCACTTTTCGGGTGAGCATCTCGAACAGTAGTCAGTACAAGCTCCTGGGATTTGGGTGTCAATTAAGGATGAAAAGGACGATGAAAGGAAGGGATAGGAAGAGATGGATGGTGGCGAACCCCAGCTCTGAGCTTCAGCTCAAAACCTAGCGGTCATCACGTGCCATCGTTCGGTCCCACGGATTATGGTCCGCACAAACACGGAACAAACATGGAACAAACAAAACGCGTCTTCTGTTTGACCGAGAGTGCCCGCCGCTTTCCTTCGCACAACCACTCTCATCGCACGCTGTAACTCACTTGGACTTAACATCCCATTTATCTCTTCCATCATGGCCGCGCCTCAGCAAACCAACTGGCCAGCTCTTTCGCAGGCCCTCGCCACCGTCTCTGCCGAGACCGCACTGATCCCCAACGCCCCTGCCATTGTGCAGAATCAACAATTGCACGCACAGCAACAAGCCTTGGCCCAGCAATTGCAAGCCAGCAATCAACAGACTCAAGCCAGCTTCCAGCAAATCCAAGCCATCCTCCAGCAACTCCAAGCCACCGTCCAGCAAGTCCAAGCCACCGTCCAGCAAGTCCAAGCCAACCAAGCAGAGACAACGACATGGTGCGCCTTTAGCCTAGGCAGTTCATTCATCGTTGTTTGGCATGGTGCTCAACTTATCCCCATTAGCCTTGATGGCATGCCGGCGAGGATTGCAAATGCCACCTGTGAGCTACAACTGCCCCTTGCCTACCCGCCCCTCCCAAACAACGCAGCACAGCCGGTAGGCCCGGGAGGTCCCATGCCGTGGACCAAACTGGATATCATCAACTACACCGGTCAGCCCTTGGTTGTCTTTATCTCTCCAATTCATCCTGGCTCATCAGAGTCCCCACCTTTCATTAGCTCCTCAAGCTGCAGATGCCTTGGCAGCTCTTGGGCTTCCCCCTCAGCACACTCTTATTCTACGCAGACAATCACTGGCTCGTTTCTTTGGTTTCGTGTTGTAAATGTATTTTCTTTGTTTTATATCGCCTCTCTGCCCTGTACTCTGGTGTATAGGGTTAATTTCATGATTATGTATTGTTTCCTCTCATTTGAGTATTATAACGTTCCAGCTGTAGCTTATGTCAGACTCCATCCCCTGTCTCCTGTTCACTTTCCCATCTCACCATCAATTATCCCTCGCCTTGTCTGTTGAGTTCAACCGTCAATGCAATGTTTTGGTCTTCTTGGTTTCTTTAAACGATCATTGGCTTCAATTCAGAGATGGTTCGAGTTGGGCCACACAAGTTGGCAGCGCCTGACCGTGGACTATCGTTCTTTGCCGTGACCTGAGATCGAACGACTGAGCGTAGGCGTCATATGGCCGACTTTTCGGGTGAGCATCTTGGGTAGGACTCAGTACACAATCTCGAGCAAAGACTTAGAGCTCCTGGACTTTCGACGTCGGGAATATTTGAAAGGACGAAGAAGGGATGAACGGTGGCGAACCCTGAAATAGGGTTATGGTCTCACATTTGACAATACAACGAAAACCAAGATGGAACAAAGAAATACAAGACACCTCCGTCCTTTCTCTCATCGCTCGGAACAAGTAAATTCGACCGCCTTTCCTGCCATGGCCGCTCCTCTCGCCCAACAGATGCAGCCCATACAAGAACAGATCCAAACCAACTTCCGAGAGACTCAAGCCAACTTCGACCAGATGTTTAAACAGATGCATGCCTGCAACACGGGGCTTGTAGCAAAGTAAGGTGCACCTCTTGATTCTCTATCAATTTCATTTATCACTCACCGTTCGCGTTCGCGTTCGACTTGACATTTCACTCATCCCATACATAGCATCGACGGCGGACGCCTTGCCCGCCCGCATCGTCAATGCCACCCGCGAGCCCATCTTCCCCTCTTCTACCTCGGCCTCAGGCTCCCCAATGACGCCGCCTGGCCCACGGGCACGGGAGGCCCTATGCCGTGGTCAAAGCTCGATATCATGAACTACGACGGTACGTTTTCCGCCCCTTTCTTTGTCCAATTCCCTCCCTCTCTTCCCCCAATTTGAACCTCATCTCATCCCCACGCGTGATGATTATACTAGAACCCGGAGCAGAAGCCGCATTGGCCCCCCTTGGACTCCCTTTGAATCCCCAGGATACCCTCGCTCTGCGCAAACGCTCGCTCGCTCGTTTCTTCGGGTTTTATCTCTGAACAGTCTGTGTTCGTTCTCTCGCTGTGGGAGTCTTCACTTCGATTTCTTGCTGCGAGGGTCTCCTGACTGGCGTTGTGGTCTGGCTTCTGCCTCTGTGGTGGGTATGTCATTATTGTGTATCGTTCATCTCTCTCTCTCGAGCATCGAGCATTGTATCTGTGACACGGTAATTATCCCGACTGTATCTCTAGGCAGGCGCCGGGTTTCGTCCCACTGTTACTGTTTCAACCATAGAATGTATCCTTGATATATATCTCCTCGCTTGTATTCTCATCTTCTCATCTCCAACCTGTACTGTCAATGCCATGTAAGTGCTGTGCTGTGTGTTGGTACTGGCAAGTGGGGACAGGAGGGAGCCGGGAACAAGGCTGAGTGGCTGAAAATCTGCGGAGTGCAGAAAACACGTGGACATTGAAAGTCAGAAAGTTGAACCCTCCACAGCGCGTAATTTGCCGTTCGACTGCCATTGCTCTTTGCACCTTGCAACTCTACAGTGTCTAGTCTGTCTTTCTTCGCCCTTCGGGTGCTGTCTATGAACCTCGCAAAGCCAAGAACAAATACAGAATCGTAATTGGTCTCATAAAACCCGTCTTGATTCAAGTCGGTCTAGAAGATGGTCAACTTGGACGATGTCCGGACTATCGAGACCGACTCCTTTCTGGACCACATCCTTAACTGGACGAATGCTGACAACGACGTCTTCAACGTCTTCAACACACTCAATGCAACAAATTTGACCCAGTGGCTTTCCTTGCCGTTAGCGACGGATCCGAACTTGCTGGAAGAGGATATGGACTTGCTCTACTCTGCGTTCGCGGATACCGCGAACGCAATTGTCGGTGCCTGCAGCGCTACGAATCCTAGAGTTGAACTCGCACTTGATGTCTCCTGGCACGCGAGTCCCATAAAAGCGCGATTCACCCTGGCTTACTGGCCTTTATCGGACTAGGGGACGCACTAGATGAGTTCAAGAGACTCGAAGCGCAGATTTGGGAGCTCGAGCGTCAACTGTTCTCTGGACCGGAGGGGACTGAGACTGAGGCTGAGAATGAAAAATCAAAGCTTCAGGTGTGTCCATTCTTTTTTCGATTCGATCCAAGCACCTCTAAATATTCCGCCTCGTCGCTTTGTATCAGCATAAGGAGTTGCGTCGTAAATTCGATTTACGGTGGCTGTGCACCCACGTTCCTGTCGAAATCAAAGCGACGAACGGCAAGGAGGAGATGCTATCAGGGATCGTTCAACTTTCCCGTTACATGCAGACGATGCTCGCCAAGCAACTCGACCGGCGCTTCGCTATAGGACTTCTCCTGTGCGACTCGAAGCTCACGGTATGGTTGTGCGACCGCTCTGGGTTGGTCGGAACGCGCACTGCAATCGACATACATGACGTACGTTTGTTTGTGTTCCTTATCTGTTTTCACCTACTTACTCCAACGGGATGTTTTATTTTTATCTTTTTGTTCTTCGTTTGCTGTGCACAGGAGCCTGAGAAGTTCATCCAAGTCATCATATCTCTGTCTCGTCTCAATCCCTCAAGACTCGGTTATGACACCACGATGCGTATCTATCGCATGGACACGGCCACGTATCACCTCTCCACAGACAGCGACGTGAACGTCGCCGATTACGGCGCGAGCCCGCACGAAACGACTTGGGCTATCCAAGGCCCGCGATCTGACGGGACCGAGGGCGAACTTGACGTGTACCTGACGGTCAAAGCGATCTGTACCGCGCGAGTTTCGCAGGTGATGGACGGGCCAGTGACGATTGTGTGGTTTGTTGTGAACGAGAGAACCATGGAGGTGAGGTCTCTCGTGGTACGTATATTATATTGACTGATCAAATATACTGACCTCGCCTACGACATAGCGTTTTGTGCTCAAACAGTCGTGGCGGGAGGAGACGTCGGAGACTGAAGCAACGTTCCATAAATCCCAGTCCGAGCCGCCCTCTTCTCACATCTGTGATATCGTCAACTCGGTGGAGATCAGAGTCATGGACAATGAGCAGGGAATCATGGTGGTCGCCGACACGCTCAATCATATTCGTCGCGGCGTGGAGGTCCACGGCGGGCCCACTTCGTATCCTGAACATTATTCCGACGTAGAATTCGGACGCCGACCGGTGACGAACCGCGTCTTGACGTGTACTTTGATGAGGACGTACGGGTGGCCTGTCAGATTCTTCAAAGACGTTCACGAGCTTGTCAATACCCTAATTGATGCCGTGAAAGGTGAGCATCCCTCAAGCTCTTCGAATGTTATGAGCATCCTGCTGGCAGCGTATTGACTGCATGTATGTAGGGCACCGCGATTACTGGTTCAGTCTTATGCTTCATCGAGACGTCAGTACCGGCAACGTGCTTATCTGTCCGATGTCCGATATCGATATCGAACATACCTCTGGTAAACTCATCGACCTCGATGATTCGAAAAGGTCAGAGAAGTGCGTGGAGTACCCAGCGTTGACGGACAAGATCACCCAGGATGAGGCAGAAGCTATGGTTGTGATCATTAAGACCAGGTACTCAGTGTCTGTATCCACCGATATCGCTCACATCCTCAAGTTCCGTTACGGATCTCATTGGATGGCATATCTCGCTCAAGTTTTTGAGACAGTACCGCGCCCCATCGCCTCCACAGAAACGGTAATTTATGCTGTTGTTTTGATCATACTCCAGAAACTCACCCAATAACTTAGCTGACGATGCAAGACCTATTCCTGGAGACACCTTCCGTGAGCTTTCATGCTGACCGTCCAACTAATGTCTTAACTCACTATCGTCCTCTAGAATGCCCCTCCTTCCTGGGATGGGTATCTTCCACATACAAGACATAGAACGGTGAGCAAACAGACTCATTCACATGTCACCTTCCGCCTGACCCGAATATTTCGCTACAGGGCACTAGGGCTTTCATGAGCGGCGAAATTATACACGATCGTTATCTCGGTACCGACATTGCGGGGCGGAAGGGCCCGCTGGTTCACAGCGCCATTCATGATCTCGAGTCTTTCTTCTGGGTCCTTCTTCATCTTTGCCTCACACGTGACGGTCCTGGCGGAGGACTTCGAGATGAGCTATCCAGCGACGACCCATTGACCGCTGGGACCAGGCCTTTATATGCCGCCGTTTACTGTCTATTCGACTCCGAGGACGATCAGGTTCTATACGACAACAAACAGCATCTCTTTGATAAACTTGAAGAGCTCCGCACAATCATCCTAAAGTGCATACACCCGTACTTTGAGCCTTTGAAGGATCTCCTCGCCAGGTGGTGGACGACCATTCGCTTTGGATACATCACCTACGACGACTATGCGGCGGGAAGCATACATGACCGTATTCTCGCGGTCTTCGAGGACGAGCTCGGGAAGATACAGTCGAACCCTGACTTGCATTCGAATCTGGACGCCGACGAGGTTGCGCGCATGGAGGATAAGAAGGAGAAGGAGATTTGGGGAAGGAAGGACGACCTCGAATTCATTCAACGCCGGGTTAGCCAACTTGGAGAGAGCTTAAAGAGGCGATCGCTGTGTGGGCAGGAAAAGGTCGGGGATGGCATCTGCTAGGATTGTGTAGCCTGGCCATTTGTGGTCGTATTATATAGTCGTCGTACAGTGCTTCAAAGGTATCTTCCGACGCCACGCAACAATCACTCTTTCGAAGCACGTTTGGATTGCGTTGGTACAATGCGGTAAAGTCGAATTCGATACACGTTGTACAGAGTGAAAACAGGAGGGGATGGTGGCAAAGTGGCGAACCTTTGAGTCGGGTTAAGGTTCAAATTGGGCCACATCCACAAAATGATAATGTTGAACACCGCGTTGACCAACAGCTTCGTACCACGATCTACTCTCATTCTTCGCTGCCCGATTGTTGTATATGTGCCTTGCATAGTCCAGAGATGCTCAAGTGTTCCATAAAGTGTATCTCAGGCTCTCCCATAGCGGCTTCAATCTGGTCTAGGGTCTATTGTTATGCACTGGCACAGCAGGCGTGCGTCTCTTCGCTTCATTGGCAGCCTCGTGTTACTAGCTTTGAAAGGGACTTACAGCTGAATGTCCTTAGTCTCAAAGCGTAAACCGGAATCATATAGTTTCGTGCCTTGCACGTTGTACGTAGCAATATCCATCGATGCGGCACCTGGCACCTCACGATGATAGATAGCTCTCATTGACAGTCTCTTTTGTTCTGCTCTCCAGGCTCGGACCGGATTCGGTACTCTGTACTCGAATGCGCACCAGCGAACAAAGCCGCAACGTGGCACCGACCATATCGCAATGTCCAGAACAAGACGAGGAATGAAAAGCGGTCTCTGGGTACAGAGAGTATAAAAGACGAAGGCGCATAACATAGGAGTTCACCGTTTCCGTTTCCATCGTTTCCGCCATCAATCCATCGTCCCATCACGAACCCAGGCCCCCAAACACGATAATATAGAAGATAAAAGAATGACGAGCGGTTATCCTCTCCCTCTTATCACTATGACTTGTGGCTCGGACGTCGCTCTTGAGAGCATGGAGTACGTCTTCCCTCAATCTACACTCGACACCGCTGGGTTTGACGCTGATGCTCATGACTATGACTATGCTGACTGTGGTACGCGGCGAAATAGCGCTCGACGAGCGATTCCGTATGAGATGGGGTTCATGAAGGTACTTACAACCCTTCCCTTTGTTCAAGTTCCCATGCCCCCACCTTTCATCGCAATGCTGACTCTCGATCCATCTATCCATCGTCATCGCCAATGTACACAGAACGTCCTCCTCCGGGCCCTGAACAACATCTATTCTCTCGGTGTCTCCGACGACATAATGACGCAGAAAGCAGAGTTTGAGAAATATATCGTTGGTGTATGTGGAGTTTTGTTAGTTCATATTCAAGGTGCGTGTATGTCTTCTTCTTTGTACTCTAGATGCGATACCGCCGCTTGGCGTGAACCTTTCATCGAAGACCAGGCTGATACTAACTTCATATGTGGCGTGTGGCGTGGCTAGGTGACATCAACTTCTTCACCACCCCAAGCCAATCCGGGATCGTCCTCTCCGACGAGGCCGTACTCGGGAACGAATGTCTTCCTGAATTGAAAGATATTGTGGAGGATGTGAAGAGGTTGCAGGAGGTTCTGCGTGGATGGGTCGAGGTGCGTTCTCATTTTCTTCCTACCGTTGTATCGCCCCGTTTGATCATCGCGTCTTGCCTTGCCTTTTCGTCGCTGATGTTCCAACACGCTCGGATTGATCAGTCTGGCGACTACGATTCCTCGCAGCTGCTCGACCTCCTCGCATTTGGGCCCGACCTGGCCAAGAGGATGCACGCGCAAGTCAATGCTGTGGATGTGGATCGTTTGATCGAAGTCGTTGATGAGGAGGAGGTCAAGGAGATGTTGAGCGGTATGTTCATTCAACCTTCGATTTTTATAGAGTCTGTGGTCCCTGACCCAGTTGGATGAACGCGTACAGCGAACGTGGAGTGGTTCGCAGGACATAACGACCTGCCTTTCCTCATCCCGTACATCTCCCTCTCCTCTATTCCTTCACCGTGTACTCATAGCCATGTCATATCTCGTGTACAAACATATATAGGTTCCTCCAGGCCCATCACGATATCGAGACCTCGAGCCATTGGCCTCCTATCACCGAAGAAGGAAGACAGGTGTTGCCGGTCTTGGCGGAGCAGTATGCTGGGTACGTCGACACGCTCCCCTTCTTCACCCAACCGTCACCCCTTATGGCTCCGGGGTGATTTTGTGCTGATTGTATCCCGATTCCCTATGTGCAGATGTTGGCGTTTGGCACCGTTCAGCCCGTTCGGGGGTCCTCGTTGCTGAGCACTCGGACTCTTCAAACCCATCCTACATCCATGTTCGTTGGTTCCTCCTTCCTTGATTGTTGGTTTGATCGTGTGGATTTTTGGGGTGTTTTACCGATTATTGTTGAGTGTGGTGTTACTGCAATGCTCTGTAATCTGTATACTGTAATTTATCTCTAGCTGCAAAGTTACACTGGGCGTAAATTTCCTTGTCTTAACGAATTCGTCGTCCTAATCCCGGTCCGAACTTCCAAACTGTAATGGTATTCTTTAAGATAGCGTGGGCGACCTACGATGGTAAGAGGCGTCCTCATCCAACAAATATCACCTCGGGACATGAAAATGTCGCAAATCGAGGAGTATGTCCTGTCTCTATACCACCAAGAGCATCGGTTGGTAATGGTATCCCCTCCTTCCGTAACAGAGACAATACGTAGCTGACCTGCGGACAGGCATGATGTGCAATGCGAGAAACCCCTTCGACAATATATGGATCGGTTTGCTCGACCGCCCAATGGTGCTAAAATCCGAGAGGGGGATCATTCAGCAGTCAACCATTTGGAACACCACCTTAGTCATGATGATCTTTATTCGAGCCGTGATATTACAGTTGACGCCAATCACTTTCGAGACAACGATAACACTCGCTGCAAAATATAGGACGGAGTCATCCACGAGATATTCAGCAGATAGATGGCAAACACACCGGGGGAAGTAGATCAGCGCGTCAACAACACTCGCAAATATTTCTCAACCGCAGTAATATCCTCGAGACTATCAGAGCAACATACCCGTCTGGTCTAACGATCACGACAGCTCCCTCAGACCGAACGCGATAGGCTTCATACATCATCCCACCTTTGGTTTTCGTAGCATCTTGCGCATCAAGCAATACTCTATGAACGTCCCAAAAATCCGCACATGAGTGAAAACAACGCAGACGAAAGACATAAGACGTACTTCGTCCAGCGAGACCTTAGAACAGCCGGAACGTCGAAATACTCGGACGTCTCTTTCTCCCCATGAGGATGCACAAGAAGTCGAACTCCTTGTCGCGATGGTCGCGAATCGCGAATGACGAAGTGTTCTGCTCGGCGAACCGTTTGACCCGCTCGGACGCAGCTGATGTATACACATCTCCAATGAAATCGAGAATTTTGAAGCGTGTGTCTGATGGAGAAAGTCCTTGAATTTCGACTGGCTGGTCGCTTCCCGCATAAAGAACAGCCCGGGGTGGAAGACACCGAAGATGATTGACACTTATTTGAGTGTTAGATATGACGATTGTAGTATATGTCGCACCATAATAATACACTCGCAGGACGGCAAGTCCGATGTTCATGCTCATCTCGTAGAGAAGTAGATGACAAAATGTTCCAGACGCAAAGCTAAGCCAAGCCATCATCTCCACACCGTTGACCAAAACGTTATCTTTGAGCATCGAAACCAGCCGTTCCGTGGGGGGGGGGGGGGGGCATCCGTAACGGAATAAGATGTGCTCCAAAGTGGGTGTGACATTCGGTGTCGGCCAAACTCTGAGGTGATCCAAAGTGATCCGGTCTGAAGCATCTGGGGACGCCTGACTGTGATGCGTCAGACAGAATGAGACGACGGAGAGAAGCACACAGTGAGATACAATGGCAGCGTTCATGTGTGAGATACTGAATAACTCGAGAGAAAAGCTATGCCAATCGAAAGCCGAGCCTAGTGTAGAGCATGCATCATGGGACGAAGGCAAGACGAGACTCGGAGAGCAAGTAGTACTTAGGGCACAATTCAGACTCCGCGGAGAAGTCCGATGGTGGATAGGGGCGCCACGGTGGCACTCATGGTACTCTGTGCTCCGGGAGGCTGCGGTGGCTCGCACTGTTGAAGTCCGAAGCTACGCGTAAGCCTGAGAGTCCCTCGGTTCTTAGAATTTTGAGCCATGCACTGCCCCCAGGTCTCAGTGCAAGCGCCGAACCGTATGCACAAATACGACGCTCCCAGCGCTCCTTGCTCTTAACCTTGCCCGTATCGTGAAATTCTCCTCAGTACCACAACGCAAGACATATCGTCATGTCCAGAAACCATTTGGACCCAGATTTCGAGTACGTTCCGCCTCTATCCCAATTAGAGTTGTTTCGACTGATATGACTTGTGCTCCTATTCTGACCACATAGATCTTCGAGGCCTGCCAGTGCGCCCTCATACCTGTCCGACTCGAATGCAGATGGACTGACAGCGAGACTCTCAGGTATGTATACCGTCCATGACCCCTTGCCCTCAGACTAAGGTGCATGTTTTGCTTGCAGACGTTGTAGTTTTGGCTGGTCTGAATGAGAAAAATCTGTCCACGACCCATCTGGAGGTTGCCATCAATGGCGGGACAGCTCAGACGAGCGCTGTTGTCGAGGATTCTGCCAATCCGAAATGGCTCCAGACAAGTGAAAGCATGCTATTGTGAGAGTTCTGCAAAAGATACAGATGTATGTAGACATTACTGAAACGGATGTCTCCAAGTACAAACGTACACCCTTCATCCACTCTGCACGTTCGACTTCTCCGGAAGAGTCGCCTTGGGCGCTTAGGAAACCGTCGTCTTCTTGGAGAGTATCGGGGCTTGGTATTTGAACTCCTGTCGGAAGGTACGTCCATATTCATCCAGTATTTTGATCCGCACACGTCTGAGTTGACAGAGACAGAGACAAAAGGAAAAACGGTCGAACTGACCAAACCCAATGACCCAAAACCGGGGGCCATCAAGTTATCATTTCATCTGATCATCAACGATAGTCCTCCGGCATCTCTCGAGGAACTCGGATTAGACGCTGTCACGGTTTCTCTCGCTGATACTCGATTGGCTCTCGTGCGGCTCCAAGCTGGAACCACCGCATTGACGGTCTCCAACACTGTGGACACTGCGATCTCTGTAGAAAGCCATGCTCAGTCAGTGACTGAAGGTGCAAAGAACCTCGACAGTGAACAGGTGATCGGGATTCTGGTGGCAACATTGGACGCCGTGATCAGTGTGGGAGACGAGCTAGCCACGGTATGTTTTTCTTATTGGCGATGGGTACCTCCGTGAATATTGTATATAAGTCACTGTGTCGTACAGGCACATCCGGTGATCAAAGTTGCTTGGACTGCCATAACCTATCTCTACAAGGTTGGTCTTTGACTGCCGATAAGTCGATTAATTCCTGGTGGCTGATTTATTCCTGGGCTTGGCGGTGGCTCACAGGCTTGCAAGAACCAGCAGGAGCTTGACGAAGAGGCTCGACAGCTGGCGGAAGATATTTCTGTCATGCTTGCTTACGTGGCTGCATGCAAGGATCTACAGCCAGTGGATGGAACAGAGAATATCATCTTACGGGCTGTGCGCTTGACTCAGGAGGGTGTTTGCCTGATAGATCTGTTTTTTAGGCAGCATAATTTTGCAGGTAGCATGCTTGCACGTTTCTCACAGTCAAGATTGAAACTCATTTAATGTCCTGATAAAGTGCGTGCAATCATCGCCCCATTCGCCGACACGAAGAGCCACCTGGAAGAGTGTCGACGCAAGGTGTGCAAGTTGCGGCAAGAATTCGACACTGCTATCGTAGTTGATATCTGGAAGCGAGGCGTGTGCTTTATTTCGGGTTCGCCTTTTACAGGCCTAATCGAATACACACAGACCAGGACGTCAGGACGCAAAAAGCGTTGCAAGATCAGAAGATCGTATTGTTGCAGCTGCCCTTTGCCAAAGATGCGACTTGGGATTCTAGCCAAGCTTGCATGCCCGGAACTCGTACTGCTCTGCTGGAGAACTTCTGGTCTTGGTTCTACACTGATTCCGATAAAACGAGCATCTCCGTGCTCACGGCACCTCCAGGGGCTGGAAAGACTGCCTTTGCGCATAAAGTCGCTTATGATGCGTCAGATTCGGGGATAACCATCCTCTCGTTCTTCTTTGACCGCACATTCGACAATAGGAATCATCCGCGAGCCTTCGTAGGAACCATCATCCACCTCCTCAGCGGCCTCAATCCGCAGTTCATGACCTCTCTCTGTAGCACTCTAGATACGAAGCTAGAGCTTACAGCCGCGTCACCTGTGCGCCAGTTCAACGAGCTTGTAGTGAAGCACGCTGCTACATTTGCCAATCAGCACATACTTTTGATCATAGATGCTTTGGATGAATGCTCGGAGCATAGTGACGATCTCATGGCTATTATTCGTGACCAGCTCCCTGCGCTTCCTCCGTCTTTTCGTGTCTTGGTTACTTCCCGGTCAGAGAAGCCTCTCCTTCGACGCATGCAATCAATACAACATGTTCACCATCTCACAGTCGAGCTCGACGGTGCAGAGAACCGAGCGGACATATCCACCTATGTCCGTAAACGATTTCATGTAATTGCGTTTGAACACGGCTTAAAAAACTCGTGGCCTGGCGAGGAGCGATTTCAGTCCTTCGTTGAGAAAGCCGGTGGTCTCTTCGCTTGGGCATCCGTGGCTCTCGACTATATTGGGCGAGCCAAACTCTTCGGACGAGACGAAAAGCTTAAAGACATCCTCTCGCAACGGTGTACACTCATCACACCTGTTCAGGAACGGATGGATGAACTATATATAACTGTCCTCGGGGCGTGCGAGTGGGGTGATGTCGACTTCGTCCAAGGCTATCAGCATGTCATGGGCTCCATGGTGGCTTTACGGCAGCCCTTGTCGAAATCATCTCTAGAGAGTCTTTTGAACAACACGACTGGTGTTGTCGTTGAAGTCCTCGACATTCTGTCGCCACTCTTCACTGAGTGGAAGACGGATGATACACCGATTCAGCTCCTTCACCTTACGCTCCACGAATTCCTCGTTCAACAGGACCGATCTCATGCATACTTCATTGACGATGTCAAACATTCTCGCAGGCTCGGACTGCGATGCTTAGCCATTCTTACAAATACGTTCGAGGGTGGACTGCCTGGTCTGGGCTACGCCTCGTCCTGGGATCCACACATTGTTCGACCTCTTCCGTCGATCTCCATTCTCGAGAGTGTTGCATACGCGTGTCGATACTGGATAGAGCACATCTCCCTTGTGCAATCTCCTATAGAGCAGGAGTATGTGGATGCACTTGAGATGCTCTCGCCTTATGTTATCTCCTGGGTGGAGCTTACAAGTCTCAGCGGCGCATTTCCAGTTCTCACCGAGCTACGGGAAAAGATTATGGTATGTGTTCTTCTCTCAAACACTAACTCAATACCTAACGCTAATGTGGACTGTATGTACAGGTTCTTGGCCTGGAAGACACAGAACTTGCGAAAAGTCTCTCCTCCTCCACGTTTGCAAATTCTCTGTCCAAACTCTCCAACTGTCTCACAGATGTTGGTCGACGAGAGGATTCCTTGAGGGCTATTGATGAAGCGGTTTACATTCACCGCCAGCTTGTGAAAACCCACCCCGATGTATTTGACCCTGATCTTGCCGGATCTCTCACTAATCTCTCAGCCCGTCTGCTACGTGTCGGTCGTCGTGAGGATGCTTTGAAAGCGATCGAAGAGGCGGTTCATATGTATCGTGAGCTTGTGCAGGTCCGCCCTGAGGTTCTCAAGCCACAGCTAGCCATATCTCTCATTAACCTCTCATTAGTCCTGTCGAGTGTTGATCGTCGAGATAGCGCTTTGCAAGTGAGCAGAGAGACTGTTCAGGTTTACCGCCAACTCGTCCAGGACCGTCCTCACGCATTCAGTCCCAACCTTGCCTTGTCTCTCAACAACCTCTCTAATTATCTGGAAGATGTTGGCCTTCCAGAGGAGGGTTTGACAGTGGCCGAGGAAGCGGTTCAAATTTACCGAGAGCTTGTGCATGACCGTCCCGGAGCATTCAATCCTGACCTCGCCAGAGCTCTCAACACCCTCTCAAGCCGACTTGCAAGCATTGGTCGTCCAGAGGATGGCCTCAAAACGAGTGAAGAGGCAGTCCACATTTACCGCGAGATCGTACAGGACCATGCCCAAGCATTCAATCCAGATTTCGCCTCGTCTCTCCATAAGCTCTCCTGCCGATATTCAGATATCGGTCGTCGAGAAGACTCGTCGAAGGCGATTGAAGAAGCGATTGACATATATCGCCAGCTGTCACAGGACAATGCTGAGGCATTCAATCCAAGCCTCGCCAAATGTCTCAACGATCTCTCGAGTAGATTGGCAGATGATGGTCATCGAGAGGATGCATTGAAGGCAATTGAAGAAGCCGTTGAGATCCGCCGCCAGCTCATGAAACACCACCCTGGAATATTCAATGCGGACCTTGCTGGATCTCTGATTAATCTCTCAACCCGGTCTAAAGACCTCGATCGTCGAGAGGATGCTTTGAGTGCGATCGAGGAAGCAGTTCACGTCTATCGTCAACTCGCACAGGACCGTCCCAAGGTATTCAAATTCTATCTCGCCATATCTCTTAACAACCTCTCCGTGTGTTTTGCAGCAGCGGGTCGTCAAGAGGAGGCTCTGAGATCTATCGAGGAGGCGGTTCCCATGTGCCGCCAGCTTGCGCAGGACCGCCCAAATACATTCAATCAGTATCTTCCAGAATTTCTCAACACCTTTTCCAGTCGCTTGGTAGATGTTGGCCGTCGAGAAGACGCCTTTAAGGCGATAGAGGAAGCAGTCCTCATCCTTCGACAGCTCGCACAGGAGCGCCCCAATGTATTCAATCCAAAGCTCGCTGAGTCACTGCGCGACCTCTCCAACTGGTTTGCGGATCCCGATCATCTAGAAGATGGGCTGAGGGCGATAGAAGAAGCGGTTGGTATTTACCGCGAGCTGGCGAAGAACCTCCCCAAAGCATTCAGTCGCGATCTTGCCTTGGCTCTTAACAGCCTTTCAGCTCGCCTTGCAAGTGTCGGTCGTAGAGAAGATGCTTTGGAGGCAATCGAGGAAGCGGTTCGTATCCACCGCCAGCTCGCGCACGACCTTCCCGTTACATTCAATCCAGAACTTGTCTTCTCGCTTTGCATCCTTTCCTGCAGGTATCATGATTCCAATCGCCCGGACGACACCTTACGAGCCGCGACAGAGTGCCTTGCACTTTATCGGCCCTCTCCCGGAAGGAGACTGACGGTGCTTCTCCAAGATACAACAAATGTACTCCAGCAAGTGGCAAATGCCATGCGTCGATTAGGTCATATAGAGGAGGCAAACGAGTTTGTTTCTCTAGCAGAGTCACTGAAGAGGCCGGGAAAACAGTCGGCGGCGAAAGAGACTTCTAATGCGTAGACCAGGTAAGCTTGCGTCTATTCACGCCCGATGTCAAAATAATCTAGTGACATCTACAATGCGATCTAGTGACAAAAACTATAGAGTATGCACATTGTGCTTTCTCGTGTTTGGTAGGAAGAACTTTATACGACGTCGCGTTCGGCATGCCGAGTTTGTACACGTAGCTTTCAACATGATTATGCCTTGGTGTACCGGCTTGGTAAACGAGAAATGGAATACGAACGTCGTGGCAACGCCGAGCAAGGCCGTCAAAAGACTGTGTGGAGAGTGCGACAAGCCAAAGTTTATCAAATTAGACAAAGATTTAGTCGAAATCCCACAGGCCGAACGGATGATCGGTCGTTCATTCGCTCCAAACATTGTTCCATGCTCACGACTCTGGACGGTAGAATGAGCACGGCCCACATCTGAGAGGACTAGAAAACTGCTCAGAGGTGTATGGAAGCAGGCGTGTAAGCACTCAATGAAGCAATGCATTGTGGATGACTCAGAGGTACACGGACGCCCTGAATCCCATCACCAACGCTTGAACGTGAACGTCACAACGTTAACACCGCCCCTCCGGCCAGCTCGGGAACAATAAAAACTCGAGAAGGGACTCACAATCTGCTGGCCACCAACAAGCACCCTCGTGTCCGCAGTCTTCCTTGGTATCCACCAGACGAATCCTTCAGTTCCTGCAAGAATTATTATCGCTGATGTGAATGTCAAAAATATGTAGATGACATGTTAGTGCTTGGTAACAATAGAGCTAGGCGTAGAGTGCCAGGATAACGAAAAGGGCACGAAAAGAATAGGAGAGGGTTGGATGACGAAGAGGAGGAAAACGGGGTCAGCTACATAAGTACCTGGCTATGGCAACTCACAACATTCTAATCGTCCGCATCCTACAGTCTCAAATCGCGGCACACTGGAGTTCCATGTCACGTTCTTCACGACAAGCATCGCGACGTGGGAAGTGTCGAATGCGGCGTTGGCGCCGCTCGGAGGATGGCTTAAGGTGTAGAATGGCCGGAGAGAATTCCGTCCTTCCTTCTTCCCTTCATTCCGAGTATACGTGGTAGGATTATTTGAATGTAATGATTGACGACGCTGAAATAGGAGCAGAGTGCAAGGGTCTATGGCGAGCATGGGACCTATGAAGGCTCCGACGTCAACTGGAAGGACGACGGTTAGGTTGGAGAGGAGGCCGTGCGTTGCTGATGCTCGCTAGCTGACATGAGAAGAACATGTGCTGGTTCAGCTTCTGGCATTTAGGTACCGTGGGGACAAAAGATTTAGATGGGCGGGCGACGGAGATGGTGATGTAAGGAAGAGGAGGTGGTGTGGCGAGGCGAGATTTGCTGTGGCTACAAGATTTTGTCATACGCACTAAGTAATCTTGTTCCTTCAACCTCGTTTGACACTCTCTGACTCTCCGATGTCACTTCCATATCCATCACAATCGCGTCCATACCTTGGTGAGTCTTATTGTCGTGTGCTTTGTTTTGCTCGCCGCAATTGTTGACTGGGTTCTCGGCCCCATCACTGAGTGAGCATTGTTGGGTCGGAATAGATCAGAGCGCGTGATATCGTCGATCCAGATGAGCATGAGTGTTATGTCAATTCTTGAATACATAGTTTGAGGTCGGTATTTCAGCGATGCGGCCAGGGTTGGGCACAGTGAGACGAGACTCCGAGGAGCCAGGAAACTTCACGAAAGCATCCGTGTCGCGTGGCATGCCGTCGGAAGCAGAACAGAAAGAGGATCCGAAAGATCGGCTCGCTTGTTTTACATCGTCGACAGCCTCGACGCGAACGCGTGGGAGCCTGACAACATGATGCTCGACCGTTCCTCGATGATTTGTGCATCTCTTCTTCTTCTACCATTATGACCCTCATGAGCCCCCGACTGAAGGACTGGCTCGAAAAGGAGCTCAACTTCTTTCGAATTCATCTTCTCGTCTTCACCTTTGTCCCTCTCATCGTCAGCGGGATCCTCTATGGCGTGAACGGCGAGTTCCACATTCGTGAGACCTACTCGGAACTATTCATGTCTTTCTTGCCTCTGACCCATCTTTGTAGCTTACATAGACTGTCTTTTCTTGTCTTATTCTGCTTTTACTGTCACTGGGCTCTCCACTGTCAACCTTAGTACCATGACTGGCTTTCAGCAGGCTATCCTCTTCGTGCTTATGATCTGTGGCGATGTGGTACGTGTTTCAGTTGACGTTATATCAAGCTCATCTCTAGATGTACGGGCATCTATCACAGACGGTCGTGTCATGGATCATGGTCCTCGTCCGAAAACACTACTTTCGCGTACATTGCGAAGCCGTCGCGCGCGAAGCACGTAAACGATCAAGATCGCTCAATCTGAAACGCCGACTTCGTCTTTCCCATCTTTTCCCTTCCAGTATCACCAACAGACTCAGCGGAGACAACGACGTTCCACATCTACACGTTCACCAAGCTACTCACGACGATGCGTATCTCCGAGCGGAAGATGGTATCGGAGGTGCTCTGGCAGGAGGACTCATCGGTCTAGGGCTTGCCTTGCCAGCCGAGTCGAGACGGTCGCTCGCAGAGTCAGAACACCACGACGAGCTTACTCGCGTCGCATCGCCAGAGAGGCTTTCGGCGGACATTCATCACGATGACGATGGCCACGGCGTGATGGCTGACGTCCATTCATTTACGTCCTCGCCCCGCTCGGGTCTCATGCAGCTTACCACCTCGCCAGAAGTTCGCTTCGCCGATCTAGCCAGTCCCACTGCAAAGTCTCATCGCTCGATACGTTATCGCAATGGTGAGTTCTGCGTAGGTATGAACTGTCTTGTCGCTTTGGATGACATCTCTTGTTTATATAGGGCGTGCTATCACCCGGAAAACCACGGTCATCGTGCCACCCCGCATCGAAGAAAATCCCGACGAACTCGGTAACAGGCCTAAGGATCAGAACTTAGGCGGTTTCCCGGGTCCCTTCCAAATTGCCTCATCCCTTCTCAAGAGATATGCACCGTCACTCTATGACTACGTCCATCGGGCGCTCACCGTGTCACCAGGCCGTGCTGTGACGAGTGACGCAAAGTCGAAAAACACTATGAAGTGGCTTCCTCAGAATTTATCGGGTTTGATGGTGGGACGGAATGGGGACTTCAATACGGAGGAACTTACGGACGACCAACTGGAGGAGCTTGGTGGACTGGAGTATCGGGCGCTGAGAGCGTTGAGCTATATCGTCATGATTGTGAGTCGCATTCCGTCATCTGCAGCCTTGACGATTACTTAGCGATGACTTTGTCAGTACTTTGTGGGAACGCAACTGATCTCGTTCATTTTGATTGCTCCTTGGCTTTCAACCACCTCGGAGTATGACGACGTCTTCGAAGGGCAGCCTCGTCTAGTGCCAAAGGCATGGTAAGTCGAATCTTCCTGATTTACGTGCGGCTACTCTGACCCTGATCGGCCACATTGAACATAGGTTCGCAGCGTTGTATGTGTCTCATTAATTATCGCAGATAAGGATTACTGTTCTCACTATGCCATAGTCAAGTTGTCGGAGCATACACGGGTGGAGGCATGAGTCTTGTCGACGCGTACGTTCATTCTTCCCAATTATTGTAACCGTGATACACTAACCTTTACGCTCGTACAGTGGAATGGTCCCGTTCCAGCGCGCATATCTCATGGTTTGTGAGTATTCAAGTCCACTGTCATGTTACACTGTCATTGACCTAGGTTATAGTCGCTATGATCTTCGTTATTCTTTGTGGCAACCACGGTATGGTGAGTGGCCATGAAGATCTCGCGTGATCCGCCTTATTGACCGTGCTATTTTCATACAGCCGATATTGTAAGTCATGACACCGGTCGCTATCGATGTGCACCTGTACTGAACGTGGCTCGGTGCATCACATTCTAATAGCCTGCGATTGGTTATGTGCGTCTCGCTCTCCCATATTACCCATATACAATGGTTAATAACGGATTGGCTGATCCCCTGACTCCATCTCAGCTGGCTCTGCACAAAATTCGTCGAGGATGAGTCTACAGCAGATCAAGCGCTTCACTTCCTGCTAGACCATCCACGCCGGTATGTCCTATTACGAACGTCACTTTCCCTGTGGCTTTCTAATGTGATATTCGCTCTCGCAGATGCTTCCTCTACTTGTTCCCGTCGCACGTTACCTGGTATGATCTATCTTCTCTACGTTTGTTCACGGTTCTGGGGTACCTTATTTACTGTTTCTGCTTGTTGGAACTAGGTTTCTCGCCCTCGCCCTTGTTACTTTCACGTGAGTCTTCCCTATATTATGTTGACGACTGGACACTGACTTTCTCATTGTCACACCTAAAGAGCCATTGAATGGTCGCTTTTTGCGATCTTGAACTCGGGGCTAGACGTCGTAGAGTCTCTAGGTGCCGGAACCGAAGCCGTGGCCGGTTTGTTCCAATCGTTCGCAGTGAGAGCATCCGGCTTCTCCATTGTGTCGATAGCGAGTCTTGCACCGTCGTTCCAGTAGGTCCTTCCATACATTTATTCTTACGAACAGACCGATGATAATCAATCGATAGGTTCATGTGTATCGTGATGATGTATATTGCAATCTATCCCGTCGCGCTCTCCATTCGTTCCACCAACGTGTAGGTCACAGTTCTTTGTTTCATCCCATGTCGTCCCTTGTGTGGCGCCGTATCCTTGTTCGAGCATCAACATAATCTATGCTTCTCTTAGATACGAGGAACGCAGTCTCGGTGTCTTCGAAGCCGGCCCCGAGGACGAAGACGAAGAACCTAACCTCCCCGAGGACGGACACAAATCGAGGAGAGAAAGGATCGGTAAGTACGTTGGGTGGCACTTGCGAAGGCAGGTGGCGTATGATATATGGTGGCTTGTTTGCGGAATATGGGTGCGTTTATTTATCTTCCAGCGTGGAAGTGAGTGAGGTGCTAATAATGGTTGACGCAGGTGGTCTGTATTGTGGAACGGACCCGGATCATGGATGAAACGAACTCGCCATGGTTGAATGTGTTCACGATAGGTACATATACCTTTAGCCCCTTTGTGTTGTTATATTGCTCACTGCGCTCATACCTCTCATCTTGATATAGTGTTCGAGATGGTCTCTGCCTTCGGTGGGATTGGACTCACACTCGGCATCCCCAACCAAAACTTCGCTCTCTCGGGAGCCTTCTCTCCGGTCTCGAAACTCGTGATCTGTATTATCGTGAGCTGTTCCGCCTTGGTGGCCCATAGAGCGGGGCTGACACACTCACTTACTACGATGAAGATGTTGCGAGGTCGCCACAGAGGCTTGCCAGTCGCCATCGATCGCGCCAGTACGCCTTTCCCCCCTCCACTTAGCTTCTACGTGATGTGACATTGATTAATCGCTTCTTCTGGTTTGCAGTTCTTCTCCCGGACGATCTCATACCGAACAAAGACACATCCGGGACCAATGGCGATACCGCGCAGCCAGACTCGGACCTCTCGAACATCATCGTGGAGCAAGGACCGCTGCCCGACGCGCCAAGCGCAACGGAGCCTAGCATGTCGGACGAGAAGTTCAGCCGGGACCTCGAGAAGGGCGGCATGCACTCATAGGGGGTACGTTCGTGAGCCATGGAGGCCTTGTGCGGTCAGAGCTTGAAGAGGGATGTTGTTGTCCGGAGTGGGATGGTTTTCTTTGTCTGTAATATATTTTCACCTCTGCATCGACTAGATTTATTTAGAAACGCTCACTATATGTTACTCTAATACCATAATTATTTACCTACATGATCTCTGAGGACATTGCTATTTGATTGCCACCGTGACACACAACTCGGACTGCAATCGCACGCCTTGCAGTCCATGACCAGATTGCAATGAACAGAGTAGCATGGCCTATTGAGCTGCAGCTTAACAGAGAGCTAAGCTGTCATGGCGAGACCATAATGGTAGATTGGAAGACACGAAGATACGGAAAGGAAAGGAAAAGAAACTGTCGTGTACGCTCAGTACTTATCGCTCGGAACGTCTCGGAATCCTCGAGACCTTGCCGCCACATTTCCGGCCTCGCCACACCACGTCCTCCGAGTCGTCCTCACCATCACCGTCCTCCATCGCCCGTTCGCCTTGAATCTTTTATCACCTGCACATCCTCCGCGCTATTCCATTATTGACGGTGTCTATTGTGATACCAGAAGCCGAACCAGCACATAGTCTTCTCTTTCCAGCTAGAGAATGGCATCAGCAACGCACGGCCTCTCCTTCAGCGTAAACGTCGTCCTCTCAGTTGAGATCGAAGCGTTCATGGCTGTTCATGGATCCTATGCTCGCCGGTTCGAAATGGACGGGACACGCTGCTCTTCACGACACGTAACAAACCACTCAGCCTTTGCGCAACTCGTCAAATCCATGAACAACACGTTTTCTGGTGCGTGTCTTTTTCTTCTCTCTGTCTTTGTTCCTGTACTACGTAGCGTGTCATCTCTACATTTCTATCATCTAGACTAGCGATAACATCTTTTGTAGGAGCTGAATGATTCGTCGCGTGGATATCGAGGAAGACTCAGAACACGAGAGTGGTTGTCGGTAGCCAGCGGATTGTGAGTTCTTTCTCGAGTGGTTATTGCTATCTCTAGCCTGCCAGTGTACAAGCTGGTCGGAGGGCGATGTGGTGACGTTCAGGTGTTGGCAATGACATTTAGGGTACTCATGTACCGTCGAGGCGTGCACAATTTACTGCTTCATTGAGTGAGTTCACACCTGCTGCCATGAGGTTCTGAGCAGGCTCGTCCTCTCAGACTTCCATCGTTTGGTCACCATATACAACAAGCTGCGTCTTGACTTCAACTACGGCACTGCTTTTTGCTACGATATTTTTACTTCTCAGAACGCCGAAAGCCGGGTGTTCAACGTCTGGTCAGTTCGGCTCGACACAGTGGGCCTGTTCTATTCATATCTGCTCTTTTTCTATCATTTCTTGTATCATATGCTTGGAGAACGGAGAATTCCGCGGGATCTGTTGCAAATGTACTTGACCCCAACTTTCTCCCTCTCTTGCCATGCTTGCGCACCATAAGCTGCGCGACCCACAATGTGCATGGAGGGGGGCGAATGCCGACGCTGTTTCACCTTGCCAACGTTTGTGATCAAGTTGGAGTGGGATAGTGAAAACATCATACAGCCAGATCTTATCAGGCATCGACATGCTCCTGACGCTGTGCAGTCCTGCATACAATGTCGTGTACGAGCGAACCCGCACCAAGACATGATGAATGGTGGGGCTGCTCAATTCTCGCAGGTCAAACTGTCAAGTGAAGCTGGTCAAGGTCAAGCTGGTCAAACTCTACGCGGTGGCGCACATGGGATCGTTTGCCGAGTTGCGCCACTCTCGATCTGCTCATTCTGCCACAGACGTGCAAATTTCATCAAGAAATTCTGTATTGCATGCCCCTCTTCGTAAAAATCAGTAAAAAAAATATGTCTAACCCGAGCACGCACAGGTCCGCTCGAAGAAAAATCCTGGACTTATCCTACCTAGTGAATACAAACTGCGTTGGACAGTTTATACAGTATGCGTCTCCCCGTGAGAACCACTCGATGATGAGGTGTTCGCGAAGTAGCGGGACTCTTGCCGACTCCACCTGCATCGCTTCGCAGAGTTTGACCTGCTCGAGTTTGACTTGACAGTTTGACCGGCCAGAATTGAGCAGCCCCGGTGTGCACTGGACCGTCCTGTGGTGCTGTCAGGGATCCCCGTACGTCCTGAGTACATGACCTCATGTCTCGGCTGTGGTGCCTGCTTCCTTCCTCAGAGTGGATCGGCCCTATTGCGCGCCTTCGATACTGCGCTGATGCAGTCATCCACCTCTTCGTCGGACGGACTCGCCTGAAAAGAAGGTCAGCAATAGTAACGCGCGCGCGTAACGCTGCCAAAAAAAATAGTCAAATAAACCACAAATAAACCAACTATCCCCCTGAACACTGTGTCCTGTGGGGCATGACTGTACGAGCACCCGAGGATATTCCCTCAGCGCTGCGCACAGAGTACGCTTCCCAAAAGGTTGGACTGTTTCGTCCCAGACTCACAGTTCGTCTAGAGAGATGAAGAGTTCCCACACCGTTTAGGGCATATGATCACTATATCCTGAGCATACACCGATATGCCCATAGGAGCAATGTCAAGTCGATAACAACTACATATTGCACACATACAGTCGCAGGCATAAATAAATAAATAAGCTGGACAGACAGAAGCGATATCGTCCAAATCTTGGGGATCCAGTTGTCATGAGGCAATCATACTTGATCTCTGAGACGGCCCTTCATGCGTAGGATAAGTGCAACCAGCACAACCAATACACTCCCACAAGAAACTCCGAGAGTTATCTTCCAGTATCCCATGTCTCCCAAGGCCAATGCTAAGAGGCCCATAACGCACATTCCGGCGAGTACTCGGATGCATTCCCAAACCTCTGGATTGTGGTAGAGAAATGCTCTCCCAACAGACGTTGAGTGTAAGTGCCGGACGCACATAGCGAAAGTAGTGAGGAATGATCCGGCCAGCAGGGCTTTGGACGAGGGTTTCGCGAAAAAGCCGTGATCGCTGCCTAGGAAAAGGATCCCGACGTCCACACTGTAACGGAGTATGAGTTGTCAGTATACAGTGTTGGGCAGAGCTAACTCACAAACTGACAGCTGCAAACTGCAGGTGGAACACGGTGAGGGGGAGAACATAACATAGCCAGGTGCCCACAATGACTGACCGTGAGTGCGTATTCGACATCCTTTGCTTCATTGCAACTCTCTATGCCTCCACAACTGTCTTGTTTGAATACGTCGGAGAATCCGGGGCCTTCAACGAAGGGAGTCCCATCAGTCTTTGGTAGGATGGCGAAAGATAGTACAACGACATCACCTGGACACTCCGATTCTAGCGACTCGCAGTCACTTGTTAAAGGTAGTCGTTGGAGTCCACTATTCGGACAGCGAATGCCGGGCATGACCTGGAAGGAAGGGGTAGCGTCACTCGACATACGAGTACATCAGTGAGTGAGGTCGGCTTAACATGCTCATGGATTAGCTGACCTGCGACAACGATATGTTAGGGCGTGGAGGAGGACGAGGGGATGTAGGTCTTGTCCAAGATGAAGGAGGAGAAAAGGGCGAGGGATGAGCGATGCGGTGCTCTCTGTGGCTGTACCCAGAGTTCCCGTTACATGGGTCCTAGATAACGTCCCGCGATTGCGATGCTGCATACAGCCCATTTCAGAGCCTCCCAGCAAGTACAGTAATTGCATGCTCCACGGCGTTTCCGTTCTTACACTGAACTGATTACAGAGCCCTGTCATTTTTAGTATCCGTGTTGGGCCTCTAAAGTCTGAGAGCAATCCCCAGCTGCGCAAATATAATTTCCTCCCCGGCCTATCAAGCAGCCCCTCTCCAGTCACTCCTCAACTCCTCCATTAAACGTCTTCTCCTCACAGTCTTTTCTTGCCAAGATGGCAGAAACGCAAGTACAAAACCCTGCGCCAAATTCTGCCCAAGCACAAGACTGGGACCGTTGGTGGAATCCTGCTCCATTAATATTGGGCGCTAGTGGATTTTTGTCCAGCGGGCTTTGCCCGCCGTCTTGTTTGCAGTGGCCACGAGCTCGCGATGGTCATGCAGAGGGTGAAAGGCAGGACGAACACCAAGAAAATTGTATTTCTCTCAAGAGGGCAAGGGAGGAATGGAAGGACTGCGTTAGTCAGGTTCGTTCTCCTTGACTTACTGCCTCCGTCATTCTCCTCTAAGCCTCCCATTGTTTCTTCAGGACGTCGCAATCGGTCTGTGAGTAGTACCCTTTTATATTGTCCACGCTGAATAACCCCGCCACAATCATGAGGGCCACAAAGTATTGTGTCTAAATCCGTAAAATTCTATTTCCAAAAGCGCTCAGCTTGCCCTATTGAGCATTTCAAGTAATGCAAACCTATTCACCCTTGGGCCACTCGCAACGATGTTTTTCGCGATATCAAGCCTCGCTGCACTGCAAAGCTTCATCACTGCCGTCGGGCTCTTGTATATCATGAAAGGCGCCGACATATCTCTCGTGAGTCCTTCCTGTGGCATGAGCCCCATTGTCTAATCACTAATAACATGAATGGCCTGTACGCATCCCATTAGCCAAATGCTGGAACATGTTACCTTGCGACCGCTCTATTCAAAGTGCCTTGGCTGGCATGGCTAGTATCAATCGCGTTCAATCTCTGTATGATGGCCAGTGTGGTCTGGCACTCTGGGTGGAAGGACGCGGTTATTGTGTTTATCGTTCTCTCCACCATCGGCGTAATTGCCACCATAGTGTTACGTTGGCTGAGCACATACGCATTACCTGCCACGGTCCACGGCAATAACTCCGATTCTATGGCCCTTCAAGTGACATCCCAACCATGATCATATTCGAAGTAAATTGACCTCTGAACCCTGGTGAGCATGCTCCTCAAAGACTATCTCGTTTACTGACGGTATCTTGAGCTGCTAGTCTGTAGAGCCCGCGCTGCACGGCGGTGCTGACTCCACAGTCATCGCAGCAGTTCCTAATGGCTCGTTTCTAATGGCTCGTTTATGTACCGCATGTCAGTTCACGAATCATTGATGTCGTGTTTATAACTTACAAGCAAGAGCTATGCAGCTCATCATAACTTTTCTTTTCACCATCCACATCACTGTCCTTTCTGATTTTTTTTTACTATTTTCGGGTGACATTCGTCGTGCATTTACTATAGCATTGGGCATTGTTTATATCTAAGTTTGCGTACACAGAGAAGTCCGGTAGTGCATTAAATGTATACTAAACCACAAGGATCTCGACTCATTCAGAAAATACCATGATATGTTCTCCCCTACGTTCTCCCCTATGCAGTTCAAAATGTGAACAGTTAGGTCAGCTGAGCCAACAAATAGTTAAGTTATAGATTGAAGATTGCAACTCAGCTCGCCATGAACACGCAGCTGAGGAAGATAACATTATTGAGGGATATACTAAAAAGAGCAAGTGTTGGGGACAGAACGTCGATATGATAGGGTTGCACCTGTTTGTGCAAGAAAGGCTCCTGAAGACGTAAAGCGTGGAAGACTAGTCAAGACGCGCTGTCTGGCAGGGAGAGGAGAAAGGAGAGCTGACGGATGTGATGGTCGCTGCTTCGGAAGAACGGGGCCATGGCCGACGGCTGTAGGGGGCGTGACTCCAATGAACGGGGGTAATAGCGAAGCGCGTCGCGTCGCGGCTCGGCTAGAGGGTGCGATAGCTTTGAACGTTCTGCTCACTTACTTCTCTACCTATCGCCTCCTACGTTCAGCTTGAGGACTCACGATGTCGATCTCCATTTTCACCAACGGGTATAAGGCGAATGCAACCGGATGGGCGAGGAGGGAGGGATCTGCTGCAGGCTCGTAGGAAGGGAGGGGATCGAAAACCTGGAGGTTAACGCGCAGACCGCCGATCCGAATCGTTCCTGTACACCCTACGAATAGAAAAGGGAAATAAATGGACAATCACAATGTACGTTTAAGTACCCTTTCTGTCGGTGGTGGATCTTTGGGGGCCCGAGAGGTGGGCCTGTGGGCCAGCAACGTCAACGGTGATTGAGAGAAAATTCCTCAAGCTCACCGCAAAGTCGCCGTCGTCGCTCTGAGGAGCCCAGCTCCCCTCGCCTCTCCCCCGCCCCCTCGTCTCACATACCTTCAAAAAAAATCCCTATCAAGACTTCAGACCGAGCAACGTAGCAGTAACAGAAAAAGGACCTACAAGACGACGATGTCTTTCTCTAGGCTCTGGTTCCCCGACTCTCCGTCTCACGACATTCAGATGCCGTCGCCCGACATGGTCTCCGTCAGGGCTTCAGTGAGATTGGATGAATCTGGCGGCGACATCGAGGGCTCAGTGGTAGTGGTGCGTTTCTATCTGGACTGGCGTAAACAGCGAGACTAATCTGACTTACTCTGTCCCTCTCGTCTCCGTCTCAGCCATGCTCAACGTGCCGTACCGCGACGGTGCCCGATACTTATGAAGGGTATGATAAAGAGCATAACCATTTGGGCGCCCAGGTAAGCATCTGATATCGATGGTGTAGGCGAATATCGTACTGACCTGGCTATCAAGCCAGACCTGCTATCGAGCAGCGTTGCAGGCCAACCCTCCACCAGCTTCGAGATGTCGGGCGCCGCATGGCCTGTCTTCAGTGATCATGGTATAAAACCGACCTCATATATGGAACAGTCGGTGAGTGTTTTGTATGTCCTGGCAGAAGAGAAGTGACGGCGTTCTGACGTGGTGCGAGCAGGCCACGCACCGCATACCGTTCGACCATCAATGCAGTACGTTTGACCTCTCTGGACCCGGCCTTGGACTAGCACTTGACGGCGGACCCGACGGCGGACCTATTGACCAAATATTCGAGACGGCAAGCCTCCACTTTCTTCATAATTCCGAGACAACGCGGAACAACGAAGCTGATGAAAGTACATACCTCTACAGTATCACGATCGCGAAGACTGCAACACGCAGAACATCGGTACGGGTGCGATCTCCTCACCGTATCGACTCGCCGGACCTCCGAGTGGCCAATGTTCAACTCGAGCCCAACAACAAGTAAGCTACATGGCGAGGAAAATATATTAGCGTTGGAGACTGACGAACAACGCGTGTGCAGAATGTCAACGCCGGCGCCACCTCCCAACATTCCTCCTCGTGGGTGCTCGAGTCTTACCCGTATGACTATCGCCGTCCGTCCTCAACTGGAAGCAATGATCATCGCCTCGAAAACAGTGCGTGGTTGATGGGACAAAACGAGCAGGTCAGTACCCAAATATTCTCGGAAAGCAGGCTGAGGCTGACGAGACGTACCTTCAAGGCGTATCCGGTCGGAAATGGAACGCTCAATTGTGAACCGTTCGAGTCCACCGAGCCCTTCGACATGCTGTTGTCGAATCAATACCCGAGCTCCGCCAGACTACCGACACCCGACATATTTGAGTTACTGGCGGAAAACTCACCAGGTCATTCGCCGACATGCCCCTCGAGCACTATGGGCTTTTCCGCCACCGAAATGTCCCACCCTTTCAACTCCGCCTCTCGCCAAAAATTTCCTGACCTTCAATCTGCCTTGGATACTATTTGTCCACCTCTGAATCCAATACTTGACTCCTTTCTCTATGCGTCCCCTACCGCCACCTTCGAGCCATCTGCATCGTCGGTTGCGGTATCGTCCTGGTACGCGAGATCGCCGTCGTTGTTCAAGTTGAGAGACGGAGGTGGAGCCGTTTTCACCCATGAGCTCCGAGTCGAGAGTTCGCCGTCCGCGTCGGTCGGTGTTGTTGGTAGCGGGTCGCGAGCGGAGTTCAACGAAAATGGGGTGGTTGTGGTCGAGAATGAGCATGGAGAAGTGAACCGGAGACCAACGCACGGAGTTGAAGCGGCGAGGATGGAGGTGGGAAGCTCGAACCAAGATGCATCGGGTCGTGGCGCCACATGTATGTCTTGGTTCTCAAGTTTATTTCCGGCTTTGCTTTCTTTACCGCCTGCTGTGTGACTGTAACTGACGAACACATATGTATAGGCCCACAGACTAACATAAGCCTAAACACAACTCGTCCGGGGCAGCGTAGACTACTGCCTGCGCCACCACCTGCTCCCGAGCGAGTTTCTGTACTTGATACACGCCCTACCGACCAGAATACGGTCGGTGGCGGAGGAATAGGACGATATGCTGGTGCGGGTGTCGGCGTTGGTGTCGGTGGTGTGGTTCACCGTGGCACGATGAATGGAGGCAGGCCTCAACCGATGAGGCGAGTCGAGGCAAATGCTGCAGTTGGTGCCACTGAATCTCCGACTCGGAAGTGCCAGTTTTGCGGGCACAATTTCTCGAGACCTGGTAACTTTAACAGGCATCGACGCACATCCTCAGGGTGTCTGAAGCGCCCCAAAATCCACAAATGCTCAGCGTGCCCTGAGAGCTTTACAGTGAAGCAATCCCTTCGTCGTCATGAGCGGATGTCATGCGGAAAGGATAATAAACGTGGAAGGCGTAGAAGAGAATGAGCTGCTCAGTGATCCTCACAACATGCCATGGTATTGAAGTAAAAATCTGGTGATGCAACTACTGTAGAAATATGTCAGACTCCACATCATTACCCTCCAATTATTCCTCGTTAAGGGATTTAAATTGTACTCGTTCTAGATATTGTTCTAGTACAATGCTGGCAAGTCGACTACCTATTCGTTGTTGGTTGACTAAGGTATAGTCCAATCCGTAGAAAAGGCAGAGGTAGCATGGGTCAAACGTAGGTGAAGCTGTAAATGTTTGGTAGTTGTTGAGAGTGTCAAACCGTCTCGTCAATCATCCGTCTCCACAACCTGTCCTGATCTCCCTAGAAGTGCTTAGAGCAGCTGGTATTCCCTAGTGATGTCTAATAAATGTGTATCATGACAAGATAAGGGTGTGTGGGCCGGGCAGAGAAGTTGTCTTCCAACACATAATCCTAAGAATCACATCCATAGCATGGAGATACTATGTGATAATGGCCAACACAGATACTTTCAAAGAAACTAACCTGAGGAATTCTATCCTCGCAAAGACAGCTACATCATAATTTCAGAGGAGCATGCCACCACCGATGCCATAACATACAAAGATGCATGAGTAAGAAGTGTGAAGACACCATCTACACAAATTGAGTTGATTTCTCAACATTCCGAGCAGACCCAAAATCAATCCAAAACGATGCTGCAGATTCGAGATGATGTTGATCTCAACGAGCTCAGAGAACAGCGCAGACGAACGAAGAATCAGAGAACTGCAATCAAAGCGAAAACCCTTCCCGAGACGGAGTTTATGTTCTCGATCACACTCCGACAGAAGGCACTGAATCAGACTTTATCGTCAACTTGCGTGCACAGAGAATAGAGGAAGAGGTGCAAGGTCGGAAAGGCCAAGGATTTCACGGGGATGCAGGTGAACAGTGGAGAGGTAAGTGATTATTGAGGATATAACCAAAAGCCCAAGTAAGTATACCGACATGAATCGGGAGTCTATAGTCATCAAGCTGGTGGAGGAAAAGTCTAAGGAAGATGAAATCTAGCTAGAATGGAATAAATAGAAGACAAAGGTCTAATCTGTCGACGAAAGAGCAAACATCGTCAGTTCAAGCTCAGTCCCCGGATCACGACGAATGGAGCACGCGAGACGGACCACGACAGTCAAAGAATTTGAGACACTCACCTCTGACTTTGTCTCAACCTCTACACTTCCGCCGTATCTAGATCCCTAATCTAAACCACCGTCCGCACCATCAACGACAGTCAACACGACCTCTCCCAACCCACTGAACCGCCGCCTCGCCAACGCAACCCTCAATCCGTCCAACCCGTTATCCACACCCGCACCAATATCATCTCTCGCCACACCCTTTCTCAGGGCCACAATCTCCCTCAACTCCACCCACAAACCACCTCTTATTCCGCTAGCACCACTCTTCCCACATATTCCAGCTTCAGCGACTCGAACCTTCTCCGGAGAGACGCAACCCAAAAATCTCGCCAAGTCCGTATAATCTTCGCACGAAAGGACGATCTTGGATAAACGAGGTGTGGACGCGGTGAAGTCGGGTGTGATAAGTGTTGGGGTATCGCGGAGCGTGAGCGTTTCGAGGTGCGGGAACGTAGGTGCATATGTATAGGAATGTGGGTTAGAGAAAGGTAGGATGGGGAACGCGGAGGTGGTGCTGGCGAGGAACAAGGTCCATGCTTCTGTTGTGGCGTTGGTGACCGTGAGGGAGTCCAAGAGTGGCGCACGAATCGAGTCGAATAGTCGCATAGTGTACTCCGGTCCTTGCGAAAGCGAAACCTCCAGACTTCTCAACGCTCCGACTTCAACGCCGTCCATCTCCTCTACAACGTCTGCTCCACTTGTCCCGTTCACTCTCCGCTCCATCATCCGCAAGCCCGCACCGCCCAACAGAAGTTTTGACAGTCCCGGTGAAGATCGCGTAATAGCACGCAGCTCATCGAAGCTCGGTGCGTCGTCCTCGGAGGCGTAGTCGAGTTCGAGTATAGAAAGCTCGCTGAGCTCGGAGCGGTCCCAGTTCAACGCGACGTTCCGGAGAGAGAGGCGTGAAAGCGAATCGTACGAGCGAGTGGAGAACCTTGGCGCCGTCGTGGACGTACACCCAACAGTCTCGGACGAGTATAGCTCCAGGGCCTCGAGTGATGGTGGTCGAATCGTGTCTAACCATCGGAGCACTTCTTCCAGCGCGAGCTCTCTTCCGAACTTCAGTCCCAAATCAAGCTTCAACGATCGCACCCTTCCGAACTGGTCCAATAAAGAATTCAAAGCAGAACGGAGATGCGGATAGACGCAGTATGAAGGTATAGATAGCGTTAGATCGAGTAGACATGGGGAAGAACGGGTGATATATAGCGATGAGAGATGGCGGGATTTCGAAAAGGGATGGTCGAGAGAGTGCTGAACGTTGGTCCAGAGGAGACGCGTTGAGGTAGCGATGAAGCGCCAGCGGCACGAGACGTGCGTGAGGCGAACCAAAGACTTCGTAGAGAGGTCGATACAATTATGATGACCGTTCCAAAAGATCGAAGGCTCTTTGTGGCCCACCGCGAGTTGGAAGATCGTAGAGAGTACCTCTGGCGGGAGGTCGTCAACACCAAACGACGTGTGGCGAGCTACAGTGTCGGCGGCGACGTCCATGCTACGGGTCTATGCAGCAAAAATCTGGGGTGTTGAGAACAACGGAGTGATAAGTGCTCGTCGGGCCCAAGTACTTATATAAAGCATTTCATGACGCACCCGACTGTTTGAGCCCGACCAGTCCCCTGCATCGACCCTCGAACGCCCCAACACGGAAGTGTTCCTACCATTCCCGAGTTTCGCTAGAATTCTGAGTTCGCTGCCATGTCAACATCATACGATATTCGGGATAATTTGTAGGCCTGGGCGGTCGGAAGACGTAGCATTATGAGAGAAGTAGGGAAAGGCGGGTGAGGACGAGGAGGAACGGCCGATGGGGGCGTCGGGAGATCGGATCTTATCTGATACGCGACCTCATCTAATCTGGGGTGGCCCCTTGCTGTCCTCCGGCATCCATTGCATTGAACTTTTCTAGATCTCTAGACTCTACTGTTTGTGACGCATTATTGACCCAGTTGACCTTTCTCCAGGCCATGAGATCTGATGTGTTTGGATAATTATCCAGAGGTTCATGAGCGCGAGGCTAGCAGCTGTTCTCTTCTCATTCTAGGGCCACACATTCTTTTCACCTCGTTTTTATGAATCTCAAATGGAAAGATATGTTTGCTATCTAATCAAGGCAGGGCTAGCGAGTTCCACTATACCCGTTCGCCGAAAGGTGCTCGTCATTGTTGGTTGAGACTGGGACGGAGGACGGAATCGGCGCTGATGAGGTAGGGATAGGGACGCATTAATTCTTCCTCAAATCTATGGATTTTCTCGGGTCGAAAGGCAGATAACAGTGCTATACTACTCGAGTAATTGTGTATGACTGATACAGCCTAATATTTTCATATCATAAAGTTCCCTAGTTGTAGACAAAGTGAGATATAGTCAGAGATAAGTACGGCGCTGTCGCACGATACAAACGACAGGAACACAGTACCTCTGTTGTACCATCCTTCTGACATCAATCCACATCCTCTACCGAGCGGTTCCAATCCTCCTTCGACCTCAGACTAACTTCATCCGGCAAACGTCCCGCGAGCCAAATAGACGCCAGCGAGAGCGCGATCATCAGGATATATACGGCGTTACCACCGACGAGGTTACGTTCTATAGACACTGCGAAGAGAGAGGTCGATAGAGTTGGACCGATGGTTCGGACGATGGAGGCTACGGTTTGGGAGAGGCCGTTTGTGGCACCAAGGGATTGGGGATTTGGCGACGCTTCGGTGATGAAGATAAAAATGCAACCTATAGAGAGACGGTGAAGGCGATGAGAAAAAGCAGGTATGACCGACAACATGTCTACTTCGGGGATCATAAAAAAGGTGTTATGTTGAGATGCGACCCGACATACCATATCCCATATCCATGATCACAAGCAAGCATAGCTGTAACCCTACTACCGCCCAAACATCCCAACTCATCCCCGTCTCCCGTCTCACCAACCAACTCATAACCGGAAACAGTCCAAAAATGAGCACAAAAACACTCATAGACAACCTAAACACTGCTCTCGACCCAAATCTCTCCACAATAGTCCTGAAAAACACAGCCTGAAACAAGCCGTTGACGACTCCGAAGGCACCGATACAGTACCCTATGGTGGAGGGAGGGAATCCGAGTCCTCCGAGCGCGACGGGCGTGGAGTAGAAGAGCGGGATGAGTGCGAAGAGGGCTTCGTCGAGGAGGGCGAGGAAGCCGTAGTTGGTGGCGGAGATCATGACGGCTCGATTGTGGATGAGATCGCGGAGGGAGACGGCCGTGTCGGGATGGATGTTCGGAGTATGTCGATGACGCGTCGTGGGGGAATTCTGCACGGTGGAATGTGAACTGGGCGGAAGGGCACGTTTGTCCTTGGGCAATGTCTTCCAGTGAATGATGTGAGCTACGATGTCACAATACCCGCACGAGATAAGAATGGGGATACCTCTTTCAGAAGGATTGCAGTGGCGACGCAAGAAAGCGCGCTGAATGCCCCAGCCACACCGCATGGCAAAAAGTAAGGATATTCCTTCCAGAAATCACCTCCGAAAACCTTCGGAAAGCGATCGCTGGGACGGGATAGTACACCACCCATGAAGGTCCTACGATATGTTCAGTATTGTCGGTCCGTCCCCCTACCAGTGGGTTGTGAAACTATTCGATGTAGACTTACGCAATAGTCGATCCTGAGCTGTGGTGGAACAGACGAAGATGCAAAGATGAGATGCTGTCCTAACAGAGGTAAATATAATAGAACACGAAAGTGACACGTACGCATAGACTACAGGCATGAGGCTAACAGCCTGGGCGATATTCGTCTCATCCGTTAGTTCGGCCGTGACGCTCTTCATGACACCTTTATCGAGTTCAAGGTACCGAAGAGCCACAAAAACAGGAAAAACGCGTACCAATGTTTCCGTTGAGGGCTCCAGCCAAACAACGGCTACAGTTGAAGCCATATGAGATAAATCAGGTTGCATATCGAGAAATCTAGACATACTCACCTGATAACGAGTGTCCAGAACGTGCGAGAGAGGCCAAAGCAGATCATCGATATCGTCAGTCCAAATAAGCCCTACGAGTCAATGATCATGCTCAGCGTGGGTCATGAGGCCACTGGAAATCAATTGAGAACCCACGATCATGAGCACAGGCTTGCGACCGATATGGTCGGAAAGACGACTCCATTGTAGCACAGTGATAGCCTCGACGGCAAAAAATAAGGAGTCCTATCCATCATGGTATAATCGTCAAATATTTGAGAGATAGACGGACAAAGATACATACAATTATGCCAACGTAGTATCCTACCCTTTTTTTGTCGCCGTGAGTGATGTCGAGTTCGGATATGAGTTGGTTGATAAATGGAAAGATACATAGCGCTGTTATGGGCTCTGCGAACTGTATCAAAAGGCATACCCCCAGCTGTAGCTTTGGTAAAGGTGTGTATCTCTCAGAGATGCTACTTTCTTCTGAGATACCGCTAGATCCATCATCTTCTGGTTGGCGGAGAAGGGGGGTACGCTCGTCGGACTCTAAGGCTCCAGAGGCGATTCCGATTCGTTCCGACGAGGACATGCGCCACAAGCTTGGGGTAGGTATACAATCGCTAGTTCCACGTTTTCGGGACTGAGCAGGTTTTCCGACAGTGAGAGTAATGAGATAGCTTGATCTGTGAGCTGAAAACCATACGCGGATTGAGAATTCAGAGGAGAACGAGAAACGCGAAGCGCCTTAGAAGCGCCACGACAATGTCTTCCGGACGTTGCCGGAAATGCTTTCACCTAGCGAACCACGGGCGCCGTTCTCTTGCAGTTCTCTGTGCCTTCGATTTTCATCGCCGGTTTGTATGGTCGAGTCGTACAGCGGTACACATCACACTGACATGGGGCACACAGTTTACAGTATCACGAAGGAGAAGAAAATAAATAGCCAATAAATAGCGGACAATTCCAAATAAGTAATACAAACACATGATTCCACGAGTTACATAAACTGGCCTTGACACGGAACCTAGCAGAACAAGCTCATAAGAACATATATATATACATATAGCTATGAAGCCTCACATGATCCGTGTATATTATTATGTAGTTTAAATTAGTAAAATACGGGTTGTGGATTCAGATAGATAGCATGTGGCGAGTAGCTACTAGTTGTGATTCATGCCAATCATCCCAAGTGTGGTATGTATCTAGACCAGGTACGAAGCTCATAAGCACTGTCAGGCAAAAACCAAAGTGACCGAACACTCTCGACCACCAGAAACATGCGTGCGACAATAGAGAGTAAAAGCGTGAATGAAACTATATGTGCTCGAATAATACCAATTTTACTGGCGGTGTCCCCTATCGAATTGTGTTTTTCTCGAATCCTTTCAGGCATCGTAAGAACATAAAGTATCTGCATCAACACAAAAGCACCAAAAACTATGGTCGATATAGCAGATGCCCGCCAAAATAAGGCTTCCAATACTGTAGGAAAGTATGCGTTTCAAGCAGCGACATGTATTGCACCATAGAAGACGGCCAAGACCCCAGTGAGGCCGGCAGCGACCTCATCCTCATGTGCAAACTCATCTCCGCGAGACCATGGGTCCAGAAAAAGGACAGGCATGTGTGTCCTGCTTCTACTCGAACCATCCAAAGGTTTATTGTCTTTGACGAACTGTTCTGGCTGCACTTGGATAACAGTAGGGACGGCGACGTCGGAAGGTTTGTGCCACCAGAGTGCGCATGTGACAACAGCGAACACACCGTGGACGAATGTGTTCAGCTCTAGTAAGCTGATGGGCAGGTTCTGTGTAAGCCGTGCGATACATTGTGCACAGAACCACAGAATCTGCACGAGGGCCATGACTTTGGATAGGCTGTTTGTTTTACTCTTGTCTAGAATATCGACGACAGAAAGGTTGGGGATGGAGCCTGGATTGTGCTCCATGAGATGTACGATACCCATCGGAGTGAGTGCTCTGAAGTTGGGGATGGAATGATCGCTAAAATCGACGACGAAACCACCGGTGGATGCGTAAAATGCGTGAACGAGTGTCCATGGGTGACGAGAGGTCATCCCGCCCTCAGGTATATTTGGATGAGGCTCGATCTGGGTTATGACGTATCAGGCAGGATGAACGGATATGGCTCTGATACTGTACCATTTCGATCGGATGCCATGGTCACACGTCACACACCCCCCATGGCATAAGGTCTGAGTATCGTAATAATTTTCTTTCGCTTTTTCGGATTTTCAAAGTCGTGTCACACGAGAAATCTCATGGCATCCGATCGAAATGGTACAGTACATGCATACCTCTAGGTCAAAACGCCCGCGAGGATGCTTCACGCTCATGAGGCGCTTTGCTTCGGACATCAATGAAGCTGCGACTCGGTACTCCGCAAAGGCCGCGGTGGTCAGGAATGACGGGGCGAACATTCCAACAAGGACCCACTTCGCCTTCCTGAGTCTCTGGGACCAGGGTGAAAAGTCCTTTTCCGGGACGTCGAGGTGTAGTGCGCTCAATACGCAAATCAGCAGAGTGGCTACACAACCCGAGAGGATTGAGAACGTCCCACGAAAACTGGGTTCGGGTATCCATCCAACGGGAGTCGTGGCGTTCGATGGGTTTAGCCACATGCTGCGTATAAACGAGGGATAGAGATGGATTATCGAGAGAGGGCCGAGTAATCAAACGAAGTGGAATACCTGACAGGGACGAGGATGATTGTTAGGTGCGGCTACTTTGTAGTGAAGTACAAGTTAGGGGGTTGGAAGCTCGTTTTGTAGAGCGCACACACAATATTTAGAGACTCCGAGCTGCCATTAGCTCAGGGCATTCGTTGTGCTCCTTGCTGTCAATAAACTTAAGTGTGCTCCAAGCCATATATTGTCCGATCCTATATATCCAACCCATATTCTTGCGATCGTTGAGAGGCTCCATATGGGTAACACGAGCGGTAAGTAACGCCTTCAACGCGCGGTGCGCCTCAGACACTTGCGTACATGACATTACGAAGAAGCTTAATGACAGAGCGGGATAGAAAGTGATGTATTTCGCGACGGTCTACCGCAAAGCCGAAGCCTACAGCAGACGACGACGAACGAGTAATCATCTCTGTGGAATTACTCCTAGGTCGATGTACCGCCAATGATACAGAACCGCCGCGATAAAGCCGTTCCATAGTTTCCAATGAACTATGTTGTTCGATGCCGAGTGTAGAGAAAAAGGCCACCCCTACCTACACAGGATCCGGACCTGACGGTGATATATATCATGAGGCTAGATTAAGTTGCACGTTGCTGAACTATAAAAAACAGTGGAGTCAAATGTTTCCATAGGGTTACAGCAAAAGTAACTTGACACAGTCGCTTTTCTCTGCCACAAGTGACTTAAAGTGACTTGTGGCAGAGCCAGAGACTGCGTCAAGCTACTTAAGTGAGTAAAAGGGACCTACCTACCCAAGTAACTTAATTCTCGCTGGCGATCACTTGAGTATCAAAAACAACAGTTTCCCATGGCCTGGGCCCATGGGGGGTATTCCTGTGTATCTGCCTTCCTCGGGCCCTTTGAAGTCAGTGCCCACAGGTATCACAAAGATAATACTACAAGTATTATCAGACTTGTATGAGACGTCAGTTGTGTTATCCAAGTGTTTAACATAGTCTGTCATGAGTGTTCCAGAAATAAAAGCCTCAATTTTCTGTTGTCATACACCGAACGTCGGAGTGAGACTTACACCATCGAGTGATGAGGTCACTGTACCTTCGCGGTGATGGGGGCTGAAATTAATGACGGTCCTCATAGGCCATGATCATGTAGTGATTTCTCGTGAGAGGACCCCATCAAGATGTCACGAGAGAGGTATGCGTATGTTGACGGAAACACAGCCTGAGGCTTCACTAGATGATACGTTTGTGGCCCAATTTTGTACACAAGTCATCCACTGATGTCAAGAGCGTCATACTTAGTAGAAGCAGTAGTAGACTGCAGCCCAGTATCGGAGTTCTGGATTGACCTGAGAGCGCACGTTGATAGACAGGGGAAGTCTGGATGCGATGACACTGGTCGCAGAGGTGGAGCATAGAATCAAGACCGAACTCGATCGAAAGGACCGTTAGTCAGCCACAAAAAAATGCTATGTGTAAATACCAACTGAAAAGTAAAATTGATGCATGATGGACTTGTACATGCACATAGATACCAGCAGAGTGAGGTAAATGTAGAGTGTCATGGAGGTGAACGAGATACGGGTGTCGACGACAGAGGAGGATTTACAAGTGGCGCAAGCGAGATCCTCCAAGTGTGGGAAAAGTAAATGGGACATTGCGGGCCTCACTTGGCGCGGAAATAAGTGACTGAAAAGTAACTTTATGCGTACTCGTTTCCATAGCCATAGCCATTTAGTGGTGGCATTGAGGATGCTCGCCCACACCGGAAGACCCAAGCATACATTATGACGAGTTTCACGGAGACTCGACCATTCCGACTCTTCAATTTCCGAGTCTGAATGGCGGGTGGGATCGATTTGTGCCTGGAGGTGGACGCGGGAATGAGGAAGTCGCATTTTCTGGACACATGCAAGCGCAGCAGAGCGGGACATGGAGAGCAGGGCCTCGTTGAACCCGCTAAAGACACCCTGGTGCCATCAAGTGGCAGGATGCGAAGAGAGTCCAAGTTCGACTCGTCACCGTCAACAGAAGCTCAAAGAGGGAGCGGCTACCGGGCCGCGAAGCTATTGCCTAGGGTGTATTTGCAATTCGCTGACGACCGACCTCAGCCTTGACCCGCCTTCGACATATCCTCTTGTCGACAGCCCTACACGAGCGACGTAATTCCAGGGCCTTCCTTTGGCCTTCCTCGCACAAAATCCTTCGCGCCCTTTAGCTCACCAACCTCTATCGTTCGGCGCGCATTCCGAAGGATCGCAAATCCCGCATTACCTTTCTATCGTCGACCCCTTTTGACTTTTCCCTTACCTGTGTCGCTCGTTTATGCGACACAAAGTGAACAATACTACGAGAGGCAGGTCTAACTATGACATCGAATGCTTGGTCATGTAGATGATAAGTAGTGCTACAAATATTGTGCGCTATCAAGTCGTGTCGTCCGTGACATAGCATACAAGAGCGTCTGACGGAGGAGGATGCATGCATTCGACGAGAAAAGGGTCGTGAGGGCGATGAACGGAAGGAATTGGTTTATCGTCTTATTCGCAGATGGTACGTGCTGCATACCTGGCAGTTGGTGGCGACCTTGCAGAGTGCGGATGAACGATTACGGGCCATTGCTGGTGGACAACGGTCACGTCGGCAATAGGCCTGCATACCTTACCTTTCCTCACTTTCTCGCGGTGGTTCAATGGTAAAAATCCATCCTTAAGCACAATATCAGAAACAGAGCTACGTTGTAGACTACTGCTACAATCTCATGCGATGAGATAGAACCGAAATGCACACTTCTACGTTTTAATACTGCTACTCAACTACCCCCAATCTCCTTCTCCTTGCGACTCACGTCCTCCGGCAAACATCTTGCCAACCATATTGACGAGAGAGAGAACCCAATCATAAGAAGATAGACAGCATTACCACCCATCAGATTCCGCTCTATCGAGATTGCGAAGAGAGACGTCGATAGTGTGGGGCCGATGGTTCGGACGATGGAGGCTACTGTTTGAGAGAGTCCATTTGTGGCTCCGAGAGAGTGCGGATTAGGTGAGGCGGCGGTGATGAACATGAAGATACAGCCTAGATTGAAATGACGAAGTCAGTGAGATTAACGCACACCGAAGATCGTCCCAGCGTGGGATACTAGCTTTAAGGTTACGGTTGACGCTACAGACGTGAACATACCGTAGCCCATATCCATAATCACAAGCAAGCACAGTTGAAGCGCCACGACAGCCCAAACTTCCCATGACATACTCATCTCCCTCCTAACCAGGTAACCAATTACGGGAAATAGCCCGAACAACGGTGCAAAGACGCTCATAGCCATCATGAAAACCATTCTCGAGCCTAACAGCTTTACGATTTTGTTGAAGAATACCGCTTGGAACAGGCCGTTGAACAGACCAAAGGCACCTATGCAGTACCCAATCGTAGAGGGTGGGAAGCCAAGGCCGCCGAGTGAGATGGGGGTGGAGTAGAATAGAGGGATCAAGGCGAAGAGGGCGATGTCGAGAAGGGCGAGGGAGCCGTAGTTGCTCACGGAGATGATGACGGCTCTGTTTTTAATGAGTTTGCGGAGCGGAGTAGGTTCAGAGACAGATGCGTCTAGTGAATGTGGCGTGGAGGAATTCGCCTCGGTAAGAGCTGGATGCGATTCGGATGCGCTTTTGGCTTTGGGTAGGGTCTATGCCAAACAGTGAATGGTCAAAATATTGCTCGCAGGCATTCCCAGCCTGAGGTGAGAGGTGGTTCAACGGACGCACCTCTTGTAAGAGAAGTGCCGTGGCAAGGAAGGACAGTGCGCAAAAAGCAGCCGCCACACCACAAGGAAGAAAGTACGGATATTGTTTCCAGAACGTACTGCTGAAGGCCTTCGGAAACCTATCGCTAGGACGGGACAATACACCACCCATAAAAGACCTATCATGTTTTGGTACTGGTTGAGTGCATGTGCCTATCGTGAGAGCAGGCGAAATTCACTCACGCAATAGTGGAACCGGAGCTGTGGCAGAGACGTGATCATGTATGGTACCTTGTCAATACATGCAGAGCGGGGAGAGAAATGGTGGATCTTACGCAAATACTACAGGCATGAGGCCAAAAGCTTGCGCAATGTTTGTCTCATCCGTCAACTCAGCTGTGAGGCTCTTCATGACCCCTACATAGTCATAAAGGTCAACCTACGAAAGCGACATTCATAGCATATCACAGTACTCACCAGTATTGCCATTGAGGGCTCCAGCGAGACAGCGGCTGTGAGTCACAAAAGATGAATATAACGATTCGAGGCAAGAAGAAGGAACATGAACCTGATAACAAGTGTCCAGAACGTGCGAGATAGACCGAAGCAGATCATGGAGATAGTCAGTCCAAACAAGCCCTGCGTAATATATCACGCAGTGAGAATTGACAAGACAAAGACACATACGACCGAATGGACACGCACAATCAGCAGCACAGGCTTACGACCGATACGATCTGAAAGACGGCTCCACTGCAGAACCGTGATTGCCTCCACAGCAAAGAACAGCGAGTCCTACCAATGATAGGCAAAAGGTTAGAGATTCAGAAAGAAATGGCTAAAATATATGCCCTTACAATTATACCAACGTAGTAGCCCACTCGACTCTGATCGCCACGGGTGCTATCTAGTTCGGATACGAGCTGGTTGATGAATGGCAAGATACACAGCGCAGTGATGGGCTCCGCAAACTGAATCAAGATACAGACTCCAAGCTGCAGTTTCGGTAGGGGAGTATACGGTGGAGACACGGATACTGTGCTTTTTGCTGAGGTATAGTTGGCGTCGCCATCATCGTTGTCTCGATGACGGAGGAGAGGGGTATGTTCGTCTCCTCCGATGCTAGAGGTAGTTCGATCTAGAGAAGTCATAGCAGAAAGAGACTTCGATACAAACAGCCCTAGCTTTTTAGTGTACCTGCTCAAAGACTGTTGAAGGCTCGATGGTCGTAGAAGTCTTGACTCGAATAGAGCAAAAAAAAACTTACCCGGCCAACAAAAAGATGAGTCAGTTTCATGGCAGATAAGATAAGATGTCGCATAGTTAATCTAGCGAAACGAAACGATCCGATAGGCATCATTGTAATACGTCTCCCGCACCATTTAACCACGGCCTAGGGACAGGCATATGTTCGAGAAACATAGAGGATAGCTGGAAAATTCAACGTCGTGATGTACGAACAGCGAGGCAAGTCGCAGGAGGAACGAAGATCCTGAAGCGGAAATTGAGCGCCACCGGCGCGCGTCCCGGTCACACGTGGAAGATGTGGCGCAGTGTGGCCCTCCGACAAATGGTACTTGGTTAGTACAGTATTGTTTGGTCAGGGTTTCTGGACGGTAAACAAGTATGTCCAATATCTCTCCCATTAACAGTGACACCCTGCAAAATAAATAAATTTAATGAGTACACTGCAACCGCAGCGTCCCCAAGCTTCAAGGAGTAGAACACATAATGCTCGCCATCCAGCATAACAGGTCGCCGAATCTGTTCGAGCAGTTCACCACGAGCACCGTCAACGTTCCATGTCATTAGTATGAGTAGTCCCAGCGCCTCAGTATGTAGCCCGTCGCGTCATGTATTATACAACCGTCTGAAAACAGCCCGTCCGGGCAGCAGTCGCAATGAGTCCCGAGACCTCTCCAGATGGTAGGATATGCCATTATCATAGATAGCTGTGATTCGTTGATCGACATTCAAACTGATGAATATGCTGCGTAAGAATAATATCGCTCGTAAATAGTCTCAAGAGAAAGAGGCGGCAGTGTTTGGTAATCGAAGTAATATAAAGGATAGGTAGCATATTCTGGCAAAATGGAAACGAAAATACGGAGACGTGAAAGGAAAGAGGATAGGCGTAGTAAACCATGTAAGTGCAACGAACCTAAGGTCGTGAGGTGCAACCGTTAGGGAAAGTACACGGAGGGGTCTCGAGCGTGCTCTCTCTATTCCCCGAGCCAAGACGGAATACAATCTGCGGTGGATCAAAGTCAGCACTCATTCGAACTTCGAAGAGGGAGGTGAACGCTGTAACGTGGAAGTGACATGACGGGGAGATACCTACGGTACTACTGTGAGGAGTAAGCCGCTGATCTGCAGTCGTCATCGGCTGGCGGTCCAGTATATCGAACGACGATACCGTGGCTTCGTCCCAGTCTTGTCGCTGCCTTTGACGTCCGTTGAGAGTGGACATGAGGGAGTTGAAGTATACTATACACTCGCAGTGAGAGATGAGCTATTAAGAACATCGACTAGAGTATGGTGGATAAACCGAAAACGCACATTTGCTCAACACGAGATAGCTGCCATAGTACGCCAGACCTTTGACAGTGATAAACTAGACAAGCATCATTTCAGGTGGAACTTCGACTATTAAGTGGCCAAAAATACGGACGAGGATGAGGATCAGAAAGGCAACAGCACTGGAGAACCAGCGTCAGCACTCGAAATGATCTGTATTCGTGCGATGAGGACGTATAGCGTGAAATGTACCTTGTCAGGAGCCCAGTAGAGATGGTGTAGACGATGAGTACGTTCACAGTCGAGAATGTTCGGTTTCTGCGATGGTATTGAATTGACGAGACGCATTGTGTAAATAAGATATCCACTCACCGCTTGAGTAACGTACATCTCTTCCTCCAAAGAAGAAGTGAGAGTATAGCGGCGATTAATAGGTCTGAGATCGCGACTGATATGAGCAATACCCATAAACTGGTCTGTAGAAATAGGTGATGGAGGAGTCAGCCCGATCATGCTGGAAACTCCATATATTTACCAGTGTAAAACATACGTCGAAATTGTTTGTGTCAAAGCCGTTCATCGCAATGTACCTGAGTTACGGAAGAGAAGTCAGTATAACGCTGAACCCCGGATAACATTCGAGCAGATAATGGCGCACTCCACCACGCATAGATCTAAGTCACCTCGATCCGTGTTAGAAATGGTCATTGTCTGAGCGTGGAAGGAGTGCGCTCACATAGGGCAGCGACTTCCAAGCGGAAGGAGAGTGAAAAGCTGATTAGAACTAGACACAAAAGCAAGATGAAGGAAAGCGATTCACCGAAATTGACTATGATCGGGATGATCTGAACGCAGCACATGATAAGTGATGAGTCCATAGAAAACAGGAGAAAACTGACTAACGGCAGGAGCAGTGAGGTACCAGTTCTTTTCGCTCACTAGTTATAGAGTAAGTCTCGTTATGTAGATCTTCCTTTGCAGTATCGGGACATACAAGCGTGAATCCGAAGACAATAGAATCTTGAGGATGTTAGTATTCGGCCATATCTTTAAGGGTGAAAATTAGACCTACGAGCGAATGATAGTGTCTGCGAGGCTCTTTCGGGAGGTCAGTGACGAAAGTAGTACTTCGAGAGTCATTGCGCACAGTAAGGAGAACGCTAGACTAATATGAAAGTTAATAGTCAGTAGTCAGACCAGCGTTTCAGGGTTATCACGTCCACTGACCGTTACAGCCCTGCAAAGGAGCTGTGAGTTTCTGTAGAGATCACGAAGAATGAAGGGAGAGCGCACCAAGAGAATGTCTCGATCGTAGCAGTGGGAGCTTGACCGGTACTGACTGACATTGAAAGAAGGATTCCTTCAAAGACTGAAAATGCAGATAGGCATGACAGCGCTGTCTCCAACAGTCTGCGACAAGAAATTGCATAATCTGTCAATTCACTTTGCATCAAGAACGTTTGAACGAGACGTGCACGCACAGAAGTGCGGTAACCTGAAAACGGAACGGCATCGTAAGCGTAAACAGGGACAAGAACCGTGCGAGACGGAGAGTAGCGTACCATTCCCCTAAGCAGGAGTCTATCTTTTGGGAAATCCCTAAAGTAGTTATATGACTGCAGTGCTGTGATTCCATACAACCTACGTTGGGCAACAAATATACAATTCGGCGTGTTTCTGCACCAATATGGATATGAAGTGACGTACATTGCAGACAAGTAGCTCCCAACATAGATACAAACAAAGTCAATGTGAAGCAGTTCTTCTCGCTGGCTTCGTAGCGCAACCATGTTCAACCTTGTGAGTATCAAAGTGAGTAAAGCGAAGGATCTAGGGTAGAAAATGGGAGAATGTCAGGAGATTGAGAGGCTTGCATGCTCGTCAGCCTGGCGCGGAGGTCTCAGACTAGATGTCTCGGACAACTCTCGGCAGAAGTTCGGATATCGATGCTTAAGATTTTTGCTGCGTTAATCGTCAATGGAAAGACAACGAGTGATCGAGCAATCGGGACGATCGTATGTAGCGGAAGCATCCTGTTCTGGGACCCGGTTCAGGATGCTGAATTGGTTGTTGGCATGGTGTCCGTGCCATGCCGAAGTTCGTTCTGTGCAACGAACGATAGTTAATAATTCTGAGTAGAGAGCAGGTTTCAGTAGGATGTTTTTATTGTGTCTGTAGAAGGAGGGTTAAGTGAGACTTCAGAACATCGAAAGGCGCTATTCATTAGCAAGATACCAGAATTCGTCCAACTTTGCTACCTTCCGTTCCGAGTCGCGCTATTACTTCTTTTTGGCCTGTGGGAATATCCCGCTAGATAATAAAGAGAACTAGTGGTGGTGACGATGTGGCATAAGTAAAGTCCAAGTGACCTGGTAGGTCGCGGTTCAGAGCAAGTTCAGAGCAAAGGAAACTGTTTCGTGCAGGGTGCGAAGAGGCTCGCGTGGCGTTCGGCAAGTAGCGTAGGATCCCACACGCCGGTTTCTTCCGATAGACGCTTCTTGCACTTTCAAGGTTCTGCAAAGGTTCTGCGTTCTTGCCAACATCTTGCTGCCTTCTCCAGTCAACTTTCCGAAGGTAGTGTGGTATGCTCTTCGTCTAGTCAGCCTTGTCACTTTGACTCAACATCTATGGTTGCCTTCTCTGGGCGCGTTATGGACCACAACGGCTCACTCTTGAGTCTTCGCTCTTCGTTACATCAGCAAAACCCGGACGCGTCTGACGCGTCTGACGGCTCTGACCGAGCGGTTTTCAGACCCCGTCAGACGCGTCAGACGCTTCAGATTTCAGACGCGCCGTCAGACCCGTCAGACCGGTGCGCAAACTTCCGTCAGATCCGTCAGAGGCTTCAGTGCCTCACGCTATGGTCTCACTCACTCGCACTCACAGAGTATTGTAGAACTCAAAAGTTGTTTATTTCACGTTTAGAGGATCATGTACAGGATTCATAATGGAACTGGTAACCGTCTAACAGTATGATATAGGATAAATCTGAACCTCTTCACAGTTTGTACTGGTAGGCTTTGAGGACTGAGCACAACGAACGTACCCAAAAAAAAAAGCACGAGGTGTCTCTGAACGACTCGGCATTGCACGATATGGGGAGGAAGAAGCTGCTTGAAAAGGTAGGGGTGTGACAGTCTGCCGTGTACGATATGGTGTTGATGGTGAGTTGTCAAAAGGGAATGGACGATGAGACAGACTGAGACGATACATGAGCAGAAGGGTGATGCGGCGAGAAACGAATAACGCACTGACATATCGTCCGTTCCATCCCACTATTTCCCATGATATAACATTCGAGTAGCCTCTCAATACTCATTCAAGAGAAGGCGGACGGTCTTGACTCGATGTGAAGTCATCGTGCGCCAAGTCGTTGAGGGACTCTGAACCCAGCCAGATTGTAAGCTATGGAGTTCTGTAACAGGTCTTCAGCCGTGAGGGATCCGCGGAAACCCACATCCGTGCAGATCTAGGCCGTGTAGGAAGGCGAAAGGTGTTAAGGGAGGGTACAGAGGAGTATGTTTGACAGTAAAAGTCGACGCGCTCAAAAGACGAAGTGGCTCTGACGTCTGACGGCTCTGACGGCTCTGACGCGTCTGACGGAGTTCGGGTCGGTCCGTCAGAGCCGTCAGACGCGTCAGACGCCTCCGGGTTTTCCTGATGTATGCATCAGGAAGCCCGCCCGTGGACTCTCTGGCCAGCTCTTCCCAGATGTACTAGTAGAGAAACAGAAAAACATTGCTGGACAGAGCTGGCCAGAGGTACACAAGTCTACTCGCGCTTCTAGAAGAGCTGATTAGCACGCTGTCGCTGGGCTCGAAATAGTTGCTGGGGAATCACTTTTATGTTCGTTCTCCGAGCTTCTGCTTCGGACACGAAAATATTCATCGAGGAGGGTAGTCGTAGACCACCGACCCGTCAAGGGCGGCTAAAAATAATTTTATGCTATTTGGATCCTTACCTACGTGTCTTGTTCCGTGCAGACATGTACTTGGTGTGGACGTGCCGTGTCACTCATTCTGTGGATCTTATTGCTGTAGGACAGTACGGCGGGGGTATACACGGTCCTACGGGACCCATTTTGGGTATCAAATTGTGATATTTTCGTTTCCTTGACCGTCGAGCAACAGTATGTGTCACGCATTCTCACATGCACTGATGGTCTTGCGTCTCAGTGAAAGGCTCGTCGCTGATGAAAGCGGTCGAGATGATACCCGCTTCTTGCCGCGGGACGATGTACTCAGGAGGAGCAATACTCCGAATGACGGTAGTTATTTCGAATCAATCTCCCTCGACTTTCGTTTCGACTTCTCCGGACCTGGTACATCAGCGCGTCAGTCAGCCCCATTACTTTAATTTCGCACACTGGTCATATCATTACAACGGGGATCATGTATTCGCAGTATGCTTCCCACCGATCTTCGATCCTTTCGCTGCCTGCCCCACATCGAAGCTTCGCTTTCGTGAACAGTCGCGGTCACTAAGGTTTCTTGCTGCGCACAAATGCCAGTGCTGGGACAGGTTATGCCTTGTTCCACATAAACAGACACGGCACATGCGAGTTGATAAGTTCAGCCATGCATGTTGTAGTTGGGTAAAGTGGTCGAACGTTCAACGGTTGGACTCTTGCCAGATGTGTGTTGGAGAAGCGCTGCAGTCGGGCTACATGACACCCTGACCGATATTGAATATATTCAAGACAAATTAAAGCCCATTACTATGGTCTATTGTGTGAGGTTTGTTATCGAGAAACTCAGCGGTCTCTCCGTGGTACCCGAGCAATCCAACCGCATTTACGTACAGTGTCACATTGTTTACCACTCGCACCTCACACAAAGTCGTGAAGATCAACAATGAAGCTCCGTTTGGACGGTTGATGGGCGCTCGGCATGACCAGATCGACAGGGTCGTCTCATACTAAGCCCATGAGAAGTAGAGCAAAAGAGCCCGTTGCATCTACCCGATTGCCGAGGTTCCAATGGGGAAAGCGGTAAGGTCTTACATGTTCATTCACGTACGCCCTGAGTCCCACATCGAGGTGACCCTGACTGTCCGTTCGTTTTTGTTCTGGATCTGTCTCTGCGCTTCGAGAGTGACCGCAGTCTGCGACTGGTATTTGGCCACTATGGGCTCAACTTTGTACGTCGGGTCAGTTGCTTTCGGCATTTTGTTCTCGCTATGCTCATTGGTGGAATTGTGCGCTTCGATCGAGGTGTGGTTTAGCGTTGATAACCTCTTGGAGTTTCAGGATGTTTGCACAATCAGCTTACTACCGCGAGGGTCTTGCTCGGGTAAGACCTCTGCCACTCTTCCAAAGGTGGCACTTTGTGTCTTGTCGAGCGGAAGAAATCACACGCCGATGATGTTCCGCATCGGAAAGGCAAACATTGGGGAGTTTCAAGAGTCGGAGGTGTACTTGAGTATGAGTTGCTCATACGCGCCTCACCTGGCCGCCGCCGCCGTTCTTAGAAGAGGAAGACGTGGACAAACAATAGCGCAGGTCGAGTTTCCGTAAGGCTGAATATGTCTGTACCCTGTGCACTGTAAACGAACGAGTCCACGATCTCTCTCGCCGACTTGGCGCAGTAGCAGGGATGTCATTTAACGCCAAGTTATTCGCACAATATGACGAGCGCCTGTCAGGCGCCACGAGACTTGGCCTCACTACCCACATTGACGCTCGCGTTGGCATCTTCACCCATTGCCGATTCATCGTGACTGTGTCTGAGGTAGATAATTTCAGCTAAAAGGTTCATCGGCACCAAAGAGGAACTGAAGTCGAATTACGAGCAGATATCGGTACGAATATAACAACGTTTCAAAGTGGAGCAGCGCCGGTCATATCAATAGACAAGCTAGGCATTTACGGTGAAGAACCCTACCCCTTCCCCTCTCGACACTTGACTCGGGCGTGAAGGGCACCCCCTACTACAGAACAACGACCCACCTCCCTACAACCCAGTTCGCCTCGGCATACGACATTCTGATGCGTGATGCAGACTTCTACGAGTTTGAGAAGAACATTCGGACAAGGTAGTAGAAAAGATCTTGTCGGAGCGGAAGTTGTGTTGATCCAGCGGGAAGGTCAGTCCATTGATTTCGGTACCCCAGACGGCCACATTACTCTTTGCTGACTAGCGGCATCTCTCTGGGCTCTCGAATTCCTCGCAGCCGCGGATCTTTCCATCCTGACGCTCCTCTCCACCCTCACCTGCAGCGGTTCCGGCGTCAGACCGTTCTCCACATCCATATCGTCCTCTCTATCCAGTTGACCGATCATTTCCTGCGCCACGGCCCTGTCCCTCGACCGTGGAGAGAGCAGCGCTGTAGGCGTGAGTGGGGAGAGCGGGGTGTGTCCCGCTCCGGACGCTGATGCGGAGACATACAACGAAGGAGCGTGGAATTTACCACCGCTATTTCTGGTGACTTTCTTGTTGCCGGGGCCTGTTTCAGATCCTGACAGAGAGAAAACTGGCTTTCGGAATGGCGCGTCCATTTGTTGTGAGTGCAGGATGTGCGAGAGCGATTGTGGATCGAGAGAGTGAGTCATGACAACGGAGCCGACGTTGGCAAATTCACGAAGTTCACGGGTGGTGGCGGCTTCTGTGTAGTAGTGTCAAAGACGCAGTTCCAGCGGCAGTTCCGGGTCGTGGGAAGGCGACGGTGAGGTGGGCGCAAAGAACAGTGGCAAGTAGGCCGCCGAATAGTTGTTCCATCGTAAAGGTAGATGAGGACATCAATACGAAGTGTAGTGGATGCGTCAGAAATAGCAGTCAGCGCACGAACTTCACTGGAGGTACAGAATCGTGTGGGTCTAGAAAAAAATAACCCATTGCTCCGAGGTACCACAGCCTGGACCTGAGCAATGTGGCATCGAGGAGGAACAGGCTTACCGTAGAGATGGATAAGAATATTCTGACTCATGATCCATGTGACAGTGTACCCAGCTGAAACACTGAAGAACCGTAACCTCGTCAGCAAGCTGTCCTGTGCGGCGAATACGAGGAACGGACGGCGCACCCCGCAGTCTGAGAAGCACAGGATTCAGTTCTATCGGCCATGGACGGTGATTTACGATACATGAAGTGTGGCCAAGATGTACGTACCTGAATCTCCGCATTGTTCCCACTTGTATGATATAGGACGAGGTTACAGACATTGGCGACTGCAAACGCGGGTCAACTCAAGGCGCCTATTGAGATAAAGTCGAGTGGGCTGTACAGGTGATCACTACAAAATACCCCAAGCCATCGTACAGCATACTAGAATACCTCATCAGTAAGGGAAGAACCAGATGGTGCGACAGGTAGCCTTACACAGTCAGGAAATGCGGCACTCTGGAATTGAGGGCGTCGTCATGAGCTATATGAATAGGTATGCAAGAATAGGATCATCGTACCCGTTGTATTCGGGTATGTACTTCAGCAAGTACACAACAGACACTCCGACCGTGACAAGGTCGAAGATGATAGCTATCAGATAGTACGCCCACGCAGTTAGGAAAGTATTGGAGTTAAACGCATGACAGCTGTATATTTCCGTCAATCAACAATGAACTCACACGCACAAGAACGGAGACTCACTTTCCCTAAAGTATGCGATGTAGCAGAGATTTCAGTGTCCGACTAGAACGGCCGTGAGTTAGCATGGCGTACCTGCGTCTGAACGTCTACAAGGAAAGCATTAAGTCCCATTCAATTTGAAAGATAATATGACCGCTTACATTCTCGCTTGTACAGGGTCGTAAACCACTGCATCTTTAGTGGAAATAAGCATATTGGACAAACAAGTCGACTGAATTACTCACCGAGCAAGCTAGGACATAAAATCCGATGATGAACTTGGCCATCCTTGGATCACTCCGTGAAATCATGAAAGTACTGTAGCCAAATGGAGGACAATCAGTAGAGAATCCTAAATCCCAAAAAATCCTGAGAGATTACCGATAGCCCATAATTGCCTGCGATGCCATTATCTGGCCGACTGGAATGGATGTCAGTGAATGATCGGTTCGCTACACTTTTTTATTGGTACCTTTGAAGACAGGAGCTAAAAAAAAGTAGTGCGAACATGCTTGAGCAGTGAAGCCCTTGTAAAAGTAGCCCACGGAGCTGAAGACGATGACCGACACGCTGAGATACCTACGTCGGTCGTGAGCCGCTTGTTGCATGCTACTGATAAAGACATTGACCGCACCGGATCAGAACAAAGAGAGCACATAGAACGCTAGTAAAGTACATTCGGAGTCAGCGGCCTCTTGAATCGGACAGGGTTGGGCGAAAAGCCTTACCTGATTCGTCTTCGACCCTTCTGTGCTCTATAGATTCTCCACTCTGTCGGAAGAGTTTGAATGTAACTATCGCAGGACGACAAAAGACATCAGTCCTCGGATTCTTGAAAGCCAAGCGGAACACGCACTCCCAGATGGCTACCCCTAGCATAGCGACTCGCAGGTATTCAGCCCATAGGGCAGGTTGTGTGTCGACATGGAAGTTCGCGGTGCTCATGGCAAAACCAAGCAAGCGAGGGAAAACGCAGACAATGCGGATTTAAGGGTCGAAGCAAGGCCAGCTGTCAAATTTGTCGTGAGAGCGACTTAGTGCAGAGAAAGGCTCGAAGTTAGCCAAGTGTCAAGGAAGGAGAGGTGAAAGAGCGAAGGAATGGACGTCGCGGCAATGCGCTCAAGCTTGTTCAAGTCGAGAGGGGAGTTGGTGGCGTGTGGGAGTCGATGGGCAGGTCGGGGAGCAGAAATGAATGCAGGTGGCAATCAGCGCGACTTTTGGGAACTCATCTATCCTTTTGGTGAATATAAATCAGTGATTTATCCACTCTATGCCCTGGATCTGTACCCGCGGGAATGAGATCCTGTGCAGAGCGCCACTACACCCATATCGGCTTGGCATGTGTTGATACCGCCTGTCAACGACACCACGGAGCCGGAGCAACTTCATAATAACAATGCTATACCTAGAAAGAGTGTGATCTATGCGGAAGCTTAAAAGCCACAGAACCACAGTAAAAGAGATCAACTATCGCTTTGGTTTCCTAAAAGATGCGATGCCAAAAGCACCCAGGAAGACAGAGAAAGAAGATGCGGCGAGGAACGAAGCTAGCCATGCGTACTTTTAATAACTCCACGTTTGGCATCCGTGTGCGAAGAGGATCTTTTAGAGCGGAACCTTAGCCACGCACGGGTACAGTGAATAGCATGGACGGAGCCTTCGTCTGCACAAAAGACGAAGCTGAGGGCCTTCGCAAGTTCGAATGATGATCGGATCGTCAAGTTCTGTTCAGCAATCCCGTAGCACTGATGGTAGCGCGCCGTACACGCATGTACAGGTTCCATTGCAGAGAAGAAGCATGGCACATGCATGCTGCCAATTTGCTAAGACAACAAGAGACCTATCTGGGTGATCAAGCTTTCAGAGTTAGCAGCGAACGACAAACCGAGAGAAAAAGTCCGAAACGATGTGCGGAGCCCCACGAAGTCACGGCGAAGTCCGGGAGCGGAGAATGAAAGTCGAAGCGGAAATTCCGGCCCATTCAAGTCGACCAAAGTAATATCTTGTGGAATGTCGCGGCTAGTATATACACAGTGGATCTAAGAGACATATGAGAGAATTAAGTACATTGTCCGTGGTAAATTAGCGTACACTATTAGTTGACAAATATAAGCAATGCGATGAAGAGCGAAACCACCGTGTACGAGGAACGCCATGCGAGGAGATGAGCAGGACCGAAAACAGACGACAGAGAGAAATATATGATAGGGTAGCGAGAGACTAGGCTGATGGAAAAGGCTACAAGTGGTAGTAGTACTGTAGACCAAACTGGAATGCACAGCGAAAACGGGAAAGCAAGACGGACATAGTGCGATACGCTCTTCCAGAGAGACTGATATAAGGGTCTAGCGGGTCTTAGAAGGTGCGAACCAGTGATTTGAGGGGACGGGGAAGTTGTCTTCACTCAACGTCCAACGGATCCCGACGATCCAGGCACTAGCGGTCGGTGAACAGGTTTTGAGACAGGTGGTTAGCTACATTGAATTAACGAACCGGGATGGCGAGACCGAGTGTGAAAGACGTACTGGAGGCGGTGAGCTGTTGCAACTGCGCAACGCTGTTCCATGTTATACGGTGCATGGCACGCTCTCGCTCACTTGAAGTCTGGGCCACATCACTGCCGAGTCCGAGATTAAGCGCCATCTTGGTCGCCATCTGGCTATACTCGAAGAAGCCTGGAGGAATTCATAAGTACGAATGAAGACACATCAAAAATCCAAGGTGAACTCACCGGCCGTGCGACCATTCTTGTATTCTGTCCACGCTATGATGATGACTGCGTGAAGAACTTCCAGGTACGGGACTTGTGAGCTCGATGAGAGTAAGCGCTACAGCATGAACGGTAAGGCAAGATTAATTATATTGAACGAGGTTAACTTACCTTTGTGTTGTTTGTATATGCCTCTGTGACAGCAGAAACGCCTCGAGAAACTATCTCACTTGATTGCGAGTACCTGAAAGATGATTAGAGCAGACCACACATCAAGGCCATGCCGACTCACCTTGATGCCAACGCGGCAATGCTGCTCGCCAAGACGGGAGAAAGCGTACCGTTGTAGAATCGCTTCTGAATGTCTTCCGAGCTCAGAAAGGGGAAATTCTGGCCGAAGCGCTGGAAGAATATTTGTATAAACTGGGCCATCACGGCCGCTTGTGGGACACCAGGCTGATGTGGGTCGAAGAGAGGTGGCGACGGAGATGCAGATGAACCTTGACTGTATGAACGATTATGATACACGGTAGTAGGGTCTTGAGGTAGACCGCTGGGCAAAGCGGAAGTCCCGTAGCCATTCCCACTGTAGCTGTGGCCCGAAGTATGGGAAAGCGGAGATGCGACATACTGAGCTCTAATGATTTAATGCGCCACATGAGTAAGATCGCGCAGGCGCCGCGAGGATAACAAAAATAGGAGCTTTGCAAACGAATGACGAATGCTTACCTGCGGTCAGAGGAGTCACTCGGATACGACATATCTGCACCCGAAGAGCCGTATGGATTGGGCGAGGACGCGGCATACCGTTGGGACTGATGTGCAGCAACCGAGTTCGCAGGTTGAGCGGGACTCGGATACCAGTCAGAAGCGCCGTCAAACGAGGCGCGATTAGATGTATAGGAGTCTTTCTGTCCAGTAGCAGGGGTGGAAGATCGACGTTGGTGATTCGAAGCAGATGAAGAGGGGCGCTCAGTAGAGCCACCAGTGACAATCCGACTGCGCTCTGCGAAGTATCGTTCGCGATCGCGGAAGAGACAGGAGACTTGAAGAGATTCGCAGGACTCGCATCTCTCCTGGTCCTTCGACTGAACGCACTTGATCTTTTTCAACCGACTACTCAACATCAGTCTCGACGTCGTTGGGAACAGGGGAGGTATCGTACGCACCAATTGTCGCATGAAGTCACTAAACGGGGCCTCTTCTTGTGCGTCGGACTATGTTGGGGCGACTCCATCACGAAGCGTAAGTTGTCCATAGCAGCGAAATTAGCGAGACAAAGACCAAGGCAAGGACGACGATAAAGACCCGAAGAAACGAAAAAAAAGGACAAGAGCAAGAAACAAGACACAAAGCACGCAGGCTTGACGAAGGACCGGAAGTAAATCCAAAGGTGGATGACGAGGCTGTCGTATTTAAAGTCGCATCACGGAACCCCCAGAGATCTGGAGATGTGCCGAGACACGACCAAATCTGAAGCAGAACAGGTACAAGGCTCGGTTCCCAGGACGCCCAGAGACCGAGATTTGGCGTAGGATTTCAAACCGAATCATTCGTCCCTGACTACGAACTGCAAGCTGCGAGATCCGATGGCAGCGGGCTCCATGTCTAGTTTTGCGTTAGTCAGCAACGAGTGTGTATCCGTCGAGGGAAAAAAAGCTGGCGTCTACATCGCGCGCTCCTCGTGTGATGGGTTCTTCTGAACATCAAGCATGAAACTGTGCAAAGAAGTTTGCACTACAGTCAGCATACCAAATCCATCTGACGCAGCAGATGGGCCCAATGACAACAACTCACGGCCTCCGGGTACGAGCGGATGTTAGAGGAATCGCAGGGGCTCTAACGAGCCGAACACTTCAGCAACGGCACAGCAGAGAGGGTAGTTTCATGATCTTGATGGTTCGGTGAAACCCGTGTGTGGCGTACCTCGTGTGCCCTCCTGTATTGTCTCTGACATCCCCCGGAGACTCCGCATCGAAAAGGAGATGATCATCATCAGCTTTCAGACTCGGCGGCGTCATGGCTCTAAGAAGCACATGAAACAAACTTCTATGTACAAAGGGGGCAGATTTTCAGGCATCTACCCACGCCTTCTTCCTGCCCCGCAACTCCGCCGGTTCGTCATAAACGATGTGATGTGGCCCAGTGCCACTGCCGGGCGCAGCGTTCTCGACAATTCATGATCACCTTCCACATCGCATACCGTCCAATAAATCAGTGAGGACTTGAGGAGGCCTCATTGGATGAATGGAACCGCAATCCAAGGTCGCCGCTCGGTTCAGACTAATGGCCGTTCGTGGCCGAGACTTCTCCCTCCTGTCAGTCGTAACGCTGTGCGAATTAGTAAGTCATTGGAACCCTACTTACCTTGGCGCAACGAGGGCGGCGTATATGGGTTGGTGCTAGGTCGGAGAGCAAAGACCGTCGAGTATAGTGGACGCAGTTGTGCACGAAGTAGCGGCGAGTGCGTATGTAGTCTGAGAGGGAACGGAACAGAATATTGCAATTGAGTTGTGCTTAGGCTGATCCGCTTGATCCGACTGGCTCAGCAAAGCCAATGTTGGTCCACTCTGTCTGAGGCGGTGGTTGATGCGCAGAACACGGCAATCTGGACGATTCAAAAAAGGAAGAAGCTTGACCGTAAAACCCAGCTCGCAGGTCGAATAATATTCTAGCCTGCGAACGAAACATCACTTTCTCGCCACCGTTCCTATTCTTGGCTTTTGGGTATATGGTACGGTCTTCGGTGTTGCTGGTTTGGACAAAAATACGCCGCTTCCATCACATCATCATAAAAGAACGCTCGAGCTTGTACAGCCCGAAGGACCGATCTGGAACGCCCCCCTGATGAGAGCTCGAGTGGGAGCCAATACGCCCACGCACGCCGAGGTAAACACACCACTGGAACCTGGCACCATACGCGATTAATAGCCTGTGGCCACACAAAGTTCCGAGCGTCCTATATAAATACTGAAGAAAGGATGCTAGACACCTAGCGTACTTATGCACAGCCTCCGGAGAATACAACGTCATGTAGAGACATGATTGCCATAAAAAACAGCACGTACTTATAGCTGTAGTATGATGAAGTGCGCCACAGCAGTAACCTCGTAACGATGAAGACACTTCAGCAGCCTGTGTCTCTGCAGGCGTACATACGTTTACCGAACTCATCTTACATGTCGCGCTCGATCGTGTAGAGCGCTTAAGGCGCTTCATAAGGTGCTGCAAGTGACCGAGACGCCTCCATACCGTCTCCTAGCCTCTCGCCACCGTGATCATCAATCCGCGAGGCAAAAGCATCCCGCAATTCCCACCGGCAGTTTCTTGATAGTATGGGCGAGCGGAATCGCCGAAGGACTCGTGTGAGAAATCGTCACTGCTTCCTTCCTTGGCCTCGACAGCTCGACACGTCAGGAAGGCAAGAACGGCGACTTCGAGACAACGAATAGGACCTGCGACAGGCTTCTAACTCGGGCTATTCTGGTGCCCAACAGGCCAAGGCTCCGACAGCTGCAAGCACACGCTCACCCTCGTCGTCCGTACGACCAACAAAAAGAATTCCAGTTTTTTTCCGATATAAATAGTTCACCGAGTGAATAGGTCGAGTCAAAATTCGAAACATGAAACTCACATTCTTCCCTGCCCGAAGCCTCCGGTCTTAAGACTGAGAAAGGACTGTATGTGGTCTATAGGTGGAATAAGTTACCGAAATGATCTCGGTCTGAGCGAACTACCGTGTTAAAAAAAGGATGACATTAGTCAGTTCTATGCAATGTAACCGATCCGATTCACGCCCAAAAAACACTACACACAAAAAACGACGCCGCCGACATCACGCTCGGCCACGCCTCCTTGCCCACCGAACACGCCAACCCGACTGAAGAACACGATGTCTGCCGAATACATACCCACCCCGCCCGAAGATAGCCACCTCTTGGAAATACTGCGGTAATAATAGATGTTGGAACAGACACACGAAGACGCACAACTAGCACGGTTACCGATGAGGAGGCGATAGAGTCAAGGCGATCAGCGAATATCCTTGTTTCAATCCCGGAGGACAAAGGAACCAATAACCTCGGGAAAATTCAACTTACCATCGAAGGGCGCACAACTCTGAACATAGCAGTCGGTCAGTCACGACGTAGGTGACCGTTTTCCTCCGCCGGGGGCTCCTCTCCGAAACTCCACGGATCGGGATCCTCGAGACCGTCCGCCGCCAAGCTCGAGCGAGTTTTTGCATCGAACGCTCTCTTTGCTGAGGGCGGATCGTAGGTATCTAAACCGAGCTCGCGATCCAGCTCCCGCAGCTCCCGCTCTTGCCGTTCCTCGTCGCCTTCTCCGTCGGCATCATCCACGGAAAATAGTAGTTGCGGCGGTTCGTGGTAAGTACCTAGATGACCGTCGATCATTGCTGCTTCGGAGGAAGTAGCCGTGTCGTTTGTATTTGACCATTCGTGACTTGCACGCGTGTGTGGATCCTAAATGTCCGTCAGACCATGACAAGGTTGAACGAGTCATTGGGATTGCATGGTAAGGTTCGTCAGCATATATCACTAAGGACAAGCACGTCGAAGCACAGCACCAAGCAAAGAACGTTCCCATTGCGTTTGCGTATTGCAGCATCCCGCGTACGGCAGAAGACTGTTGGGACGGTCTTCCGAGAAAGCAAAGAGTAGCGAGAAAAAAACTCACGGCTTCAAGATCCATCGTTCTGGCCAACGGTACCCTTTCCTCGTCTCCACCCATTGACAATCCTCCAACTCCATCATCGTATGCACCAATGGATCCGCGACCCATTGTCAACCCCAACGCATCACTTGTTTCGTCTTCTATCACGATCGGATTTCCGTGGGCATCGAGCGGCACTGGAGATTCGATCGACTTTCGGTACTTGTGATAGGTGAAAAGCCCGATCCCTAACGAGCGGGAGCGATAGCATTCGCGTGGTGTTTATTTGGGCGTTATTGCACGTCGTCGAGTCGCGAGGGTGTTATACGGCGTGGCGTGTGGCGGGCAGGGATGACGACACGTGTGAACGAGGCACATAGACAGACAATACAAATTGGGGATATAGTCAGCGATCAAAAGAATTCACTCCTGCAAAGCGTACACCGCCACAAAGACGATGCTTAGCCGATGAATAAATGAAATCGGTCCAACTTCTCGGGCTAAACCCACTGGTAAGCCTCCGAGAAGCACCATACGCCACAGACCGACGGCATAATGAAAGCTGGCTGAAATACTACAGACAAAAACATCGCGATATTGGGACTGCGTCCGAACTGTAGTGTCGCCCCGATACATACCGCGTGAGAGCATCTCTGTGGCAGTTAGCGGCCGCCAGCGATGAGAAGCACGAAAGTACAAGTCGCGCGGGCATCATCCATCAAAACTCCATCAGGGCGAACAATCGAAGCGCAAGCCGAGAAGAGCTCTTCCTCTTCCTTTGAACGAACGCATCGAGAACGCAGTTGGTTCCTTCCGCACCGCATTGGACAAGGAAGAGCAGTGCACGAAAGGTGGACCTCGGCCTGGACACTCAGCGCAATATAGGGACGAAAAGAGACCATCCATCCGCTCCACTGTGGACCACTTGAATGACACTATTGCTCAGTGCAGAGTACACACCTGTATACTCTTCCGAGTCGGATCCTCATGCGTCGAAACGCGTGCAACAAAGTGCGGGGGTGTCGAATAAAATTAGACTTGATGGCAATGCAAACAAGGTGCCGTTCGACGGCGAACAGCAGTACTTACTGATAGCAATGGACACCTACAACTCGAATAAATTCGAGTGATGTCGCCAGCAAGACGAACACACGAACACGACGGCAACTGTTCTCCACCGATTCTGGAGACGCGGAAGGACAATTCTAAAGGGACATTTCCCGAGCAGCATCGGATTGATGAGAGGAGACCGTTAGGGTTCTGCTCAGAGCTCAAGGCATCAAGAATGTAGGACAACCCCAAGACGACCGAGACGAGTCAACCTCTCACGCCCACGCTCCACAACCTGCTGATATGCATATGCACTCTGATAGCTGCGTGATCTGAACACCCAGGCAGGAAGCCAGAAGCCCAGCCAGGAACAAGGGATGTTGCAGAAGTGCGAAGTGATCAACATCACTGAAGTCGGAATGTATGCACCGCACAAAAACATACTGATAGGAACCGACTGGTTTTTCCAAGACACAAAAGAAGGGAGAGGGAACGCACCAGAGATGGCGATACTGACGCCGGTGATGTTCAAGGGCGTAAGCTCGTCACCGAAGACCCAGGCCGAGACAGTGATGGTGGCGACCTCCTTCGCTATCCCTGCAATCGACATGGGAACGACGCCGATGCGCTGGATGATGCTATTCGAGTCAAGTCATTGCGCCCAAGTCGATGCATTCAGGATGTGGGTCGCAGCGATTGTGGAAGGTTTTAGACGCGTGTGGTGGTGGTGCCGAGCGCGAACGCGTCCACATATTGGAAAGGCAGTTTATGATGCATCAAGGGGTCGGTCAGTCATCAAGTGTGTCGGACCATACCGCATGCGAGACGAAGGCCACACACGCCACCGCCAGAGTTATGCGCATGACATGTTGCGTTTGACGGTGACAGTCATTCGAGTGACAAGAGCGCGTGGAAAAAGAGCGGAACAAAAGTAAGCAATTTATCGGGCAGGCGGGGAATATGTCTCGTAATGTCGAATAGGCGTATGACGCGGGAAAGAATGATGACAGGAAAGGAATGAGACGTACTAATACTCACTCAGCACCATACTGAAGCCCAGCATTCCAGGGATCAACAAGCTGACGCACGTGGTCGTAGCCTGTCCGACACTGCTGAACCATTTTTGTTCGCGGAACAAGCCAACCCAGTCGTCCACGAACATACTGATGACGCCGAGCGTGACGGCCATGATAGGACTGAGCCACCAGATCGTAGCGGCTGGATTGTCCAAGCCCTGTTTCGAAAATTAAACTCAGAACATGATGGGTATGAAAGGAACGAATCATGCCATACCATTTTTCGGTCTCTCAACAACACCTGCGTTAGCGCCCACCTAAAACCGCCGCTCAGGCTCGCACTCATGACCAGGATGAAACCGACAAGAACGAAGTGCGTCTGAGTGAAGACCATAAGGAGCACGCCGGAAACGATGAGAAAAATAACGAAGACGAGACGCCATGACGGTTGCTCCAGCTTGAAAAGAAAGGCGAAGAGGAGAACGAATATCAAGGACGAGGATTTACACATGGCTATTTTGGGTGCACTCGTTAGACAGGTGTCTCGACGGGATGGGTGACGAGAGAGAAGACGCACTGTAGAATGATAACGTGATGGTTTGAAGGGAGACATTGGACAATCCGATGTCCAGACCAGTCATGACACCTGTCGGGGCCGCTTTTTGCCTAGGAAAATAGACGATGGTAAGCACGGGTAATGTTCTCGGCAGTTCGTTCAACAACCAACGAGTACGACATTCAAGCCAGAATTCGATGACACCGGGAAATACGATCGAACTGTGGTTGCAGGACATTCTCCGACTGGCTATTGTAGTCCCACGACCGACACCAGACCATGAAATTTCGTGCTAGGCTTGTCGAAGCGCCGGGTATTCCGCTCGTTACCACCCCTCAAATTCCGCAAGTATTCGTCTGCACAAGGCAAGGACGGGCGCCCAGGGGATCGCACTAGCATGAACTACTAGACTTCCGAGAATATCACTAGTGCTTGCACGGAAGGACTCGAAATAATTCCGCGGGCCTCTGTGGCGCAGAAGCCACCTCGCTAGGAGTTTTAGAGACTTCAGTGGCGTGTGGTAGTACTGTCTTCCCGTTAAGCTACATCCGCTTTGAAGAGAAGCTTTCCCGAGTATATCATATCTGCTAAGCGATAGCCTAGGGGGTGTCAAAGCGGAAGATGAACCGCATGGAGCAGGCAGAGTCATAATTGAATATCCACGGGCTTTGAACGACTACCGTCCGTGAGATGAGCGGTAGGATGACATTCAAGCTATCGCCGCTTGGTTCGTGGGTAGCTTCCAATCGAAACATAGATCTCGAAAACCAGAACCACAACTGTGTTCTGTTATTGCAGGATCCTCAACGAGGACCCCGGGAACTATTCACGGATGTAGTGCGAATCTTTGCAACGGACGTGGGTTCACTCACAGACGGATGAGTGGAAAAGTGCTTGTGAGGCCACCACACTGCATCAAGGGAAGCCTTATGGCCGACCGAGGCTTGTTTGTTCTCTCGATAGACCATGCAGCTGGGTGCCAAACCACAAACCACCGAACAGACAGAGTTTCGGCGGCGCCGAGCATAGTTCGTCAATGGACCGTGACAACGCGATCCTTGTAAGTCCGTTTCACGACCACAAGTAGTCGCGCGATTTAGCAGCCGATCGTGCACCCCCTCCAGCATTTGAAGAGACAGCCATGCATACGAAGAGACGCTAAGAGAGTGACCTCCGAGCGGAAGCTAGGAAGAGGTGAAAACTACTCACATCCACTGTTTCCTGTCTGGGTCCAGTTTTGGCCGGAACACTCTGGGCATCCCGAATCGTAGCGCGCTCGCCAGGATAAATTGGACGATCATTTGCGTGAACGTAGCGAATAGCGGGTATGGGAAACCGAAACGTTCTGGCGAGAACATATATTTATTGTAGAGGGATATTAGAAGGCCGAATGTGAACCTTGATCGGCAAAAGCAAGAGTCAGAGTCCAACAGAGAGCACGAAGGGCCAGCACATCGCGAGTGGGTATAGACAATTGGGCGAAGGTATAAGCAAAGTCGACGACGAATAGAACCGAGAAAGGCGTGAGCACAAGGAGCGGTACATCAGAGCTGGACAAACGCACCACGCGGCAATAAAGATAGCATTAATCACAGCATTTCGCCACCACAGTCTCTTCTTCTCTGCCTCGCTCGCGAGATGCAGATCGGAAACTTCGCCCTCTACGCTCCTCCGCCATGGCACGCTCTCGTCCTGCTCGTCATAAGCGCCTGAGACCTCGAGAACCGTCGAGACTGGAGTATCTGCAAGTCGTATACCGTGTTCTGGTGGAGGGTAAGTATCAGGAGGAGAATAAGCTGGAGGGTCGTCGATGTGTGGCCCTCCGTCTGTGTACGCGCGAGTAGACATGGATGAAGCTCAGACTTCGACAGCTTTCGTGTTCGAGCAGACAAGCATGCGTGGGAATAGAATACGGCAACGGCCGTATCGACGGACATTCGAGTTGTTGTGGCCACAAATGAGTCCAGCTCAGGCCGTGAAGAGATAATATATCGAGAAAAACATGAAAAAAATGAAATGCATATAGTACTAACATATGAGAACACGAATTAGTCCAAGCCCGGCTCCTGTGCCTTTCAAAGCCTTCGCCTCTGCGCCACCCTTCCCTGGTCATCATCGGCCGACTCGTCTCTCTGCTGCTTGGGAGGTCTGCCTCGTGGAATGTCCTTGCCGCAACTACCCTCGTGAGTCTTGCAGATATCACTCCGAGAGAAAGTAGCGAGACACTTGGGACAAGCGTGTGGCTTTTCTCCCGTGTGAGTCCGCATGTGGCGCGCCACATCCCGTGTGACCACCTTCCCGCAACCGGGCCACTTGCATTTTTCCCCGTTCTTCGTTGTGTTGTCCGCTTTCTTCCCTACTCTCACTTTCTTCCCCGCCACCCCTTCTTTCTCTCTTCTCTCGTTGTTTCTGTCTGTTGCTCTGGAATCAGTGACTGGCAGGGTTAAATGCCCACAGCAAAACCTACTAAGCCATTCACTGCTGGGTCCTGTTTCGGGGACTTCCCTGGACTCAGGCCTGGTTTGAACTTGGTAGGTTTTGCTGTGGGCGTGCGCTGTGGTCTTGGTCAGAACCAGACGAGACTGAAAATTTTCGGCATTGTATATACCTTCGTTGGCGATACTTATTTCGCTATACTCTCTATTCGTTTCGCCCGGCGGGTCCGCGCCTTCGACGCTGCTGCAACACGCCACCGAACCTTCGTCGCTCGTGCTTTCTTCTTCCTCTTCCCTTTGGTCAGCGGGGTTGTCGACCATCTCGATATCCTCAAGTTGTCCATTGTACGCGGTATACGCAACGCCCGCGTAGGACTCAACGTTGGACGGAGTTGCAGTGGCGGCGAACTGAGTCGGTTCGGTTTTGGACAGGGACTCGATCATGCTCAGGATAGCTTCGTTGAAGGTGCAGTAGAGGTCGGTCGAGGGGACTGGGGCAACGGTCGCCGATTGAGCTGGGTGTTGATCTACCGCAGTCAGAGTGTTTGAAGTGGTAGCACTATCGGCCGGGCTGGGTAGAGCGAGCTGGTCGGCAACGGGTTCGACGTCCTAGGTGTGTTCGGTGTTGTTATTTTGTTGCTCGTTCTTTTGTCCATCAATGCACATACGAACCTTCCCTGTCTTTCCCGTTATTTCCTCGTCGTCATAATCGTCCATGCATTGAGGGCCGGGGAGATATCCCTACACGATGATCGGCAGCCATTCAGCACGCCATACAATTACAATACCATCAACTATGCACATACCATCGCTACAGAGATCAGATTGTTCTCTTCCTGATCCTCCTCGCTCTTGTCTACATTCCGGGTGCCCCCGAACGTCGAAAACGCGTCGAGCGACGCGTCGCGATCGATATCGGAATGGGATACGACTCCACTCGTACTATTTACACCCGTGCTAGTAGTAGTAAGGCTACTCGGCCCAGTACTGCCAGGCTCGGAGCATATATCAGAGAACGTGAATGCGTTCTCAGCTATATGCTCTATACGAGCCCATTCATCCTCTTCTGGAGAGTGCGCGGCAGTGCTGGGGGACATCAACATCGTGGTGACGAGTAGGGATGGGGAATTGGGCGGGTGGCGCGTCGCGTCGTTTATAGGATGTGAAATGAGCGTGGGCGTGAGCGTGTCTGTTCACGTGGGGTGAGCTGGATTGGGAATGGTTCTTTTTTTGCACACGCCATAGATTTATGGAAATTCGAATTGTTGCTCTGAGCGATCCTTGCACCTGAATCTGCTTCCTGGCTACTTTGTCGCCTAGCATTCACGCTTATCGTAGCTCATAGAGGACCTCTCTTTTCTAACATGTTCATAAATCCTTAAATGTCGTTCGCTACGACAATTTAGTGGAACTTTTTCAGGACACACACTGGGCCACACCGGGGTGCCACTTGGACTCCTCTGTCGAAGCGATGGATAACTGTACTTTGCTCTCACTCACGAACTGGTCTCTAAACGAGTACGCAAAGGTACTGGAACCTCCTTTGTCCGCTTCGTATTGGGTATTGGTAGAGAAGCTGCCAGTCTTGTTTCCTGAAGCTGTCCACACCTCCAAAGTAGAACACCGTGGAGTATGGGCCTCCAGCTAGTCATTCCGGTCGAGATCTTTGCTGTTCCTGTCCCTGTTTGACACAATTCTCTTCACGGCGCGTAAATTGAATCATCAAAATTCAATCCGGATGATGAATACAGTCTTGGGCGAGACAAACGGATAAGGTGTGGGAAGACAATAAAGTACCTCTCTTTTGTGTCATGTCTTCTAGGATTCTTTCGCTCATGCTTCATTCCGTGTACAGGATCGCACATAAAACTCTTCTCAGATGAGTACTCCTTGCAGAGACCGAGCGGGCCACGTCGGTGCCCTATCCTTCCTCGCGAAAGGAACCAGAGGTTATAAATTTGAGGAGGCTATGAAGGTGCGATGTCGATGGTAAGACGGAAGGCCCGCACAGGGCCGATGGCTTGTGTGTCCTTCTACTGACTTTTGACCCACTTCACTTCTGTAAGCTCTTCAATCTACTCATTTCCCTCCGTGGTCGTTACCTCTTTGACAACCGAAGAGTTGATATTCGCCTCGTGCAGATACTCTCCTCAAATCCATCACCTTTAGTGTTTGACTCTGCCGCTTTCCGAAGTTATGACGTGCACGGGCGTTGAGCTCTTAGTGGCGTTGGCCGGTCTCGCTCCGACTACACGACAGCCACAGCGCCATTTGGTACTGATTATTTTGAAAGTTGGTTCGTACTCTTTTCTCTGCTCCTCATCACTCCACGTCTTATGCTACTAGCGTTGACAATGTGTACATTCCAGCCGTACGGACGGCGCCTCAGGTCAGAAGAAGTCTCAGGAAGTGGCAACTTCGAGCGCGAATTCTTGAAGAAAGGGCTAGGATGGTCACTCTGGGTCAGTTCAGGTTCGCTAAGCGAATGTCCCCGTCGGAATCTGTGTGTTGATTGTCTTCAGAGACATCCGGATAATGAATTAGCTTTCGCCATATCACTACACACTTTCACGGCATTCCGTTTCCACGCACTCAGAGCCACCACGCCTGACACTAGACAGGGTTTTGCCCACAATAATATTTACCAACGCATAAAGTATCGCCGCCCCCGTTCATTCGCACTCTACTGTCGACGATGCTCCCAGAGTAACGGTGCCAAGACGCCCTCTGAATCAAAACACCCCATCCTACGTTACGCTCGACGTCTTCATATTCCCACCTCCACCGTCTCCTTAACCACCACACCCAAGATGATCTCGTCGCTTCAATTTCTTGGCCGGCTACCGCACGAAATCATGGTAGATGTTCCGAGGACCTGAAACGTTGGCAACGTGTAGGACTAGGGCACCCACTCTCACTTGCTAACTCTTCGTCACCCCCCAGATACCCTCAAACGTCTTCTTTGCTGAGCTTTGAACCACCGATCTCGATGACTGAGTCGGTGGTCGTAGAGCTTCGAGTATCCCTTAGCGATTCTTTCCAGTCGAACGTCATCGTGAACGTGGGGGGTGTGGGCGTGTGGGCTGGGCTTGGCAGCCTAAGATCCGTGCTTTCGTAGGAGTGTGGGGGGTTCGGTGTCTCCTCCTTGGTACCGTTTGATGTGTCGCTATCCGAGGAGTCTGACTGTATGAGCTTACTTGCTGGTTCGAAAATAATGGCGGATAACTCATTGTTGGCATTGTTCGCTGAAATGACCTCTCCGAATGTTTTTTGAGGGATACCAAGATGACGATAATGGTCGGGTAGATGCCCTAGTCAGACATATTGTTCAATTTACTGTGGAAAGTGTAAGGAAACAGCAAACATACCGCAAGGTGGACCATGAAGTCATCATAAACGGTGAAGAACGTATGGACACCGAGCGTCTGCCGGTAGCTCGTAAGGTGCCCGACGTAGGCGGCAAGATATACTGGGTGCAAAATCGAAAAATAAGGCCTGGATAATGTAGACTCAACATCAATGCAATTTACTCACCGAGCCAAGCGAGGCAATAAATCATGCTAGACTCGACTAGAACGATTAAGATCCACATTGTAGTTGTGCGATGAAGACGAGTAAGTCCAGCGCTCCTCAAAAGTGCCCGGTGTTCCCTAGAGTGAAATGGTATGAGTCTGTTACAAGCTCGGCGTCGAGCCGACTGACCATGCTTTTTGTCCTATGATCACTGTTGTCCAAGCATTGGTAAACAGAGAAATAAATATGGCCACTTGAGTCAAGAGAGCGAACTCTGAAATTGGGATTCCGTTCTCAATGACTACGGGGCCATAATATGGAAGAGTCGCAGTGTAGATGAACAGTGCCATCTCAATCGCTATACCAAGAAATAAAGAGTATCCGCCCGACATATCAGGTGGATCGAGACGTACTAAACATCAAGGAACGCACCGAATGTCACACCGCTGGCGACCAGGATCCATGATTTGGCCCTTCTTCCTGAAACTACCCAAGCCCTCCACACGACGATCGTATCATTAAGAATGAACTACGTAAAACGAAGACAAAAACCGAAGAATAGCTTGTCCGTAAGTCAATGATATCAAAGGCAATAAATAAAGAAGAGGATACTTGCGTTCACAAGACTCAAGTGAGGTCCAGCGATGAAAGTAGCTTGCTCGAACGCGTGAGAATATATAAACTTGTCCAATTCGTCTTGGAGAGAACCTGGTGTCGAAAGTAGCACCTCGTTGATGGCAACTGCGATATCGGCAGAGATAATATAGCGAGTGACGACGAGTTTTAGGACCCACAAGCACGTGGAGACGCAAAACATTGTTCCTGTCATTAGCAACATAAAGACGCTCGCGCGCGTAGTAAAACCCCGTCGCCTTGAGTGAAATAAATCATCGTTAAATTTTCTTATCGACAAGACGACGTACCATATAAGGCATGTCGAGGAGAAGAAAACCATAACATAGAAGCCTTGAGACAAGGTATAATTGCATATGTGAGCTTGAGAATGCAATCGTGAGAGGCAGAGGGACATCACGAACCGTACACCAATGTGGAGGTTATGAGAGGAAGAAGATTACCCTGGAATTCCAGTTGTGTTCTTTCTCCGATGAATGAATCCACGTCATCGGTGGTGATGATTGGCATCCTCGCTGTGCCTATGACTGGGATATCGAATGAGGTGGAATGGATTAGAGGGTTTGTCGGAGAACCCTGGTGGGGATCGCCTCGAAGGACAGGCATTCCTCAAATACCGTGAAGGCCGTCTTATATATTTATATCTAGTGACAACACAGACGTATGAAACCTGTGACGGAACAAATCTCATAGATTAATTATCCCACAATGTGCGTTTTCGCAGAAGACAGAATGAGCGGGAACACACTCCACAACAACATGCCCGAAGCCGGTCTAGCCTCTCGTGGTAGCGCTGCTGGTGGAACCGCCTCTCACGGCGGGGGAACCACTATTTAGAGCACGCCAAAGGCATTTCTATTGCGAAATCTATATTTTATACATAGAGGGGAAAATGCAGTCGTCTAAATACCATATTTAGCGTATTTTGATGTGCAATCTATAGTTTTGCTTTGGATCTTGCTTCAGAGCTTCCCATGTCGGAGGCTGATGAAAGAATATGGACCCGAACAAATATTAATATTTGGACTAGAGTTTACAGCACTCCAAAGGAAGAGCTATATATTTTATTTTGATCACAATATTGCGGCAGTGAAAGCCAGCCTTTGGAGTGCTCGATTTGGTGCACCAAAGATAAACAATCGAGCTGGATATGGAGCTCGCTATAGTTCAACTTTGGAGTAAATCAGCCACGTGGCACCCTCTGATTGGCTGACTCATCAACGAACCTCTAAAGTTTAACTATAGCGAGCCCCATATCGAGCTCAATTGTTTATCTCTGGTGCACCAAATTGAGCACTCTAAAGACTGGCTTTCACTGCCGCAATATTGTGATCAAAGTAAAATATATAGTTCATCCTTTGGAGGATTGTAAAGTCTAGTCCAAGTATTATCATTCGTTCGGGTCCATATTCTTTCATCAGCCTCCGACATGGGAAGCTCTGAAGCAAAATCCAAAGCAAAACTATAGATTACACATCAAAATACGCTAAATATGGTATTTAGACGATTGCATTTTCCCCTCTATGTATAAAATATAGATTTCGCAATAGAAATGCCTTTAGCGTGCTCTAAATAGTGGTTCCCCCGCCGTGTCTTTTCATCTGACGCAGAAAAGCTGCATGGATCTATAGCAAATGCGTACCTCTTCTATTCATATTATCCAACTCCGCAGACAGCTATTCGTACCAATATTGCCCACTTCAAATTTTTGCGCGACTGGCTGGCTTTGAGGTCATACGCACCTATTTGCGGACAGTCTTTGCCTTGTCCTTATCGGACTCCCTGCTATCCAAACAGAGTTTATTCAGCGTAGGACTCCTTACCTCGCACCTGAGTCGACGCACGGGCATGACGGCATTCATATGTCAAAAGATTACGCTGAGACGCTCCGTCTTCATCATGGGATTACATTTATCGATGATGAGAAGCAGGAGAATTCGTGTAGGTTCCCGAGTTTGGTGTATTAGCCCCCCATAGTGCAAATGCCCGAAGATATCCTCTGCATGAAGAACAAACACTCGCCTTCCATTCATGCTCCAATACCCACACATATTAAACTTCCATACCCCACATTCCGTCCCAGTGCTCATTTTCCTGTCCAACTCGCATCACCGCCGACCCAAACCTATACTCATCGCGGGGACTAACCCAAGACAAAGATCCACTCACGGCGGCAGGCGCTCAACCATGCCATCTTGGTTTCGACGGGCACGAGGAAGCCTTGCTTTTTGTGCTGGAACGTGAGCGTGTATGACGATTAGGAGGTATCAGAGCATTCAACGAGATGTGAAGGGATGGAGTGGTGGGGAGGGGCGAGCACAGCATGCATACAAGCCTGGAAACTCTGCGATCAGCATAAGCACTCCGGGCAATTCCAATCGAACGCGAGCAAGTGATCTTCACAGGGGAGGATTAGATCTGGGAGAATGTCGACGCATGGGCGTGGAGAATAACGGCAGGCTTTCCTCGGAGACAAGAGATTCACTCCTGAAGTAGGTTCCGAACAGGAGGTGTATCTACCTCACATCGCCTGTCTGAAAAAATGATAAAAGACAGTGGCGAGACCCTGATGGATGGAGCGAACATGAGAAGCAAACAGCGCGTTATGAAGCAGATCGACATGTGTAAGGTATGAACATACATCCGTGAGCGAATGATAGACTTCTGAGAAGAATTACCTACGGGGACACGGTCGCGAGAGTCGAAGGTCAACACGATGATGGTAATAGTATTGGCACGGGCTGTGATGAACTCACAATGTATTCATGATCCACATTCCAATGATTCCTCTCTCGTCGTTTGATAGTCTATCAAACTCTTCCATCTCAACATAAAGATTCCTTTCCCGAATCCAAACGACTATTACCCACATCAATCGTCGAGTCCAAGGGCATGTCGATCTTCTCTCCCTCCAATGAACCGTTACGGGAGAAATCCCCGGAGTAAGTTAGATGGGACGCTCCTGGACTCGTATCTGAATCTTGGCTCGAAGACGAAGGGTACAGCGTATCGCCCACGGCACCACTCGATCCAGCACGATTCGAGGGGCCTGGCCGTCCGAGTTCGTTCGTTGGGTCGAAAACGATGGCAGACAGCTCGGAATTGGCGTAATTCGCTGAAATGACCTCTCCGAAGGTTATTTTGAGGGACACCAAGATGATAATAACGGTCGGGTAGATGGCCTGGGTGAGCGCACTCTCGGTCAGAAGGCAAGGTTAAAGAAAATGATAAACATACTGCAAGATGGATCATTAACTCGGGGTAGATAGCGAAGAGGCTCAGAACGCCTTCAGCTCGAGCGCGATTCGTAAGTTGCTCGGTCCAAGAAGCAATATAGACTACATAGAAAATCGAATGGGTAAGACATGTATAACGTCGACCTACCTCCCTGAGATACACTTACCGGACCAAATGACACAGTAAATCCCGCCTGACTCTACCAGGACTACCAACACTCTCATGGCAGGGGTCGAACGAAGAAGAGGATGCCTAACGCTTTTCAAAAGGGTCCGATGCTGCCTATGACCCAACCGACCTGTATGAGTTATCCATCACGAATTTAGAACGGAACCGGCCTGACCATGCTTTTCGTCCGATAACCAATGTTGTCCAAGCGTTGGTAAATAGAGAAACACATCGGGCTAACTCCCTCAAGAAATAGACCAGTGTATCCGAAATCCCATTGAAATAAACTGTGGGGCCACCAGAAGGCGGAAGAACCGCAGTATAGATCAACAGCGACAGCTCTAACACTGTTGCAGAAAGAGTGCGCCCGTATCAGGTAGAGAAAGAAGCAGCAAATATCATATAACGCACTGAACGTCGCACCACTGGTGACAAGGATCCATTTTCTGGCCCTCTGGCTCGCTGCGGAAACCACCCAAGCCCTCCACACAGCGATAACGTCGTTCAAGATGAACTAAAACGAAACAAGTGCGCAAACGAATAGGAATGTTAGCTGGCAGTAGTAAAGAAGGAGAAGAGAGTGAAGGGGAGGGCTTACATTTCCGAGACCCAGATGGGACCAAATAGGATTGACTGGGTCCCAGAAATAAGAGACGGATGATAGCTTGTCCAACTCATTCGTAAGAGGATCCTGTATAGAGGGATATGCCAATGCTATGTCTTTGATAGCATCTACGATATTTGTTCGGATGACGACGCGAGCTCGGACGAGCCTCAGGACCCAGGCGCATGTCGAGATGCAAAACATCATCACTGTCACTACCAGCATGAATACCGTTGCTCGCGTCGTAGGTCCGCGTCGGCTTGAGTCGAGTGCATTTTCAGTTGAACTCGATGTTCGAGACACTGGAATGAGCGCACCATAAAAGCCACGTGGATGCAAGGAACAACACCATTAGAAAGCCTGGAAACATAGGAGCATCAATACGTGCTCGCTCGTACAATTATTCGAGAGAGCAAGAGAGCGCACGTACCGTACACCAACGTCGGGATCAAAAGAGGAAGAAGCATAAACAGGAATTCCTCTTTAGTTGCATCCTCGACAAGCGAAGAGACGCTACCAATTCCTCCTGTATCGGCAGCTGACATTTTGGAAAGTGCAGTAGATGCTGATGAGAAATGGAGTGGAAAAATACCCTTCCCTCCTGAATCGTGAGGGTGGTCCTAAATATATTCATATCCAGCACAGACACAATGTAAACGTGTTCCGATGTAAGGGTCACGGACTAATTGCTCCGCATAGGGAGGATTTCAGACGACAACAAGACGAGCGAGAATGCACTCAACAAAGATGTTTGAAGTAGACCAGAACATCTTCTTTTTTCATTTGGCGGAGCAAGGCTGTATCGATTACGGCGTCGAAACAGGCTCTATCGGTCGTGCGCACCTCTACGATGCCTGATAGTCTGATTGCGCTGACCGGTGTCTGTGGGCATGGTGAGCTTCGAAGATAATCGTACTCCAAGCGTCCCGACTTCGTCGAAGCGGTCAGTCCGAGATGAGGTGTGCGCAGTCGCGGAGATCCCGAAACCCGCCAACCTGTACACAATTGGAGGCAGAATCTCAGTCTGCTAGTCCGAGTGGTCCCAAATTAAATCCTCATGGTCAATATGCACATACGGCCCTGATCATGCAGCGGAAAGTCTCCACTCGATGATGGAGATGTCCACTCGAGAGTACACACATCGTCAACGACCGAGGACTCATTGAGTCCTGGTTCGTGAAGGGAGCTTGAAATTATTGCTGCGTCGAAACGCTCTGTGGACAGGCTACGACTCCGCCACAATATATGTTATCTCGACAATAAACATCTAGCCATAGAAAAAGAATCCTTATAAATCGACACAAATGCATGGTATCAGTCCTCCCACAGGACAAATGTGCCCAAGTATATCCTGCGACACCAGCACAATCAAACGAAGAAAGTATTACCCTTCCATTCAAGCACCACCATCCGCCCGTAACTTATTAAACTTCCATACCACAGATCCCGCCCGGGTCTTATCGTCTTCTTGGGGTAGCACCTCCGCCGCCGCCGCCTCCACTGCTCGCAGGGACCAAGCCCACACAAATGTTCACCCAGCCGTCAGCGCCGGCCATGCAGGCGCCTATCCAGGCCATTTCGGCTTCGAAGGGTGCAAGGACCCCTTGGATCTTTGGACGTGTCGGTGAAAACGTCCATGGAGGTCGAGGAGGTAAGGTGAGGGAAGTGTGGCGTGTGGTCAGGCAGAAAGTGTGGCGTAGGTTGAACATTGCGGGGTGAGTGAATGGTTGTAGAAGCACCCGCGGTGAGAAACGACTAAAAGTAGGAGGAATATTGTTGGCATTGCTCACCAGTGTGTAGCCCAGGTTGCGTACTTGTGGCCTTTGGGGAGTCGGCGAAGGGAATAGCAGCGGAAAGTGCTGGTTCAAGAAATCAGACAACGTTGTCGGGGAGCCTACAGAGGGTAACAACACCAAGGCCAAGGCCAAACACACTCCAATCAGTACTCCAATCGAGGATCGTAGACACCATGCCAGTAAAACAACCCACCATCCTCCATTAACGGAGGCACCAACTCCTGCATCACCGGTCCCTCCGGCAAGTACACCCTCACCGGCACACTCCTCACACTCCACGCTGAATCGTTCTTCTCTCTGTCTCTGCTACTATCCTGAGGATCGGCACTCGGAGGACGTGTGTGCATGGAGGTAGAATTTGACGATATGCCTTGTTCGGAGGCGAGACGGTTGAGGGTGGAGTGTGGATTTCCGGAGGGAGAGGTAGGGCGGGTGGATGTGGGGAGGGTGGATGGTGTCACTTTAGAGGCGACGCGCCAGTAGTCGTCGAAGTTGTCTATAGAGATGATAGAACCGTGTTGGTCAGATGTAGCTGTCGTTGGGAAGCAGTGGTGGAAGGAGAGACTCACGGTCTTTGATACCCTCCCATATCCCGTCTTGCTCCTGCTTTCTCAACCCCGTCATCCTCTTCGTACTACCCCAGCGCATGAAATCAGCCTCCTTCAGCTGACCCATGAACGCCTGCTTGCATGCCTCTGCGCTCGGCGCGATCAAGAGCTTATCCGTTGGTGGCGACGCCAGATGAAGAGTAAGCCGAAGCGGGGTCGTTTGTGGACCACCAAACGGCGACGATGTGGAAGTAGAGGGCGTCGGGCGTAGAGAGGACGCGATAGTGTGATTGTCGTGGATCAGACCTATGGGCCAATGCCTGCTTGTCCCACCAGACGTCAGCAAAGGTGGCAGGATAACTGCAAAGGATGCGAACGCACCACTTGATCAGTCCACCTTCCTCGCTCTCAAACCACCAGTCCTCCTCCTTCGATCCTATCGTTCTCGCAGCCTCGTCGTCGAAGACGACATCACACAGAAAACGCTTGATTTCCGGGACGAGAAGGGGGAGATAGCTGACGCGCGGAGCTTGGAGGAAGTAACATTCCAGTCCGCGGTTAGAATTGGCTGGAAGTTCCTTGGGGTCAACGCGTATCTCTAGTGGTACAGTTCCTATGGATTGTTTTCCTTAAATATTTGACAAAGATGAAAGAGTATACTAGGAAACAGTTCACACCTTCCCATGTTAGCCGACGAAAGAGGGTGGTCGAGGCGGGGGAGGAGAACGTTGACGGTGAACGTCGGGCGCCGGTGTATGTTGACATGGAGAAAATTGGCCTGAATGTCAAGCAAAATGTCGATGGGTATGTTGTCGAGCCTAAGCCGTTCTGGACCGTGGTGAGCGGTAGAAGCAAGTCTGCGAACCCAACATTGTGGGGAACGCCACATTTCGTAGAACCCTAACCCTATGCGCGCCACCCTTCACCCTTTCGGTTGGAATCCGCATTGTCGATATCCTCTCTTTTACACTGACCATGACGACCTCGCACATCGTTCACACAACTTCGGCACAAGTTTCTAGCAATCAATGTTCAGAAACGTGAGTACTGATACCGATTCGATGGAAGGAAGGCAGTGAGTAGCTATCAACCTTCTGCCCCGATGATTACCTCCATGGGGTCACTCACCCGGACCGGCGAATGGGGAACGGTTATGTATGTCCTTTCTCTGCAAAATCAAGTACAGGCCTATATATTCCGTGTAGTGGCTATACATACGCTCTTGTGCTCGATTTCTTTGTGCCAGTGGGACAGCATGTGCCGGCCGAACCAAAGGTCAGCCTAGATGTTTCATTGCGCTCGGCATATCTTTCGTGTCCGTTGGGCACATCACTAACAGACAAGGCATTGACACGAATTCAGGCTCATCCAATTTCTATGAATGAGCACCGTAGGCTCTGAATCTAACCTACAGCGGCTTCCTATTGCTTTATCGCTGCAAGCACTGGTTGACGAGTCTAATGGCATGGTGGAAACTGCAGCGGACGGTATTTGTGGATGTTCAACAGCGGCAGTTCAGCTTTCGCCCGTCTAACCCGAGCTGTTACATAGCACCCTTTAATGGGAAAATCATGGGACGGCACAGGAGCTTGAAGGCTCCGTGTGCTCGGAGATATATTTGAACAACGACCCCCTGCTCCGTCATGCCCACATACACCAATGACAATTGAACAGGGCGTTTGTACGTGCCTTCACGTCCACCATACAATGGTTCAGAACAGAATTCTAACTGGTGGTATACCGCTTTTGCAGACCGAGCATCACATTTATTTGTCTGTCTAGCCGGCCATTACGGGCTCCATAAGCAGGGAGTCATGAACAAACAGTTCATGCGGCGCACAATTCACTGTGTTCGGGGCATCCTTATTCTTGCAGAGTAAACGATGTCCCTAGCAGTGATAAACGACCTCGCACTCTACCCGCCGAAGCTGACTGCGGCCAAATTCTGATGGGTATGGAAGATACAGAGGAGCAATACAGTCGATACCGACGTCGGACGCTATATCGACATCCCTTGTCAAACTTTAAAGTTCTGAAGACTCTCGAACGACAGTACTATTTTATAAAATAGTGTGGCTCGAAATATACGAATATACCTTGAATACAACTTCCTTTCTTTCTGTCCAAGGAACTGTACACTCACTGCTACAGCTCATCTTCCCCAGACTCACCGAAAAATATCGATCAACAAGCTCCTTGAATGTCGAACTCCAGCTACGCCCCCGAGGAGTCGCCGCTTTGTCTATTGACGGAGCGTTATTCGTTTGCCGGTGCGATACTTGGTGGTGTTTCGTATGGTGAGCTCAATATATCAGACAATGATCATTTTTGTTTCATCTACTTTCCTTGATTTGAAGGTTTTCACGCCTGCCTATTTTTCGGTGCCGCATACTTCATCAGCAAGACGGGTGCTAAGCCGAGAGTTAGGATACTACAGAACCTGTTTATATTCATTCTGTTCGTATTGGGCACCATTTATATCGGCTGTGATTCTACATTTCTCGAAATGATGTTCATCGAAGATCGTGACTTTCCTGGCGGGCCCGCGATGTTTTTGGAGGCACGATACGGTGCGTCAACAGTTAGTACCGCCACAAATGTCATATTCTGTATGGGTACTGCCGTAGCAGACGGTGTCCTTGTATGTCTTCCTCAGAACAATATCATCTCAATTTACTTCTCACAGTTACCAAGTCGTTGACTCGTTGTGCCTGTGTATCTAGCTGTATCGCTTTTGGGTTCTCTGGAACCGAAGCTATCTACTCCCCGCTATCCCAGCATTGGTATACACCGCGTCTACGTGTAAGAATCTCATTGGTCTAGTTTGGCATATGTTTCTGATTGACCGCTTTGCTAGTAGCCTTAGGGGTCGTATCATGTATCAAACCCATTGCGCCTGGTCGAAGCCTCTGGTCGAGTCAAGCTACCGCCTGGACGACCTCCTACGCGGTCACCTCAATCACGTTCAACATCCTCGTTACCTCCGGAATCGTATACCGCCTTCTCTCCATGCGGACGCTCATACGGAGAGCCCTTCCTATGCGCAAGGGTTCATTGTACATGTCCATAGCTGCGATGGTCATGGAATCCGCCGCTATACATACTGTCACCTATACCTTCTTCCTCATCTGCTATGTCATCAATAGTCCATTGCAACGAGCCGTCTCTCCAGTGCTTGGTCAGGCTATGGTAAGTAAATTGCTCTTCTATCCCAACCGATCTACTGAGATCATCAGTGCTGCTGAAAACATCAACTCTCCCCTTTGATAGTACATTTCCCCTGGATTGATCGTTCTGAGAGTCGCTCTGGGCAAAGCGTATCCTCGGGACACGAGCGTCGACCTTGATTTCGCTAGTGTCCTCCATTTCGGTAATACAGACGTCGACAACGCATCACCAGGCCGTTCTCGACGTACAACCCGTGCTGGTACATCGTTAGAGGCGAATGACCCGGAGTCGGGGCCGGTTGCAGGGATATTAAGCAACAATGTGCGTTCCCCTGAGGAGCTTGACAATTGAGTATATTGGTTGCGAAGTGTCATCGGGCGATATTGCTAATGGGGAGATCCTATGATACAAGTGTATTTGTGTGATAGTACTGCATTATAGCACATACGAAGTCCGAGGTAGAGTAAATCAGGCCGTGAACATGGAATTGAATCTGAGGATGCCACTTCGGTGCCACCTTCTATGTACCAGAACCCTAACCCTCGGCAAGCTACGCTTCTCCGTTTTTGCCGATCTTCCAACGACCTTCAACTTATCATGCAACTATCACGTCCTCCTTCATATTGACACGACTTGGACACGACCATCGTTCTCCTTTTTTGGCTCACATGGGCGGGATTTTGTGCTCAGCCGATTTGCATAGGCGGCTCTGGAGTAATAGCACCGTTTACGGCGATTTTCTGAACGCCGAAATCATCTTTCATTCGAGGAAAGGGACACTGTCAGCCCGAAATGGCAGCTCGAAACTACTATGCGAGTGAGCGCCAAAACTCACGAAGCAGGAAGTTGCGAGTAGCAGGACTTACAGCGGCCGAGTCCCATCGTTGACCGCTTCCAGTGCTCCGACTCGGAAACTTGCGACTCTCCTCTATCCTCCTTTTCGGCTGACAGGTGTGTCCCTTTCCTCAAATTATTATAATAACACTGTGCTGCGCTTAGAAAGGGGCCGTGAACGGTGCTATTGACAGATCGGCGACTTGCAACTGCGTCAATCAACAATGGGCAAGTTACTAACTTGCTCACTTTGTACTCACGGTCTGGACCATTTCATCGCAAGGATATGCTCTTGGATATATTCTGAATGTGAGCGTACGGGCCAGGTCAAGTAGGCTAGGCCAGGTCAAGTAGGCTATGTATCCTCGGGATCACCGTATCATGTTCGTCACTCTCGTCGTTGACCGGTCCCATCCCACTGCATCTCAAAACTGCAAAGGATAGACGATCCCCGAGCTCACCGGGATTCTTGCTGGCAGCACTCATCAAAGATTCAAATCAACGGGGAAGTGCAATGTATATCTGTCCCGTGATGTACTCCCTCAGCGCTGGCGGTCCCACCTTGTCTCAAAGGGTGAGCTCTCTTTCCTCGATGCCTTCGCTTTGGGAAATATCAGAACGAAGTCCCAATTGTATGCACAATTGAGCGCTGTTTCAAGTTGACGTTCAGGATTGATATCAAGAGTGTTCCTATTCGGTGCCCTGTCAATCGTCCAGGAATGCCCCGCTATTATATCCTCGAGCCCTCTCACAACGGCCATTAGTCCACCACTACCCCGATATTCTCTAACGTCGCTATGTCAAGTCTTAACTCGGCCGTTATTGAGACCCAACACGACCTTTGGATTGAACGTTACACCTTCATGGGCGTCATGTTGGGTGGAGTTGCATACGGCAAGTCTTCTCTCGCAGCATCTTGTGTATTTTTTCATTCTGATTGACACTAGGCATCCGACGATGTGACTTCCCATAGGCTTCCACGCATGCATTTTTATCGGAGCAGCATACCTCATAAACCGGAACAAAGGAGCTTTCAAACACCGTCTTCAGCAAGGGGCCCTCATCTTTGTCCTCTTCAGTCTGGGCACTGTCCGCTTCGGATGCAACGCTCACGAATTCGAACTCATGTTTATCGAGAATCGCGGGTATCCTGGTGGACCAGCAGTCTGGCTGCGAGACCACTACAACGTTCCAGTCAACGTGGTCGGGACCGTCGTTTTCTTGCTGGGTGATATCTTGACGGGCGCAGTTCTCGTACGTTTTGATTCCACCCAGTGGTGCTTTCATGTCGCCTTGTGGAGTTGTTGATACTCACTCCTTCCACCTCCTTACAGGTCTATCGGCTGTGGGTGATCTGGAGTAAAGACCTTTGCGTCGTTGTCCTCCCGTTCTTCCTTCTCCTCTCCGTCATCGGTAATATAATTATCGCGGCTATATCCTGTTATAGGTAATCCGATTGACGATTACTGTCATATAGCGCTCGGAGTGACAGCGTGCATCAAGACCTCACGCCCTAATTACAACATTTGGTCGTCGTCCGCCACACCCTGGAACGTTGCCTTCTGGTCGATATCCATCTTCCTCAACATCGTCGTCACATTCGGGATTGTGCTGCGCCTCCTTTATATTCGAAGGCTCATGAAGAAAACATTACCCACCCACGACGTCGACACCAGGATGTATACTTCCATATCGGCGATGGTGGTCGAGTCGGCTGTGATACACACAGTGACTTATACTGCTTATTTAGTTTGTTATGCGGTGGATGCTCCCTTTCAGAGGGTTTTGCTGCCGGTTCTCTCGCAAGCGATGGTATGTCGCCTATCCCAGAATGTTGAATCGTTTTCCTGACCTGGTAATGATCACAAACCGCTCAGTGCATCGCGCCGGAGTTGATCGCGCTTCGTGTCGCACTCGGACAAGCGTGGTCGCACAAGACGGGTACTTATGCCGCGAGTCGCATTGCCTTTCAAGGAGGCCATCATGGCACCGAAGTTCCCGGTTTGGTTGCAGTACCTTCCTCTGTGTCCCCTCGTCAAGATTTACTCGATATTTCTCCCAAAGCGGAGCCAGAGACGGTGATGCTCGATGAAGGGTATGAAGAGATCTGGTTTCCTGGTGGAAGAAGCACCGCAGTGAAAGTTGTCAAGGGCATGGTAGAGTGAGCTACGACATGCTTTTTGGAGGAGTATGCAGTGCGGTAATACGCTGTTCTATGGCGTGAGAGATTATGTATGGCTCATTTGTATCCTGGTGACTCTGAATCTGACCGGCCGTGGTGTGCTTGTTCTGCTAGTAGACTTATCATCTTCGTAACAGGACCAAGGCGAGCTCTATGTCTTTAGATATGGCTAGTAAAACTCCAATCGCCGGTGCATCATAACTACAGTCACGTGGCGGTTGTTTCGTGCAACCTGAGTACGAATCACCAGTATCATGATTGTCGCTCTCGTTACTGACGGGCCACCGTGTTCCGGCGCTGCTGTCAAATTCGACCCAAACATCTAGCTCGTGAGTTTACCCAGCGGTTCAGTCTAAGAGATACGGAGTCCTTTGTCTCGCGAAATTAATAAGTGCTCCGTGTCTGTTCCCGTTCAAGCATATGTATCGACGATCAATCGAGCCGACGTAATACGTCCTCATATCTCTCTTTGCGGCAGACTAATGGGCGCATGAAATACCAGGACCACTGAGGATCCCGAGTGTACACTTGTACCTCTCCATATTGTAACAAAGTAAGCATAGCCTCAAAGAGCAGCGCACTTGAGTCGAGAAGAAAGTCGGCAGCAATGGGACTACGCGTTGAGAGTCAATCCTCGCCACCTCTACAAAAACATACTCCTAGAGCCGATGGGGACAGCATCAGCGATGAAGTTCATCACGTTCTAATCTTGGACGTGACCTTCGTTCAATAGCTGACCATCGAGTGTAGCGAGAAGGTTAGGACGCCTTTGGATGGTATCGCCTTCGAATTCCAGTGGCGTGCGAGACAGGCATTAGTCCTCTAAAGATATCCTCCTCCTGAGGCTTTGTATAATAAGTTCCCGCGAGCGAGATCTCCCCTTTCATTCCCTTTCCCTAATAGCATCCAAACGTGTTTGCAATCTAATCGACCTTACCAAAGACGTATAACTTATAGTGCACTAGTACGTTTTACTACCTGTGCTCATCCACACTTCAGTGAAACTTATGCTCTTTCCAGGTATGTCTCTCAACCGCCCTCGAAAATGTGCCTCTCCGAGCAAACACCCCATGGAAGTCTTTGTGCCCAATGATCCAGACGGTCACCCATTCGCAAGGCTATCTGACCCCGCTCAAAACCTCATCTATGTCGCTGGCAGTTGCTTCAAACCCGGAACGTCCGACTCACGAGCCGGTTGCGGCATCCAACGCGGATTCTCGCCCAATGCTAACCTCAGTTTCCGCTTGGAACGCGTCGGTCCGGGTAATACGAGGCAGAAAACAGACTGGCAACCGTGCCGTCATGCGAGCCACTATACGAGCACTTCAGTTCGACGACCAAAACACCACTCTCACGCATTCCGACCTCGGATATCCCTCCACTTCCATCGTCATCGCCTCACATTTGACTCTTCTCGTACATGGCATGGCGGACTGGGTCTATAAGTGGGAGCAGAACGGATGGAAGAAGGCGAAAGGAGGCAAGACGGTAGAGAATGTGGATCTGTGGAAGTGCTTGAACCAGAGGGTGAAGTCTTTAGAGACGTCAGGAGTGAGGGTCCTGTTCTGGGACATAGAGGAGAAGTATAACAATGCGGAGAAGTTGGCTTGGGCTGCAGCTGATGAAGAGGAGGACGTGGCGTCTTGGACACCTCTAATTGGTTTAAGGACCGACTTGGACGATAGCGTCGATGTCCTGGCACAGCAAATCTCGGGTCTGAATGTTTGATGGTTCGGTCTGGTTTATTGTGTTGGACTCCCACTATAGCCTTGCCACGTCCCTCGGCAAGCTCTTGATCCCATGCCCTTGCGTGGCCTATTACGAGAACACTGCTGATATTTGACTTTGTCACAGGTATTTCACGAAAGATGATGAGTTCAACGCCGACTGCATAGGGCACGAATGTACCCTTCTCTGAAGTGCTTTGACCGCAATCAGGAATATAGATAGCGAACTCCGACTGTGCACGGCTATGCTAGATGTGATATGTGCATTGAGCGACCAAGCTGTGCCTTCATGAAGGCATGGTAGCGACATCGACGTGTTCAAGTATGAACACATAAGATGAGTGCTTATGCCTTGAGTTCCATCGCCTTCCGACGAGATCATCATAGGAGTGGATTTCCTATTTCGCATCGATCCCAGTACTCCGTGTCTACTTGTTGAGACCGTGGACGTCACAAGGAAAGTTGTGTCGGATAACATTAACGGCAGGGTATTTGGTTAGATGTGGAAAGCCGAAGTGCAGTCACAGTCGTCGACGAGACAGTGCGACACAGTACTTCTGTAGCGTGACGCGAAATGCTGTATGCGACTATCGTAGCCCAATATTCAGCAATCACAGAGACTTTGCCAGTGACACCTTATACCGCGAGACAAGCTGATGAGTGGGACTCGGGAATGAAGAGTCTCGAAGCTCTATCCCTGGAGGGTGCCAGGTACCATCACCCGTCATCGGAATGTGCATATCTCTATGACACCCCAAAGGCGTGTCATAACTCGCAAAGCCTGCTTTCTCTCAAAGCAAGCGAAAGTCTCGATAACGGCACATAATTTCGAACGCTGACACATATAAAACACATACTATCATACATTGCTCCCTTGCAGTCTGTCCCTCGATGCCAAACACGCGTAAGTCACGAAACTCCGTTCCCATTGACCTGTATCTCGCGCGGCGTCTGCACCTGAATGTCACCTGCAGGATCATGGGATTGTCCGGGTGAAGCACCATTCGTCGTGACCGAGGTGGTGATTAGATGTTGTGGTTCACGCCTAGAAACAAACATGTCGAGGAAGCACAAAGATTAGCTTTTGCTGTGAGGCACGACAGAAATGAGGAGGCGCACCAGGTCCTCCAATGGTCGAACTGCTTCTGGTTCAAGTACTCCCTCCATTCGTCCTTCCCGATCTCAGAGCGGAATGTGGCGTGCTGCAGCAGTTCGAGATGATGTAGGGCATGAGGATACCTGTCCCACGGTTTCAACACTTATCAGCATTTGAGCATCCTGGCCGATCGAGCTCCAAACCAACGAGTATCCTCGAGGAAGAATGAGAGCATAGAAGCGTACAAGATGAACCGCGCGTAGTCTTTTTCCTTCCAGTACGTCAGGTACTCCAAGTAATTCACAAACGCAGGTTGAGCTAATATCCCTTGTTGGGATAGCGTGTGGAGATAAAAAGGGTTGGCGAGTGCTTGGACGAATTCGAGTTCGAGTTCGAATCGTGCGCGGTTTGCAGTCCGGGGGTCGTTTGCGTCCTCAGGGCGAGGAGAGACTGTGGGTGGTGTTGCTTGCATTTGTAGTTGTGTTTCCGTTTGGGACATTTTTTGCGTTCCCTTCGGAGATGGATGACAAGAAGAGAAAACAGCTGCTAAGTCTACGAAGATAGTCAAGTTCTAAGGAGGTCCGAGGACCGAGGAGCAAAGAGAGCAGGGCCACGTGCTACGCGAAGCGACGCGTCACAATTCCACTTCATGTGGCGGTGGCTCCATTGCGTTCGTTCATCTTTCCCTTCCACCTTTACCACTGTAGGTTTCCTCGTGAGGAAGGCAGGTAAGCACGCTACTACTATTTCTGACTGGAATATGTAACTATGGGTAGGAATCTGGGTACCCTTACATTCAGAGATCCATGCTGAGCGTTGATCCAGGCTGGCATGGCTATGGTTCACTTGAACTGACATCGCCGTGAAGACCTATGCCACAGAGCTGCCTACGAATAGTCAGTCAACCAGGGTCCAGCGTCCAGGTACAACATTCCTTAGGGATGCGGGAGAACCCTGTAGGGTCGTGTCCACAAGCTGCGCAAAAGTGATCTGCCTGCTCCGATGGCTATTTTGGATCCTAGTAGGTAAAGAAATCGTATACCAGTCTCGCTCCGCGCACACTCAGAGCTACTCAGAGCTGCCACGGGAAGGTTTATGATTGACGCTGGTACGGATGTTGAGCGCACCTTCGAAAGCTGAGATCAGTAAGATACACCAGGATGCACATCACGGCAGCGTTCAGAAGGGGATGCAGAGCAGACAAATCTATGCCCGGTTGGGACACTTTCTCATGATAGCTCTTAGTGTACTAAGTGCAGCCTGAGCGCAAGAAGATTACCATAAAGATGATCATTCATGTGCGCTACACCGACATACTCGTTCCATGCATGCACATATACAGCGGAAGGTTTATACACGAGACTAGTCAGGCCCTTCAAATCTCGTCAGAGTATCGTAACCTCTCCATTCATCGGTCTTCTCGCGGGCCGCGACTGTCAAAGAGGATGTTCTTACATGCGTTTCCCCAGTAGTTCGCTGTCTCATATCGTCCTATGTGTACTGGAGCCTCGATATGTTGCGTTCCCGATAGGTTCTCGATGTTTTATGCGTCGAGGAGTGCAGGACCACTGTTCAGGTTTTCAATCATATTGTATCACAGACGATCATCTGTAAACTCTCGTAGGTAGGAATATACTACATACTCCGTAACAGACACGCGACATCAGTGAGAAACATATATAGAACAGAGATATGTCCGGTAAGCATGCAGGATTGGATTTTGTCGCCCTGTGGGTATGGCGTTTGGCGTTTAAAAGCTCGCCTTATGCGCATGACAGCCGCTCAACTTTCTCCTCATTCCATCCGCTCACATTCATCCTCTGCATAATGTTCCACAGATCCTCTCGCACAAGAAGTTGTTCAGACAGCCAACTCAATTTCTTTCGCATTCACCTCCTAGTCTTTCTTTTCGTCCCGCTAGTTGCCAGCGGCGCGTTCTATAGAATCAATGGAGAGTTCCACATCTGTCAGTCAACCCTTACATCGCCTGCTTGCATCTCTCCGTTCGAGTTCTGACGCACCTTTTCAACTAGGCTATATAGACTGTCTGTTCCTTTCTGTTTCTGCCTTCACTGGGACTGGCTTGACCACAGTGAGTTTGAGCACCACGACAGCCTTTCAGCAGGCTATGCTCTTTGTTCTGATGATCTGCGGTGACGTGGTACGTACTGCAGCGATCATTGACGATACGCTTCTGAACTCACAATATGGCTATGTCGCAGACCGTCGTATCATGGGTCGTGGTCCTCGTACGAAAACACTACTTTCGCGTACATTGCGAGGCCGTCATACGCGAATCCCGTCAACGATCAAGATCGCTCAATCTGACACGCCGACTTGGTCTCTCTCGTCTTTTTACTTCCGGTCTCACTAACATACTTAGTGGCCGGAGCGACGTTCAGCACCTCCAAGCCCATCGTTCAACCCATGATGGTGCGTATGCCCGAACGGAGTGCAGTATCGGAAGAGCTCTCGCAGGAGGGCCCTTTGCCCCTGGGCCTGCCTTTCCACCACAGTCGGGACAGTCAATGAACAACTCATATCACCGCCACGATCTCAGTCGGGTTGCATCACCAGAGAGTCCCACGGATGCGGCACGCAAGGACGGGGAGCACACGGCTATGGTTGACATCCATTCGCCCGCATGGTCAGCCCGTTCGGACCTCAAAGAACTCGTCCCCTCACCAGAGGTCCAATTCGCCGAGCAAGCCGCTCTCAAGGCAAAAGATCATCGGTCACTTCGTTATCGAAATGGTTAGTCCTGAGTTTATGTAAAGTGCTTGGGCGCTTTAAACGACTGTCGTTGCTCTGGTTCTACAGGACGAGTGAACGTCAGAAAGACTACGGTCATCATTCCATCACGCAACGATGTAAATCTCGAGCAGCTCGGCAACAGGCCTAAGGATCAAGATTTTGGGGGTTTTCCGGGACCCTTTCGAATTGCCCGTTTCCTCCTTCGGAAATATGCACCAGCGCTTTATGACTACGCTCATCGTCTGCTCACCGTGTCACCAGTTCGTACTGCGACAAATGGCGCGCATTCAGAGAACATGGAGGGGTTTTCGCAGATCCTCTCCAGTCTGAAGGTAGGAAGGAATGGATACTTCTATACAGATGAGCTCACGGACGAGCAGCTGGAAGAGCTTTGCTTGTTAGAGTATCGGGCATTGAAGGCACTCAGTTACATCGTGATGATGGTGCGTTCTACCTACAATGTATTCTCTTTCAGCATATTGAATGGTTACGTTATTCAGTACTTTGTCGGCGTGCAACTCGTATCTTTCATTCTCATTTCAGCGTGGCTTTATTCCACGTCTGAGTATGATGATCTCTTCGAGAGACAAGATCATCCAGTTTCGAAAGCATGGTGAGTCTATACAGATGAAAATCTCGAACCGTATCTTGACATTCTTTGCATTATAGGTTTACGGCTTTGTACGTGGTTGGCACTACTTCAATAATCTATGATGCTGAGCCTGACCTGTCTTGCAGCCAAGTCGTCAGTGCGTATACGGGCTCAGGGTTAAGTCTCATTGATTCGTACGTGTTCTTTCCCAGTTGCTAAAAGTCTCAAAAAATGTTTCTGATAGCTGTGTCTACATAGCGGGATGGCGCCTTTTCGAGGGGCATATTTCTTGATCTGTTCGTGAGCACGTGTAATTGTCGGTCTTCGTATCCACTGACATGTAAGTTGTGATATAGTCACCATGGGATTTGCAAATATCTGTGGAAATACTACGGTGAGCACTTTCCGCTGGATAGTATGGTTTGACGCAAGTAACGAGTTATTGCGCCATTCAGCCTACCTTGTGAGCCCTTCTCTATATATTGTTTTATGCCTGTACCAAAGGAGCGACACTGTCTAATATAGCCTACGATTGATCGTGTGCGTATGTTTTTGCGGTTTGAGCATATCGGTCAGCGCTATTCTAACATAACCTTGTCATAGACGGATTGTCTCAAAAGCCGTCAAGAATGACTGTCGAGACAATAAAACTCTGCCATTTCTGCTCACGTATCCTCGGAGGTTTGTCCTGTTCGAGCATCCGGGGTAGTCACCTCTTCTGAATTTGCGTGTACTTCTTCCTTCAAGATGCTTTCTCTACTTGTTCCCGTCAAACGCTACCATGTACAGCCATTCTTCATTACTCACGAGCTCAAAAAAATGACTGAAGAGCACGTCCTGAAAATAGGTTGCTAACATTTGCTCTCGCCCTCTTGACGTATGTGATTTGGAGTCTCTTTCACACACCGATTACAATCGAGCAAAATTTCTCCTTCAGGGTGTTCCAATGGTCTATTTTCTTCGTCCTCAACTCAGGTTTGGACGCTTTTGACTCGCTCAGCTTGGGAGCAAAAGTGGCCTCTGCGTTTGTACAATCGTTCGCGGTAAGACCATCTGGGTTTTCCATCGTATCGATAGCAAGTCTTTCCCCAGCATTTCAGTGGGTACTTCATCAGGCAGATACGCTCGCACGTTATCCTTCGGATACTGAGAGGCTTTATATGGCGTAGGGTCTTATGCGTTGGGACGATGTACCTCGCTGCATACCCTGTCGCGCTCTGTGTCCGGTCGACCAATGTGTACGCCACCCGCCTCATCTGCGCGTGGTATCTAGCAAACTGATAATCATTCAATGTCTAGGTATGAAGAGCTCGACCTTAGAGTGTACAAAGAAGAATACAACAACAACAAGAAAGCCCTCGGTCATCCCGAAAAGGAAATGACTCCGAAGAGAGAAATGATAGCGAAGTATTTTAGGTGGCACTTAGAACGGCAGATGGCGCATGATCTCTTGTGGCTTGTATGCGGCATATGGGTACGCTTGCTCCCCTCTACTTGAATGAGAACCAACGAGTAAGATCTGCGACGCAGGTGGTTTGCATCATAGAGCGGAAGAGCATCATGGATGCGAATGTTCCATGGTTGAATGTGTTTACAATAGGCGAGTCCCTTTGCCGGCTCGCGACCTTCATTATCCCACATCAGGTCTTTCGTGATTCGTGACGCATATTGACATCCGTGGTACTGCTAGCCTTTGAGATGGTTTCTGCCTTCGGTGGTGGTGGACTATCAATTGGCATCCCCAGCCAGAACTATGCTCTTTCAGGGGCTTTCTCGACCCCGTCGAAGATTATCACCTGTATTATGGTAAGCATCTACGTCTCTCAGCATCCTAGTTTCCAATTAACCCCTTTTATCGACGTGGAAAGATGCTAAAGGGACGGCATAGGGGCTTACCGGTTGCTGTCGACCGTTCAGGTACGTCGGTGTCGCACTAAGTTTGCGTTGGCTGTACTTTGACCACTTCGAACTGTCATCATCCATGATAGTTTTACCTCCAGACGATATCTTACAGAACGGAGGTGAGCCTGAGATCAAGTGACCAGTAGCTGGGTTCTGAGGGGCCAATCGTTCCCGAAATACACTCTACGATGTAACTGGTTCTCTTTCAACTTCGCCAGAGTTTTATTTAGAATGGAGACATATGACCAAGTCCGAACCGAGCATTCTGACTGATAAAATGGGAGGATGCGTGTACGGGAAAAGATAATCCAAATATCATTATTACGGGCGTGATAACTAACAACAAGGACTGCTGTCCGCCAATATCAGATTGGATAGCTTGAAATGCTGCATGCAGTGGCAAGCGCTCATTGTGTACCGAAGTGAGACTATAAAGCAGCGTTGATCGTTGTTTGCGGCCTACAAAATGATAATAATAAAAAAATCATTGACCCAGCTGCTATCGCGAACATAGATATCGAAGTATTCCGCAGTATTGTGAACGAAGAACACGACACGGACCTTACAATATCTCATCCTTCGTCCACATCAATTTACCCATCTTTCCACCATCGACATTCAAGACTTGTCCGTGAATGTGGCCGCTCCAGGATTCGCTCGCCAGAAATAGGATACATTTGGCAACAGCTTCGACAGGTATTGGACGTTTCTGCGCAGTGCTAGACAAAGAACGAGTGTGCCATAAGCATTCGGCTTCGAATGATACACAGAAGGTTGCGCAAAGGCGAGACTTACGTCGCTTGAGCATCCAACCAATACTGCTCCGGATTCGCCTCGCATTCACGACGAAACTGTGCTGTGTCGACCGCCCCTGGAGCAATAGCGTTGACCCTTGGGAGCCCATCCGGTTAGCCCAAGTGAGTACACACGCCCGTGGAATAAGACATCAGTTCGAGAGCTATTGACTGACCTCGCCCTGGGATGCACCCTGACCACATCTCCCCTCAAACTCTGCAGTAATCCCACTTGTACCGCACTCTTTCCCGCTGAGTAATCTGCATTACCCCGTTCTCCGAACCAGCCGCTTTCACTTCCGACGATGATCAAACTGAGATTCCACTCTTCCTTCTCGTCTCTTTCGGGAGTCCCTTCGACAACCTGCACCTTAACCCCTCTCAGCCACTCCCTAGCGGTCAAGAACGTTCCCTCTACGTTCACTTGAGACGTCTTCCTCCACTGTTCAACGCTCATATCGACCAAGCTCCCGTGGTGCTCTAGGACGCTCAAGTCCAAGCTCGCTAGCGCCACGCAGCACTGCACCGGTCCGAACTTTTGTCTCGCGAGTTCGAAAGCAGAGGAGAGGGATGACTCGGAGGTAACATCGCTTGGTGGGAGTACATATAAATTTGGATGGCTGGCGAGATATTCGGCAGAGGTGGACAGAGACCTTGTGGCGGTGGCGGTGCCAAAGTCGGAAGAGAGGTTGGCGATGAGCTTTGATGGGTTAATGTCGAGGGCGGAGACATTCGCGCCTGCCGTGAGGAACGCGGCGACGGTGACGGAGCCGATGTAGCCTGCTGCACCCGTGATGACGACGTGTGTTCCTTCGAGGTTGAGGCTGAGATCCATAGGTGACTCTCAGGGGCCTATGAAGTTATGACTCCGAGGACTAACGAGATGGAGGATAAGAAAAGACAGGCCAGGTGCATGCAGATTCTTATATCTCAAGAAAGCGATAGATGACGACGGCGACGACCAGAGATAAAGACCTCGAGGCTGTTGATAGGAGATGCGGGTCTCGAGATGACTGAGAAAAGTGACGACGCGATCCGGATGTGACGACCTAGGTATATATATCCAGCTTCGATGACCACAGGGAGCTACTGAAATGGCGGGAAAGAATCAGATAAGTATACAACTAGAGAAAGGCACGTACCGCTCTTGTGACCTAAAGGAACTCCATTGTGGAATGCTCAATCAGGAAGTCTTGTAAGTGTGTGGATGAGGACAGCGGAAAGATTGACAATGTGTCCATCAAGGTAAAGAAATAGCGTAAACCAAGAATATAGCCACCAAAAAAGGTCAAGATGTCGACATTCCATACCAATGAAAAGCCATTCGGAGAGATCCAGAGACAGGCGTATTTCAAGCATCGTTACAGCGGAACTTGTGTATCTCCCGTCCTCAGATACTGAATGTCGGTTTGTCTCAGTAGCAGAAGCAGTCAACCAACCAACGACGGAGGGGAATTGGAGGGGAACGTTGCGAGAAGACCGTCGTAGGAGATCGGAAGCAAAGTAACGAGCTGGGTTTAAATATCTGCGTACGTTCAATCTCCGCTCTCTGTCCCGCCGGCACCAACCCCAAACCAACTCTAACACAAGGTACTCGCGCCAGCCGTCACCGCCCCCCCGTGTTCAGCGACGGTCACCAGTCTACAAACCAACCCACGTCCCTATATACACATTTGGATCTGCTACTTGCGCGGCCTATGTGGAAGAGTTGTGATTACTGCAGTTTCCCCTTTCTTCATGCCTTGATATGATGGACCCGCTGAATTTTCTCTCGCCTACCAATACAGACGGTTCAACATTAATCGAGTTCACCTTAGTACGCCCTAAGTACGCCCTGAACGTCCGGTATCGACGTTGTGGGGAGTTTTCTTCCCAGGGTACCTACGTCTAGGAAAATATTTATTCAAAATAGCAGCGACTATGCTACACAGCTTGGGAGTGCAACTAATGCATAATGCAGATCTCTATCGAACAACACAAGCAATGTGTCGCGCTCCCGACTTGCTCCCAGCCTTCAACAAATGAGCAAGTCAGCGCAAAGGCGTACAGTCATGAGAAATCATGCATAATCCTCATCGAAGCCTACCCAATCACATCATCGAGCAGCGGTAGGTTCATCGCCGTGTTCAGGATCGCCACTTGCCCTCTTCTTGTTTCCCCACTGATCCGCGTAGTTCACTTCTTGCTCCCACCGAACGACAATACCTAACCATAACGAGAAAATAGTTAGAAGGGGGAATGCCTGACAGTCATCTTTTGTCTCAAGAGTATGAGGGAATATAGAAGTATCGACGTCGCTCGAACAAATGCGTATAAAGGGAATTGAACGGAGGCGGTCACCCTGGCAAGGGAACAAATGACGACAAAACCTGACGAAATGAGAAGGAAAAATGCATACAAAACCGAAATGAAGCAGCTACGACGCACCATTGATGACCGAAGGCTGATCCTCCTTCCTCGGGATCTCCGCCGATCTGACCAACGGAGGTCGCGCGCTGAGAACGATAGAAGGGTCCAAATCATCCGATGTGTCGGCTTGAAAGTCGGTCATCCACCGGCCATGGGTGTCGCTGAACTTGTTGATTTTGCCGGATCGGTCGCGGTTCGCGCGAAGGTTGAGAATACTATAAGATCGGGGGATGAGGGAGTGGAATCAGGACAGAGGGAAGGGGATGGTGCGATTGAAGCGGAAGAAGGACGTACAGACGACAGGACAGAACTGTTGATAGTTGTATGCTGATGGCGACGTTGAGTGATTGTATGAGCTTGTTCTTTTGTCTTTAGGGGTTGGGAAAGTCAGCTGATGTCAGACCCACGAGAACATGGTAGCAAAGAGCATACAGGAAGAAAACCACATTGATCAAGTTGAGCGACGAAATGGCCACGAAATAGAGAACATGATGCTTAATGAAGATGTTGATCGGCCTCGATGTGGATCCCGAAGCCCTGTGCCGAAGCCCTCTCCAGATAGTCATTGCAGTTAAGGTGAAGTCAACAACCCTGGTGACATAACAAGTCGCGTATTAATGGCTGAAAGGTCAGCATCCAATCTCGCAGGGGAAAAGACACAGGTTGGCGGCCGGACAAACATGGGAGATGCAAAGAAAGCGACAATGAAGTTAGGTCCCGCGATGGACGGCTGCTGGGTAACTGATGGTTAGATGATAAGTATTATATCGTTCGAGGACGATGAAGGGTGCATGGCTTGGATCCGAGCGGATGAGATAGCGACTCACTGAGGCAAGGGCCAGGCCACGCCGGCAGCTTCGTATCTATAACATGGACACAGTGTAAGAAATGCGACTATGGAATATGCGAGTAAAGACAGAACTGATGAGATGAGTGACTCACAACCGAATGATAGGACGGCAGACGAAACCATAACACCAGTGAAACCGAGCATCATCAGTGATAGAAAGATTAGTAACCATTTGTTACGACCCCAAAGTGCGTATACACGTAGAACCAACACTGGATGTGGACATGAATCAGAATACCGTTAGACTTTGAGGAAGATGATAACGTTGAAAGAGGTTTCATATAACGGCTAGTAAAGAACATACCTAGTTCAACAGACAGCTCGACGAGGACAGCAAACGCTGGGAGTATACGAAGATATCTCGAACAAGACCTGGAAGGCCAACCGCGTAAGCCAGAAGTCAAAACGTTAGAGAGGACGACCGACTCTTCCGTCCATACACCCAAGACCCCTGTTTGGCGGAGAACGACAAGTCAGAACATATCGGAAACGATTGAGTCGTGAAGTTGGGTGTACAAATATCGGTCACTATGAAAATTAACTAGTTAGCAAGAAGCGTTGCCGCAATAAAGATGGTGGAAGTGACCGTACGCACTGATGAGGACTGCTAACGCGTAATACCGCACCATCAAGTACACCATCTTTATAGCTGACCACTGCGCCTTCCATATATACTTCCACTTTGAATAAGTTACGGCAAGCAGCTCACCTCAATTAGAGTTCGACAACGTCAGACTGAGCGAAGATCTTGCTCACCTCCTCTGGTAGACACACTAGCCAGTCCCATATCCAAATCGATGTCGTGGCTGTTTGACGAGAGAATCCATTGGTGAGCATATCACCTCCGAGGACGCGCGAATGTGCTCACATGCAACGTAGATCTGACACGATATGCCAAAGAAAATGAGTGCAGCAGAATCAGTTGATATGGACGTTACAGAGATAGTAAGACCAGTCTACTCACCTGCGCAACATGAACGATTCTCCAGAGCGCCTCGCTCTCCGCATCCGACATGACAGAGTCACCGGGAGCCGAAGTTCCTGCTATCGTCCTTCCAACTGCGGTCGTCGGTTTCAGCGTCCACCTATGTACTGAGGCAATTGGCGGCAATGGCAATGAAGAGGATCGAGGGAGGGAGGAAGTAGACGAGTGTGTTCGCCATCCCGACGAAGGCTTTGGGGTCTGTGCACCAATCGGCGAGGCCAGTGTCATCATTAGGTTCCATGCCGCGTTGCGCTTACTGGGAGCCGCTTGGGCTTTTACTCAACGTCACAGCCTGGTGCACAACGGAGATTACAGCGGCTACCTCCTTATGCATACTTCTGACGGGAACGCAAGTCATCAGGACCACAAACAGAGTGCTGGCTATGTTCGACGCTTTCGATATCTTCGCCTCAACTCGTTCTACGAGAAGTGACTTGCCCTGTGGGTCAGGCAGCGCTGAGTACACAGTATTGAAGACGTGGCAAGCTGGCCCGAGCTGGCCGAAGGAACTACGAGAAGACCGCACTGCACTGCTCGGCAGACAAAGTCTCAGGAGCGCTCGTACGTGATATGATGCAAGTCAACCATTGCTTCTTCACATCCAGGACGATCTCTGAAAAGGGCTGAACAGGACGCTGTAGCCCCAGCGTTGGGTCCGGTGTAAGCGACTGGGCACCGTAAAGTTACACAGGACAGGACGCGATATGACTGTGCACGGCTGAAAATAAATTTGTCAAAGGATTTGGTCAGTGATGCACGGAATGGGTGCGTTGAATAGGATGGAGATGCATACCGTAACCACCGCATGTACGTACATACAGGCAGAGATCGTCTACCGCCGCTCTGATCAAAGTCAAGGGAAGTGGTCGTCGTTGACTGGGTGTTGTCTCAATACGATGAAGAGACTAGGAGCGAATGCTCAACCCGAGATCAACGAAACGGTGCAGAGAAAGAGTGGCGAGAGTGAAAGAGAAATATCAATCTCTCGTTGAGCACGTGTTTTTCTGAGATCGTCAGGACCGTCTCCATCGCGGTCCATGGACAGGTCCGTTGCGGGGTCCACTGTCCGAGACCCACCAATTTGTTCGGTTCACCAGACACTCCTGTTTGTGAAATACTGGATATACTTCTGTCAACTCGTGTTTAGCAACACCAACACCACATCAAAACATGCACCTCCAACACGTAGTTATCAGCTCAGCACTCAGCGCTCAGTACCTCCAGAGCACACTCAGTCCTCCATAAGATCCGCACCCTTCAACCCTGCCGCCCTCCTGGCCTCAACTCTCGTCTTCATCACAGTCCGCGCACCGTCGACTGCTTTATCCAATGTTCCCGATTTGGCCATGGCGAGGAGGAGCGCGTGGATCAGGCCGAGGTGATTATGTCTCCGGAGCGAGTTTTCGAACTGTACGGCGAACGAGGAGGCGAGGATACGAGATACAAGGTAGGGTTTAGAGCAAGAGAAAGGACAGTGAGCACGACAATCACAAATACGAGTAAAGAGATGGGCGGTGGAACAAGAAAACGTACATCCCATCGTTGCCTCTTCGCGGCCTCGTTCGCCACCATCTGGCCGACTTCTTCCGCCATCATCGTGTCTCCCGCCGCTTGTAATTGCTCAAGTTGGGCTTGTAATGCAGGGAGGTTATCATCGTGCAATGCGAGGAGGGAGAACTCGAGCTATTTAAAGAGGAAAAGACGAAAGAGGAATTTCAGTATGGGTATGAAAGAACGTGACATTAAAAGAGGAGGCGGTGGAGAAAATTGCCAGAGAAAGGCGAACATATTGGCGAATCGCCACGCCTTGAATGATGCACGAAAGTGATTCAGAGCGCTACTATAAACATGTATAGTGTTGCCCCGTTATCGAGGGTGCCAGTTTCAGTGTGGCCCGTGCCACACGAGTATAAGCGCTCGAGACCGGTAATGCAGACGTCGAGGCAGTGGTGTGGTGTCTTATCCCATTGAACCACGCAGCAGGACATATGTCACTGACGATGTGCAGATACAAAAACATCATCCCGTTCGTCAAGGAAGGCCGAAGAGGTGCAGTTGAACTCTGCGTCCTCCCGCGATGTCGCTGACAGGGACGGTTGTCTGAACGCAAGCAAAAATGTATCTGGACGTGGACGGGTATGCTCGTCTGAGTTCGAGCAAGGTGGGTAGGAGGCCGCAGGTGGTCATATGTGGTATGCCCGAATGACAGATACAAAGAGCACCAAACCGGCTTGAAAGAAAGAAAAACGCAAAAAAAAAACGTACTGCGCCAGCGGGATACGTCGCTATCCGAGCTTCAATGACCTCCCTATTCAACCATAAACACGGTCACCACCAACACACCAACACGAAGAATTTCAACGCGGGAATACGCACCTCGCCTTTCCAATCCAACCCTCCCCACCCTCCTCCCAAGCCCCATGCCTGATCGGCTCCCTTTTCAACCCATCCAACTCATAAACTGCTCCATTCACCGGTAGATAAACTACAAAATGGTAGGCGTCCTTCTCCGTCTCCCTGGGCAAATCCAACCCATCTAACGAAATTGCACTGGGCGGCGAAAGCGCATTATGCGCCTCTCTCAACCAATCCGCCGATGTCACGGCTAATCCGCGGGTTTGTGGGTCCATACCCGTTGTGAACGCAAAGAGGTCCTCTAATTGGGATGTTGAACCAGGGGCACGGTTCGTCGACGTGGAAGGGAGAGGAGTGATGTTGCCAAGAGCGTTGAGGACGGCGAGAGTGGCACAGGCATTGTTTACTACTTGATGAGCGAAGAAGCCAGGAAAGTCGGGATCGTATTGAGAGCCGGTAGTTGACGAAGGGTCGGGTTCGCCGGATGAAGGCAGCCATTTAAAGAGGAAAATGAGGGCGTGAATGGGCGCGAGCGGTGCGAGCACGGAGGCATCGAGGGAATACAGGTCATCACAGATAAGTGGAACACCCAAAGATTTCAACAATTCACTGTAAGATTATAATCACAAGAAGTTTTGAAAATCAGTTGCCGGTAAACGTTATGAAAGAAATGGGAAATGGTGCGAACGTAAATACACCAGGATCAGATTCGGTAAGCTGCCAGCCGCTAGAGTCGTCCTCGCCAGACATAACAGGAGTGTAGTATTATTCAAATAGGCCAGAGATGGCGGAGATGGCGAGATAGATGCGAACGCTCGCTGTGAGGAACGATGGAGCTGGTGTGGAGGAAGACGCGACGCGTCACTTTTTTGAGACGCGTCTCCATTTGTCCACGCACGTGGTTCTACGTCGCCTTCCAAATGTAGCAAAAATCTGCCTTCGTCTCATCTTCCCAACATCTTCCTTCATCCTCTCGTTCTTTGTGTCCTTAGAACATTCTCTAGAGACCTCGCGTTATGGCTCCGTTGATTTACACTGGGTCACTTCCCGTTTGGAGTCCTCATAAATTCTAGAGTCCTAGTAGATGCACAGAGGGAGGCTCTGAAGTCGATTTCTGATTGGACGAGACCTCTTGTCTTTGTGATTCTGTGCACCAGGTTCGTCTTATAGAAAATTCATATAGCTCTTGTATGACGGGGTAGATATGAAATGTGGCACTGTCGCTAGAGTTCTACTTCAACCACGGTGTGTCATTCAATTCAAAGGTCTAGCTCCGTATCGTCGCATCTGGAGCAGGCAAACGATAAACTTACCCTGTCGATATACTTATACCTTTTCACTGACAAATCAACGCGTATCGCATCGTGTTGTTACTCTCCTCCTGGCTATTTCCTCGGGGCAAACTCGAACCAATTGCGCTCCTACAGTCCGGATCTCTCGACACTCGAGATGCATCCCAGGTATTGGATCCGTGCCACATAACTACCCCAAGTCTCAACTTCGAAGTGATTGGATCTGGAGAATCTCAAAACATGCTGTTCCTATATAGATGGACAAGAAAGTGCCATCCTGAAGGAGTCACGGTGGTGGTACGAAGCGAAGCAGAGAAAACGGCGCTGGCGACAGCCGAAAGCGTTGGTATGTAAGTTAACGTTAGCGCGATTTGCCGGCTCTTTGTTTGGTGGTTGGAAGCGCCCGTTGGGAAAAATTGAATCCTGATCCTTGACCATCATGACCTCTGCAATACCCAGAGACGTAGTAAGCTGTCCACAGCTTCGATAGGTATTTTTCTGTATGACTGACTTGCCTTCTGAAGATAATCAAAATCGTCCACCAGCTGTTGACGGCCAGCACCTTGATTAGTGAAGCGGCTGCAATACTTCAGTCGAGGCTGCTGCTTTCTGAAAACCAAACAAGAGACACGTCGGTGAGTGTTGTCACTGATGTGACGTATTTACACGTCATCTGATGCGCCTTGGGTGTCTATGTTCTTATGAGATGGCTGCTTCGTCCTCGTCCACGATGTCTGCTGATGCAGTACAGTTCGTTTCGACTCTCGCTAAGGCAGTCACGAACACCGTATCAAGCCTAGGAGAGATGACAGGGGGCAAGTCCTTGTTCATTCTATTAGGGACACATCGTTAAACTGATAAGTTTCTGTAGCAATTGACACATTGTGCCAACCAATGTTCCGGATCAAGAGCCCAGCCTGGAGGTGTTCAATTCATTCGTGAAGGGCCCTCGTTAGAAAGACCAGAGCCGGGACCTTCAAGCACCGGCTCCACTCGCGAGGCAGAGTCGTCAATGCCACCCCCTAGGTATGTTCAGTTGGCGATCCCGCTATCCTACTGTGCGCTTTCCGGCTAACTGAACGGGACGACTTAGTGTCATACCGCAAGCCCCTCAGACTCAACTTACGGGCAATATTGGTGCAGTGAGGACATCCACCCAAAGATCTATCAAGACGAGAGGTCCCTATACCGCGGCAGCATGTATAGCTTGCCGTCGAGCGAAGAGAAAGTGTATTAGTCTTTCACCTGGAAACGAGGAGTGCGCGTACGTGGTCAACTTTGATAGCCCCATTTGTTCCAACTTTCTGACCGAACTGCAGGCAATGTATAATGCGCGACCAACCTTGTGTCTACCCTGCTGCGCCCGAATCGGTCTCAGGAGCCTCTGTGGACATGGGCGAAGGGTCTTCAAGTTCCACGTTGGACCTGAACATCACGCCCACTGGCGATCCTGCTCCGTAAGTTTTGTATCCTATGATCTTGTCTGAGTTGATTTATCATCACTGAAACAAAATTCCCTATGTTTTCTCCATGATTTTGACGACGGCTCTTCATTAGACAAACAAACAACACAGAAAGCGGTACAACATAACCTTCGTTCTCATCGCACAAACTACTTAAAAGACATCTCAGAGCCAACTAACATAGGATAGCGAGATGAAAGAGTCCTTTTGAGTCACAGTTCACGATTAAAACAGTGGGATGATAACAGCGTTCGGAGAGGAAATGAGAATGTGGCCCACGATGGTTTGGATACGAACGGTGGATACACGAGCATAAAATGCGCTTCGGAGTCGCCGAGCGCTCTAATGTAATATAGTGGACCGAGTGTGATGGCTGGGTATCGTTATGGAATTGTATATGAATTTCGAAAAAAAAATGCCGCATACAGTACGGAAAGACACCTGAACCACCAGCCCCGGGAGAAAGGCAGAACCAAAAGCGTGCTCACGGACGTCCGTGATCCTCAGGCTGGTAATCTGAGGGTATCACGGAGCACGACCAGCTGCCGAGCATACGAGAACAGAAATTACATCCACGAGTGCATGACCGATCAATGAACTGAGAACAGTCACCAGAAGTGTATGAGAGAAAACGCCGTATACTTACCTTTGTTCCTTCATCGTAGGCGGTGCAAGCAAACTCAACGGGGGTATGCAATATCACAAGCTCGACGGCCATCGACACTGTCTTCGGTTGCGTCGAATTGGACAGCAACATTAAGATCAGGGGAGTTCAGAGCGCAGCGCAGCCCTATAGCTAATTACTTACCTCGATGCAGACTACGCCACCGCCACATGAACCTTCGATATTTAAACACGGGGGCGGCGGCTGCTTTTGGGAGCTTCGAAACCGAATACAAAACCGAATACCGTACGCTAAGTGCTAGTAACGGGTTGAGAGGTGGCGAAAGCCTTTGTATGTGGCCCACTGAATGCGGTACGGGTGTTTTTTGTTCAGCGAGAACAAAAGATTGTCTTTCGAGAGTACGAAACCGAAACACGTGACTCAAAATTACCATAGCAGGCAACGCCGAAATGCCCGATTCGGTTTACTTAGTGACCACGAAACTTTTTCTTTCGTGCTCACGGCGCATTAACACACAGGATTGCATCCAGTGCCGTCTAAAGAAAACAAAGGGCGCACGCTGAAGCCATCCCGAAGCCTTTTGTCTCCGAATCCGGTTCTGGATTCTGTTTAGTTCCTTTCAAAAGCAGCCGCCTCCCCCGTGTTTGGCGCAGCAATACAGAATAACGAGAAGGAAAGGCACGGACTCGATGCCTTGCGCCCAGAGAAAGTATTGGGCATAATGCTGCTGTTCGTCACGATGAAAAATCGAGCTCCGGTGATAAAATCGCCGTTGTAGGTATCGAGATTCGAGAACACGTCACACAGTAAGTACTTACCTATAGCGGGAGACCTAAATTGTCAACCCCATTAATGGACTATACGGGAAAAGAAACACTGGGTATACTCATCGCGAAAGGAAGAATAAACAAAGGATGTGATTGAGCGAATTGCCTTCCTCAACGATCCATGAACGTTGATGGTGCGAACGCTATCGAGAAAAGACGTACTTATCAGCATACGATTCGAGCAGGACGGAAACAGGATGTACCAGGTAGAAGCTCGCAAGCTTCAGCATATACAATGGCCTAGATATCATATCGTAGAAGGGTGTTAGGCGTACTATATGAGCGAGCCGCAGAGAATCCCAAACGCCACGTGGCAAATACCGAGGATGGCGGGTAAAGCTAGACAAGGAGCAGATCGAGCTGACGAAGGGGTGGGTGGATATGGCCTGCATCTCGAAAGAGCCGAGCGAAAACAACACCGGGTTGAAGCAACACTGTCTAGCAGAAAAACCGGGGGCGATGTAAACCGCCTTGCCCTTGGGGACGTTGCCCGCTTCTCAGCAAGAAATGGATTCGACGACCGCCGTGGTATTCCAAGGAAGGAAATGTTAGAGATGCGATGTGATAAACTGGGTCACAGTGAGTCCCGGCGTCGAGTTGAGGGGAGAGGAAGTGAAACAGAATTGGAGCCATTCAATTCTCGTCGGTTCATGGCCGGGTGCTGTCAGTCAACAGTCGTCTGCTAAGCTCTGGAATTGCGACGTCCAGGTCCCCAGATTAGAGAACAAAAAGGTACGCACTATAGCTCCAAGATATAGGAGATATTCCTTCTGGTTAATTAGACGAACATATCCCATGTAAGCCTATCGCAGACAGAATGAGAACGGCCCACGCACCATGCTCGGACAGCGGCAGAAGCACCGCTCGCCCCGGTATCACGTTCTTGACGAGCTAGACCAAGAAAGCTTCTATGTTCGAAACTGGGCTGAAATCCCGGATTTTTTGCAGTGCGTAGAGGACACGAAGAGGAAAGAGTGACAGGTCGGACGCCGCGTTGGTGGCGGTCAGGAAGCAAGTCCGACGCGTGTCGAAATGGGTGTGAGGTGCACGTGAAGCAAACGTGAAGACCTCAGTTGAGAGATTCGTTCATACTCGAGACTTTGGAAATCTCTTATAACAAAGGAAGAAGTATGAATTGGCCATATAAAAACCATGGATGTGTACAAATTTGGAAGGGGGGTCAAAGGGCAGTGGATACTTAAGGCTCGAAAGAAATTGAAAAGGAATCATCACTGTAATGCCCTTGGCTTTCTACCTGGCCTCTTGCCTTGCCCACAACTGTTCTTCTGGTGCCTCTTGAGAGCATCCGGACGGCTGCAAGACTTACCGCAAGACTTACAAGAGACCCGTAAGGTGGTAGTGTTGTGGCATGAAAGTGTGTGGCGCCGAGCGTCGGCATCGCGTCCAAATCGGATGTGGCACTGCTTGCAGGTGCCACCTCGTCCTTTCTTCTTCCCCGTCGCCTTCTCTCTTCTTCCTCTCCCTCCTCTCGTCTTCTCTGCGCTGACCGTCGGCGCTCCAGACGGTTCCGGGAGCCCACTGGTATTCTCGGGAATGGTGGTGTACGTGGGGAGTACCCCACGTACGTCGTTAGTTCGGGTCAGTTCGGTACTCGGAATCGTCTGTTGATCTGTAGGTTTGTCAGACCTGAACATTCTCATCCGCGAGAAGCGTTGGAGCCAACACACCTTCGACAGACATATCTTGCTCCTCTTGCTGCGCTGGATTCAGATACTGTCCGTATAGCGTTGCCATGTCACCACCAATCCCTATATCTTGCATCTCGACACCTGTGGCGCCCCAAGGAACGACTCTAGTCTCATTCCTCCACCCATCGATCTCGCCCATGCAGTCAGGGTTATCCTCCGAACCACTAGGGTTGGTAATTAAGGTGCTTGGTTCTTGCGCAGAGGAGATGGGGGCAAAGGGAATCATCGAGGGTGATATGGCGAAGGATGATGTGTGGTTGAGGCAGCTGGGCGCGAGCGATGATAAGGCCCAATAAGACGCGTCATCTGGAAGTCCATCAAAGCTACCATGGTGGTCTGGCAGCGAAGGAATGGATGTCTGCTGTATCTCTCGGTGAGTCCTATTATGCTCTTGTAAATCTGACGAACACTTACGAACTGTATGGTCGGCATAGCGGGCTCACCGCCACGGTGGTACACACCAATTGGGTAGGGGTCATTCTGAGCAGCAGGTGATGGTGAGCACGCCACCCAATTGTTGACCACAAATGATACTTACGAGTAGGCCCAGCATCTCGAAACCCTCGACATCGTGATTCGTTGAATGGTATTGTACATCTCTCGACGCTCCAGGCTCATTACGGTACGTCTGAACATCTTCGCCAGGCTCTACACTCGAGATGCGCTGTTCAACATATCCAAATTGCATGGCCACGAACTGTTGCCATGAAGCAAACTCGGCGACGATGTCGTCGTAGCGAAGTTCATGCAGGCCGAGCGTGATCGGTGGATCATCCATGTCGGAGACTCTGAGACGGGGTTCCTCCCTGTAGTGAGGAGAGAGAGTCAGGCCAAGGGCAAGGACGCCTGTACACCACATCTTCCCGTTTATCATATTCACATCATCGACACATATTCTCTGTCGTTCTAGATCGAGTCAGAGCTTTCTGCAGCTCAATAGCCTCACACACCTGCCACATTTAGACCCAGGTACGCCAATTGGGATCAGTATGCGAGCTCCCTTCGCGACATTTACTAGGCAGTCTGATGTTCGTCCTGCAGGTCTATTTACCTGTCCATCGAGCTATGTATAAGCTCCGCGGTATTTCCGTCGCGTACGCCGTACGATTCCTACAACGTGATCCTCATATCGGACAATGCGTACTGTCTTGCTCAGGGAATACGTACTGCTGCGGCGCGAATCTCTGCTACGCATCTTCACTTGAACCTCGTTCACGATGCGGTTTAGCAACCAATGTAAGTCTTCATAATCATGGCCTCAGGCTGGGCCATAATCTCGTTGGCTGCTCGCCACTGTATAGTAGCCTACGCAATACTTAGGTTGACAATGCCGTCCGACCGCAGTCATGGAACCTGCCGTATCAATGCATCCGACTTGTTCCTTCCTGCATCGAATGCTGTCAATACTTTATTTTTCGTAGACAATACTCTGCCGAAGACTGTATAGTCTAAGGTGTCGTGCTCGCCACACGGAATTAGCGCCCTCCCCAATATTCTGAGCATTTGACTCTCCTATTTATATGGTATATTCTCGAAGATATGGCCCATTTCAGAAACTGTGTTCTGCTTTCCTATCCGAACCGGTCGTCTCAGTGCTGTTCAAAGTTGCCCAGTATGACCACAACTCCTTCGCGCAGTATGGTCTATTTTTGTATTTTGCACGAGTTTTACGCCACTGTGAATATCGCCAGATCGCCGTGGCACTTCGAGGTCCTACCGTCCGACTTCAGATGCCTTCTCTTTAAATTTACCTGCCTCTTTGCACCACTTCCTGGACAGCGATTCACGCAAGACATGGAAGCGAGGCGTAGAGTACGGGAAACACGATCCGAGGACGATTTTGCGTGGCGGCGGCTGAGATGCGACCAGTGTCTGTCGGAATATCGGGCCTTGGGGGGGTTTTTTTTTCTCCCTACTACATCAGAAGCCACAGATACCACACTCAGTCAGTATAATGACAAGTATTTGAGTGCTCCAGCGGCGGGATGTACAAGGTTTCAGATTTGAATTCGGTGATCTCAAAGTTTCGCCTTCCTGTTGGCCGCGCACATCTGCTCTCTCCCTCGAAACTGACAACTACATCAGAGGCCCGAAGCCATCGGGGTATCTCCAGTACACGATGACAAGGATGCAATGGAACCGCAAATGCGAGATGGACATGCATCATGCCAATTGTCGGATTGCCGCCTGTTATCTATAGAAGACCGCACTCCGTCCTATATCTAGCGATGAATGGTTGGAGCTGCTTCTCGATGGCCAAGAGTGGCGAACCCTTTGGAGCTTACGTTCCAGTGATTCCTCTGTGATTCGTAGCTCCCTTAGTCATTTGACCATTAGATATTATTTCGACCGTGAATTTTTGCACCCGGCAACGCCTGCACAACCGTACCATATTGGTACATTCAGCAAGTGTACCTTACCCTGCCAATTGTGGAGAGGCTTGAAACGAACCCGAGGACTCCACATTGATACATTATCGCATCATGACAACATACCTTCGCTGCGCGTGAATGCCACTACTTTCCCCCTCTATATGTTCAGATATTTTGCTTTGCTTGCTGTCTTTCTAACGCGCTCAACCACAGAGACCACGTTCCTCGTGGGCGAAGCAATCTATGTCTATTGCGACTTGACCTTAGCCATGCCAAGAATGCGAATGGGGTGCACAATAACATATCCCGCTCGTCCTATCTATTGTTACTTTTTAGTTGTTGAATTTCTCTCCCGCGATGAAATCTGACCTTCATCTGTGGAGATCCCGGATCTCGCAATCGATGATCATGCTAGAACGACCGTACAGCCTTGAGATGGCGGGACGCCAGTCGAAGTTAAAATGTCGACTCCATAGCTCAGGCTTTTCTCTGTCTCCCCCAGTCCCTAGGGCTAGTATAGTGAGCAACAGTTTTTGTTTACCTATTCTTTGAAGGTGCTAAGAGTCTCGCAAAATTCGAAGCTTCCTACATGATACTACCGACGAATTACAGCCCCAAAGAATCGTCATCAGATCTATGGATTGAGCGCTTTACGTTCGTTGGTGGAATCGCAGGTGGCGTTGCATATGGTATACTGCGACTCAGGTTCTCAAGTACCTTTCAAAGCTAACGGTTTTCCACGTCTCTTCTCAGGCTTTCACGTCTGTCTTTTCATCGGAGCGACCCATCTTATCCGCCGATCCCAGGTGGAAGCTAAACAGAAAGTACAACAAGCATTACATATGTTGACGTTATTCACATTGGGGACCATTTGTCTGGTTTGCTACTCAAGCGAGTTCGAGACAATGTTTATTAAACAGCGTGACTTCCCGGGCGGACCGAGTGAATGGTTAAAAATCCACTTTGCCATACCGGCCAATATCCTAGGCAGGGTCGTGCTCTCAACCTGCGATATCCTGACTGACAGCATTCTGGTCTGTCACACTCTTCAGTGCGTTTCCTATGATACAGTAGTCTTATCTGAGCGAATTTCATCCAGCTGTACCGTCTATGGATAATTTGGGGTCGAAGCTATCGCATCGCGGCGATTCCTTTTTTGATTCTGTTATTTTGCTTGGGTACGTCCGTGCTTTCAAAATCGCCAGTGGTACTATTGTGCTTATCGCGAAGCTGGGTTAGCTACGGATGTACTGGCCGCTCCACTAAACCTGGCAACAACATCTGGTCAGGAGAGGCCGTCCCATGGAACATCGCGTCCTGGTCTGCCTCCATTTCTCTAAACGTTGTCGTTACGTTGGGCATCGTCTACCGACTCCTTTACATGCGCAGGTTGATGCGTACAACGCTCCCAATGCGTAATGCACAAATGTATACGTCTATTACTGCGATGATCATCGAGTCTTCGGCTATTAATACTGTCACCTATAATGCCTTCCTCATATCTTATGTCGTGGATAGTCCGTTTCAACGAGTAGTCCTTCCTGTGCTTACTCAAGCCATGGTGAGAGAAACTTCCTCTCCTATGACCTGCATCGTACCACTGACATCATCTCCACGTCCATGGTAGTGCATTGCACCCGAACTCATTATTCTCCGAGTTGCATTGGGTCAGGCATGGTCCCATCAAACTGCTTTGAATTCAATCAGTAACGTGCATGTCGCTAATGTCGAATCCACTGTGAACGTCATAGCGAATGGCTCTTGCAATTCCTTTCCGGGAGATGGCAGTCAATTGGAGCTGGGGATCAAAGCAGCCGGTGGGGAGGAACGCTCGAACCCCGATGGAGCAGAAGTTATAGCCGAAGCCGTCGACGAGGGTATTCGATGATAAAAAAAATGCAAAGCTCTATGTAATACGGTTGTTAGTGTTGCACTCTTAATCCGAGAAGTTTAGAAAAGTAAGAGTTTGTGGCATTTAGTCTTCGACCCCCGTCGTGTAAGTACATGATAGGAATGGAAAGAAAAATACAAAACAAAACAAAACAAATTATTTGGGGACCTTGGGCTTTCTCCCCGGCTTTCTCCCCTTTCCACAGCTACTGTCTATATGGCGTTTGAGGGCATCTGGCCGGCTACAGGGCTTACCACAGGCCATGCACGAGATCTGGTTGCAACCGTGGCGTGCAAGTTCGTGGCGTCGGGCATCGGCCTCCCGTGTGAACACGCGGTGGCACTGCTTGCAGGTGCCACCTTGCTCTCTCTTCTTCTTCTTCCTCGTCCCTCCTCTCCCTCTCCCTTCTCCCTTCTCCTCTTCAGTTCCGTCTGCGCTGGCCGTCGAGCGGCCAGACGATTCCGAGATGGCACTGGGGCTCTCGGACATAGTGGCGTACGTGGGGAGTTCTCTGCGTATGTTGTTAGTTCGGGTATCCTGGGCGCTCGGAATCGTCTGTCGATCTGCAGGTTTCTCAGATCTGAGCGTTCGAAATAGCAAGACGCACCGGCGATAGCACACTCACCTGTGACGTTCTGCTGAAAATCTTCTTGCTCTTCGTGGACCATCATCATGCCATTGCCCAACACAACCTCCTGCACCTCATAACCCGCAGCCTGAGCCCCGATCGTGCTCCAATCATCATAACTGGTGATTGGGCCTTCAATGTCCAACAGTCCCTGGAACGCACTCAAGGTGGTGATGGGGAATTCTGAGTATGATGTGAAGGATTCCAAGGAGTCGAAGGAGTCGAAGGAGTCGGACATGGATGAGTTTGGCTGAGGCGGTGCGAATGGGTCGAGGGTGACGCAGCTGGGCGCGGGTGACGGGAAGGTCCAATCGGACATGGAATCTTGCGTTCCTTCATGATTCACGACTTGCCCTGGTAGGGACGGTATGAAGGGCTGTTGTGTGTCCTGGTGAGTCGGAGGATTCTCGCATATTTGATGAATACTTACCAATGACGCGCTCGATGCAGTGAGCGCACTGGGAAGCATGCCATCGTTTGAACCATCCATCGGGAAGGAATTACTCTGAAGAAAATGTGTTTGTGAGTCGGACACTCGATTGTTTTCGTTAATAACACCTACGGGGAGGTCTAGTATCCCGAATGCCCAGACATCACGTTCTGAATCGTGTTGCATACCCTCCATCGGGACATGGCCATCTACGTATGGTTGCATCTCCTCTTCGACAACCACATACGAACCAGGGCTCGACACAACACGCCCGGCATAGTCCGACTCCGTATTCTCTACCTGCCGTGAGGCAAGTTCGGCAAAGATATAGTCGTCATCGAGTTCATTGAAATCAAAGTCAATGGGCGGGTCATCCATATCGGACAGCGGGGGTCTTCTACCTCGGACTGGACAAGCGCCCAAGGACAAGGATGTCGCTGCTACAACCCATCCGCCCTCTAATATCCTGGTTTCGACACGCCATAGTGTTTGGTTTTGCGTCCCAGAGCGTCAGCCAACTTTCGGTGGGTTCGTTGCTGTATACTTGGTTCTCCTGGACAGATCCAAGTACACCTTTTGGGCGTGCTCGGGACCAAAGTTGCCTCATGCAGGCGATCATTGAGCTTTTCAACAACTGATTTTGCGGGGTTATTTCCATGTGCGCCCAGATAACTATAAAAAGTTCCTCAGCACCAAGAGTCATCAACTCGTAGCCGAGCGCCATACGATTCTTTGTAGGTCCTCATGTATGACCTTCAATTCTCACTTTCCCATCGGCTGCGCACAACTGTGCTGTGCTGCGACTCTTCTTTCTGAAATAGACGCCAGCCCTACACTTGCAGGCGTATTGGCATCGCAAGTTCCGGCACCGTCAACGCTTCTGCAAATCTCACTATCCTCGGTTTCTCATCCCTCGCCACAGTTTGTTTTATTCCAATCACAATATTAGGGGCAACCCGGAATCGTCTGCCCGTATCTTGGAGTCTCTTCGTCTTCATTTTCATTTTCCCAGGCTCTGACCGCCACCTGTTTCTCGCTGCTCACAGTCTCGACTACATGGCACCCTCGATACTGTTCAGTGGACGGTGTCATGTTCTACAGTGGACTGTTCGTGGCTAGATCCACTGCGCGTACACGTCTTGTCCATGAGAACGTCTTCGTGTTCGGTGGTCGAGTCACGCAGCCTATCCTTTGTCATTATGTGGCGCACTCTCATATCTGATGCCAGTACATTATGGTGGCTACGACTTTTCTCCGTGGATAACCTGCTTCACTAGAGTAAGGTTTCTGATCGGATTTGCTGCGTCCACCTTCAGGATGCAGGGCATTGAATGGTCTCGATCACAGCTTCCGCGATAGACACGCAGTCCTCACGCCCCCGGAAAAAGGTAATGACACGTAATTCGTTCTGTTGTTGCCAGTATGTGGCACCATGCGGTCCTGGCCATCGAATCACACATGTTAATGTGCCGAACACCCTGCCTCTCATAGTCACAAAAAGCCTAAATTTGTCTCTATCGATTCGTAAACTCGTTTCCAGGTTCTGGGCCAGTATCGGTATTTCTATCCCGTTCATCGCCGTGATGGACGGGTAAGGACGTATGTCAGAAGGATCTTCGGCAGTAAGAGTAGAGTCGAGAAAAAGTGTGGTATGACGTTGGCGAGAGCGGGGGCGGTGATGGAGAAAGAAACCGGCGACGAGGATGGTAGGTCGGAGTAGAGCCACATATCACAGGGGTTCTGTTCGACTTCACAGAGTGAGACTGACTAGTTGGGGTCGGCGTTGCTTGGGTTGTCGAGGACGAGCTATACATCGAAGAATCCAATCAATGAGCATACCTGCGCAGTAGACGGAACTGTGTGGTCCCAAGGATAACATCGAACGTGAATTTACCTGACGCTGAGGGGGCCCGATAGCAGTACGAGATGCTCAATCGCATCAATTTGATCGAAGGGAATACTATATTCGGCTGGATATGGCGGTGGGCGTTGCTATATTCCAGCGTAAACGTTTCTAGGCGAAATTCTCGCGAGATCTTTGAGTACCAGAATATAAATTGCTGTGAACGATGCGAACCAAGTAGAAGACATCCAGAGCTTCTGGTAGGACAGCTCCTCTCCCGACGTGTTCGTCTTGTGCCTGGTTTCCTCACCACGTTTCTTTCGGGCGATCCTTCCTTTTTAAATCTGTTGATTCTCATTGTGCGATCTCGCGTAGAAGGAGTAATCACACGTTCCCGCGATATGTGTACAGAGTTTTGCCCTCATGCAACCTGAACCTCGACCTCGTTCGGTATGTCCGTTGAATAGTTCACACTCTAATTCTTGAGATACTGACGAAGCATGCCTGATCCTCCAGGGACGTTTGATGCCGCAATTGTTAGCCTACTATTTCCTAATGGTATAGCCCCAGTGAATAGCTTAGTATGGTCACCTTTTTGAATTCGTATTCGGTCATAGGATGTTTATGATCGGTCAACAACTACCGAAAACGCAAGTGAGTAACTTTGCGTTCATATTTGGTTTGCTGTTCGGCTTTCCCTCTAAGTCCCCATCACAGCATGTAGGAAGCTGTTTATCGTTCCTTCTTTGCGATCGTAAAACCTTGCTTCCAACCCTCATTTCGGAGTCTTTTCATTACGAGCTTGGGAGAGTCACTCACCTGTACTGGTCACCATTTTTAAGTACGTCTTATTTCCGGAACTGTCTGCGCATTATTCTTCTCGTAATTACCGGGCCATGAGTAGGTTTATTATTGGTATGGCATTTCATCTGTTCACACAGGTCATTGAAAATTCATGTCCAAAGAGCTGCTTATTCACAATATTCTCGAGTGTGCCAAATAGTCGTGGTGTACGGCTTTCTATGCCTCATGAAAAAGGGGAGGATGTTCTCCGAGGAAGGTCAGTCCCCACCATTCCTAGTCGAATTCTGATATTTCTGTGATGAAAACGTTCCCTACAATGAAACGCATACCTGCTCTTGCGCACTCATGGGCGGGATGCATGGGCTGTACGCGTACAACATTTAGGGCAGGATGTCCGGTAACCTGTCTGGAGTAAAACGACTGTTTACACCTTGTTGTCGAGGTGGTGATATGAACGCCGCGTAACCTCCTCTCCTCTGCCCTCGTCCTGTGCGTCTACCAGTGTCCTGATCACAATGCTCTTCCAGGTCGGATTCCTTCCTCAAATGAAGACTAGTCAAAGCCAATACTTTGTCGATTGGTCCACGTTTTAGTACTGGCCAATGCAGAGACTGTAACACTCTCCCGGAGTTCGTGCTCAAAAGTGACTGTCGTTGGCCGCAAATACGGGTGTACTGGTATCGTTGCACCAGTTTATATCTCAAGATCTCTCAAAATTATACTCGCCTTCTACGAGTTAAGACCTTGGTAACAATTTCATCGATCTAGATCGAACATGCGTGACTTGCTACACGACGGGGGACAACGCAAGGGATAGCACATCACTGTGTACAACCTGAGGAACACAGCAATAGTGTGGAGATATATAGATATGTACGTCCCGAGATGTCGAGCTAATTCCCCAGTCTGCCTCATACTTTCACTCACCTTCAGATATCTCATTTGGGTTTGAAATGCTATTGAATCCAACGAACGACACAATCCCTATCGCATGGTACCCAGAGCCATCCTTTCGAGGAACGTATTCGCTTCTTTCCAGCTGGGTCTCGACACTCCTCCTTTGCGTTCTCAGCGCGGTGCACCTCGATGTCCCATCAGTGAATCATTCGAAGCTACACAGATGGGCTACCAAATTTAAGTGGGTGGCGGTCGGGATATTTGCACCGGAGTGGCTCTCCATGATAGCTTGGATTGAGTGGAAAAACGCGCGCGCTATGGTCATAGAGGCGAATAAGCATCTTATTCAAGCTGGAAAAGCCACGGTATGTTTCAGAGCATACTTCCGAAGTATGGACCTCATTTATTTTTGCATTTCATTCTCTGTGTGAATTACTCGGCGAACTATTCTACTCTGAAGGACGCGGAAGTTGGGACAACTGGGACAACTGAGTCCTCGTGCAGCCAAGGTTCAACTGTTACTGGGGACACTGGGGTATGTCTTCGAAATTAGACCTTGTCCGTTATAATTTGAAGTCTGACTAGATCAACCCATCTAAGATGCCGGGCAAAACGATATCTTCAATGGAGAACGCTTTGTCATTTGTCATACCCAAGGTAAGTTATCTTGACTGATGACATCAACAAAACGAGACCCTTACATCCTAATTTTATGAAGATTACACTCCAGTTTCCCCTTATAAGCGTACGCTATCTGCCATTTCGCAGGCATACCATATTCTCAATTTTACATAGCGCCGACACGCACAGCCCACAAAGCCGCAGTCACATACTGCGTGGGACCTGACTCAAGGTTTTTATGCGTCCACCGGCGGCTTCTCCGCAAAATACTCAGACAAAGAGGCAACACTCACCGCGACAGGGGTCCTCTATTTGATAAAAGAAGACGCAGACGCTCTTCGAAAGATCTCCACGATATCCTCGAAGGATATCCGCGACAAGAGCAAGCAGGATAGCATATCAAAGTGCCTTGCACTCGTACAGGTGCTATGGTTCGGAGCACAATGTATCACACGATTGGTGCAGGGTCTTCCGGTCAGTTTACTCGAACTGAATACCGTAGTCCACACCCTCTACGCCTTCATCACCTACGGTTTTTGGTGGAACAAGCCATTCGATGTCGATGTCCCACATACCATCACCATCACAAGTGATGCCGTTTGGAGGAATCCTCGCCCCGATCATAATATTTCCCAACCTCCCCTCACGACTAAAGAAATATCAAAACCTCTCTGTATTCGATTCAGTTGGCGTTATTTGATATACGGCGCCAATCCATTCCAGGTGGACGAGGCACAAACTGTGTCTTCCCGGAACAGCGTAATAGTGCCAAGCTTCTTTGGTGCACTCTACGGTGCTCTTCATCTCGCAGCGTGGAACTCATCATTCCCGACCCCGCTGGAATGTTTCCTATGGCACATATCCACGCTGTGCATTATTCTTTGCGGAGTGGTTGTTTCGATTTCCCAGGTGTTCGTTATTCGTATAGAAAAGGCAAAAACAGGATGTGTAGCGAGCCGAGCGTTACTTTTGGTGCTGAACCTCGTGACGTCCTACAGTATTCTATTTTAATTCACTGCGCGTATGTTCATCGTGGTCGAAAGCTTCAGAAGTCTATTGTTCTTGCCTGCCTCTGCTTACGCTCTTCCAGTATGGTCTAGATATATTCCACACTTCGACTGATTATGAACCATACTCTACCCGCTTCTCTGCACGTTTATCTCGTTGGAAGGATATCTGGACGTGGTATGTAGGAGATGTTAATATTGGTTTGGCGAAGATTTTCCATAGCGAAAAGACAGCGGCCGTGCCGGAGTTCATTGAAAATTTCTCAAAAGGTACTCAACGTTGTGAGAATACTCTTCTTTTCAGAATGATTTCCAAGCCAGTGGACATCTGGGCGGAATAGCCTACATCACATCTCGGATTCGTGCGATATACCAGGACAATCATGTACAGCAATGTGGCATCCTAGCCTTCATCTAACTCGTCTCTACGGAGGACACTACCATCCATATCGCTGGCTTCATCCGCGTAACACAACTAGACCCGCCTCCCGCGACCTACCCATTGCCCATTGACGGAACCTCTCTTATTCAGATATTTCTACCAAACGTGTCATGGGTGCAGATGGGGAGGATATAGTGGACGAAGTGGAGGTGTTGGAGACATTGTTGGAGGTTTCGAAGGCGGAAAGGGAGATGACTGATATGAATTGTATCTGTGCGATACTTATTTGGGTTTTCTTGCTGTATAATCTATGCGCAATTCTTTCTGAGCTGAATTGTATATAGAGTAATCACACATGTGTACGCGAGAATCGTAATAGCCGTTTGAGTCGGACGCGCTACATCATACAAAAATTTTCCTACCTCATGCAGCGAACACGCTCAGCTTATCCCGAGTCAAATTGAATATATGCACGTCCGTCAAACAGCCCCAAATACATTTCTTGCGCCTCCTTACTCCGAGATATACATAGAGAGTATTCACCACGCCGATAATCACTGCCCTTCTCTTCTCAAACTACATACTGTCGACCTGTGTACATCCACAGATGCTCCATGAATCATACATGGACGTCGAGTGTTTACGCAAAGGAGACTTCGTCGTTATTAGGCCTAACCCAGCCCAATTGCTGCCACACTAAAATATAGAACAAAACGAGGATGAGTCAATTCAATTACCGGAGAAACAGACAGAAACAAGTAGGATGGAGTCAAGAAGGCTGAATCGAAGGAGTGGTATCGAGGCCTGGGTAGTGTACACACCGAGCAAGTAGAGCAAGGACCGACGAATTATCAGCCACAAGAGGGACGAACGACTGGAACTCACTTTGCATCTTATCCCAATCCTTCAGCCACTTCCTAATCCTCGGTTTCTCTCCAGCTGCAGCATTGAAGCTGTCGAGCACGAAGTTTCCGCACGCAGTCCACTGTGCCCGCCGTCCAGTAGGCTGGATCCCGTTGTGTGGTGCACCGACATGCGAGCCTGTTGCTGTGTAGCGGAGGGAGACGAAGTTCTCTGTTTGTACCGACGTGCAAAGAACGGCGTAAGTATTGTCTTCAAATGGTTTACAGTGTATCAGGTGAGTAGTATGTGCGTTGAAATGTGAACGATATGCCAGCACGTCGATAACTCGAGAAGGGATATAAACGACATAAAATATCATAACGCACCCTTTGCAATCACATAATCAAACCTCACAATCTCCAGATTATTCAACGCCCGCATTACCTTGGCGTGGCTCTCGGCGTACTCTTCAGCGGTGTGCGCATCGGGGAAGGTGGAACGGGCTTCGAAGGTGTTTCCCGGGGCGCAGAGGTGGGCGACGGAGTCAGAGCCGGCGTTTGCGGGGGAGTAGGCTATCTTCATACGATGTGAGTAGGGTGAGTATATGGTTATGTCAAAGCAGTAAACGATAAGTTGAACAAGAGATGAAGGATGAAGAGTGAGGATTGTGCTTTCAACGAGACTCGAAAAGCAGTGTCACTCACCTCCATGTACTCCAGTACAACTTTCACATTCTCCTCCTCCTGCGTCGTTAAGTTCTCGGGAAACAGTGCTATTTCCTTCTCTACGCCGAACCTGCGCTTTGCCTCGGAGGCCGAGAGCGACGTAGGTGACATCGAGGTGTTGACACGGTGGCGGTCGCTGTGGGTGTGTTTGCGTTTATTGCAGGTGGGACGATGATCACCGCGGATGTGTATCGGAGGTGGTGGTTGAAAGGGGGCGTTTGAGCCAGTAGTAGATATAAGTACCTATTTATGTTGTTAGAGAAATGCCAGTGAGAACCGGAGACGAAGGGAGAGCCGTACTTTTCCTCCACTCACTCCATACGTCATTCAAGATGTACATTTAGATGCCGCCCACTCTGTTGGGACCAACAAGAATTAAAGGGTCTCCCATGCATCCATTTTTGGCTCCTTGGATACTCATACAATAGAAGTCAAACCCACCACGGGTTATAAGAAGTCTCCGAAGTGACGAATGGAGTGGATCCAAAGAACTTGGTTCGCAGACTCGTTTCCTCACGGAGAGCCGTAGCGTGGCGAAGGTTCATATTTGTGTTGAGCTGTGAGCGTCTATGTTCTTGTTCTGGGATCCATGCACTATATAACTCAGAGCAAAGAGAAGAGGTGAAGACGACAAGGAGGTGAAGAATGCGAATGTGGCGAACGTAATTTGTGGCGCAAGCCGGCACCTGCCGTCCAGGCGAGCGGAGTGCGAATCCTTCCGCTCCGCCCTGATCAATTTTCTGTTCGTCGTCCTCCGTCGTCTCTCACTGCATCACCAAGGGTTTCTTCATGCTCGATACATATCCTTTCTTTTCGGTATTGTATGTCTCCCAATGAACATCGTTTACAGCGAACATGTTGAGTGGTCCACGTCTCGCCGTCCTGGCTGTTATCTGCGCTAGTCTGAATCGTTGTCTTGGATTTCTGAGGAAGAGTGTACGGGGATCTTGCGTTGAGGCCTTAGCACGTTGATACTATGCTCTAGTTCATCGTTTTGACTCTAACCTTTGGTCACTTGGCTTTATCCTCCCCTGGGCTCTGACTCCCTAACGCCTTCGCATACTTTTTGAGATCTCAGACGCTCATGACCATCAGTTCGTTCATCGCAGTCGCCGTGTTATCGTCCCAAGACGCCCATCTAGATATCCCAATCTCGCCCGATGGACGGATCCGTGGGACGTGGCATTATTATATCCTAGCGTTTCTATGCTTCAATGCTTGTGCCCGTCTAGGTCTCTTTACAAGGTCCTTTCTGACTGCAGTCTGCTGGAGGAAGTTGTGCGATTTCTAACTGATCGCCAACGCTTGTGCTAGTAGAAACATCGGATGACCCACAGCTCCGGTGAGTCACCTATAATAGTGCGCTAGCGTTTTGCGGTATCGGTGATGACTGAACTCGAACTTAGCATTCTCATCTACTCTTTTGCAAGACCTCGTGGAGGATGCCTAAGTCTGCACAGTATTGCCGGCCCGCATTACCCAGCGTAAACTTCATGATCTTTCACTTTCTCTGCGTGGTTCTCTCTACTCCTCGTGCACCCCCGCCGTGATGTTTCGTCTTTATGCGCAGCTCTGGTCGCAGACGCCCACCACTCCACGAGCCTTTCAAAACTCGACATCCTCCTTCCTCTCCAGGCAGCAAGCGGGCGCATCACACATGCTGGCGCGCGCCATAACCTCTCGGATCCTGACTGCGTGTCTACAACATGAACGCCTTATAAGCTTTCAGGACGTGTCGGATACTTCGCGCAGCTTTGACTGGCGAGTATTAGAGGAATAACATTACTATGTGTGGTGCGCTACGCTCCTGGGCTGCGTTCATCAATGATCTCGTCGTCGCTCGAGATGGTGGCGCGAGGCAGAGCGTCCGTTTCATACGGGTGTTCATGCGACTCAAATTGAGGCTCTCCTCTCTCATCTCCTTACTTCGTCTTCGAAAGCATCACTCACTTATCACACCCATCCGCGTCGAAACACGGCTCCCGTTCTACGATGGGCCCCATATCCCACGTGCATGACACTTCCCAGCCCATCTTCATTCTCACGCTGAACCCGAACAACCCAGCCAACACCACCCTCCTCGACGAATCCGGAAACACAATCTACACGATCCGTACCCTTTTCGACGAGAAAGGCGTTCCTACGACGAGCGTGCATGGTGAGAACGGGAAGCGGGTCGCGGACTGGAGATGGAGAGATACGAGGTTGAGCGCACAGATGTTGAGGTTTGAGGGCGCGGGGATTGGGGTAGGCAAAATCCAGACTATGGACGCGAACGGGAGGGAGACTGTCGGAGGGAAGGGAAGAGTTGCGGCGAGTAGGTGGCTAAGGAAATGCCTTGTTCCTTTCAAGTCGTGAGTGCGACTCGATGTCTTTTTCGCCTCATTCGTCTGATGGCCAGAACACAGGACTGTCGTATTCGAGGACCTCCGAGGCGGTGAATACAAGTGGAAGAACAACGATCCTGGACTACATCTCCAGGTACGCTCCATACTCCTTTTCATCCGTCAACGGTATCGTATCATATATATCTCTCGCTCACCTGTAGTTAGTCTCCACCCTCGACACCAGCTCCCCCATCGCGCGCTTTGTCCCACCTACCATCGACCCCAAGAACACGCCCGTCGCGCTGGCCAAACTCCTGTTGACTGACGATGCGGAGGACATAATGGATGAAGTGGTCGTGTCGTGGGCGTTGTTGGAGATCTCGAAGAGGGAGAAGGAGGTCGCAGATGGGAATCGTATCAGCGCGGGGGCGCTAGTTTTAGTCTAAATAACGGTGGCTTGTAATGCGATATCGTATTTTACGCTAATAATGTATCTGACACTGAGTTACGTCGTGACAGCTCAGCTTCGAGGCAGAAAAAAAGTCTGACAGAGAGGAAAGAACGGAATCCGTTCGATATTTATGATGCACAATAAGACGAGACGAGTGCCGTGCCTCGCTTTCATATCATTCGCCATGCACTTTCAGACGTCGTGTAAGTACTCATTGAGAGAAATAAGAAAGACTATAGTGGCCACCTCAAGATCCCAAATCTGGGAGGAGAGAAATGTGTAAAGATCGCGTTCCTGCAGCACAACATGTCGACAGCAATATGCTCCTTCTCTCTTCTTCGTTGGGAGATCTAGCGTGTCACATATGAGGTGAAATACTGAGCTCTGAGAGAGAGGTGATGCAGAAGCCGCTGGATCGCCTATGTAGTACACAGCGGGAAACCCTCGAAGGACGTCAGAGTTGGCGATTCTAGTCCAGAGGTAGGAACCCGCAACGAGGCTGGATGCACATCACCTCCATAGACGCGGAGCTGGCGTCAATTCGATCACTCCTCAACCGCGCATGAAAAGCACGAAGATCAGAGCAGGCGCACAGGCGGTGTGGGCCACTCGATCTGAACAGAGCCAAAAATAAAGTGAAGGTCCAGCACGTCGGAAAGGCCAATGCGCACCCCTGCTGAGTAGCAGTGTAGCGGTGGGAGACAAGGGAATCTGTCGATCAGTGTACACGAAGAGCATAAATAGCGAATGGACTTTGAAGCAGAAGTAGAGAAGAGGCGAGAGGGAGGCGTGGATCCATGCGTGTGTGATGAAGTAGGCATTAGAAAGGTCGTGGAGGAGGATTTGAGCGATCAAAAGAACAGAAAGAAAAACGCACCTTTCGCACTCGCAAAAGCTATGTTCAGATCAACAAAGCCCTGATCCCATTCGCGTGAATCGGAGCGTACTCCTCGCCGCCGTGCGCGTCCGATAAGATTGAGCGGGCTCCGTAAGTAGCCGTAAGTGTTACCAAGAAGCAGAGACGGGCGACGAGGAGAACCCAGTGTTCGTAGAGGAAGAGATTGAGGGATAAGAACGACAGAGAGATGTTGGAGATATCGAATCGTGGATGTGGTGGCTGGAGGTAGGTCAGTACATGTCTTTATAAACGTACGTCACCCCGAACCTTCTCTACGTCATCACGCAAGACCAGTCTGATTGCATAGTTCTCACTTTGGATGAGAAAAAAAAAAGGAGGCAGGCCTTCCGCATCCGTACAGTGCACACGTCGAGACAAGAAGTCGCTGTCAATATCAGTTGGTTCGCAGATTCGCCCTTCACGTGGAGCCATAGTGCGTCCTTTGCAATGTTTCCAGAACTTAAGTAGAGGCAGTAGGCCTTGAACGTTCCAAGGACCATGAAACGTCTGAACCGGACGTCCTAACCACACGATCTCGTAGTTCAAGTAGAGCAGTAAGTCAATTATAGAAACAGCATGTCCTTCGACACGACATGCTTGGTGTACACATAACAAGACCAAGCGAACATCCAGCACAAGCCCACAATCTGCACAAGTACGGATATTAGCACACTTCTTCACGAAGTGCGCGGTCTTTACTCACCAAAAAGAAAATTAGAATAAAAACATAATTATCTCTCCCTCCCGATCATGCCACCTCCTTAACAGCGCCCGGAACCGTAGTCCACACCGCGACCGCGAATCCAGCAAGCGACAGAGCGCCCCTTACATAGTTCAACTTCGCCCATTTGACGACTTGTTGGACTTGGTCGTCGACGGAGAGGGATGTGGCCTCGCCTGTTGCGCCGGGGCCTGAGGATTTGACGCCTGAGCCCAAGTGCGTTAGAAATCCAGTACGTTTCAAGTTATGAGATGATGGAACGAGGTCGAGGTGGCTGGGCGAAGACAGGGATGGAAAGGGGAGAAGAACGTACCGGTCGCAGTGTTCGAAGACGATGTATCGGGATCGCCGGCGGCAGCACGGAGCAGACGGTTGTTCGTGGGCGCCATTGCGAGTAATGTGAAGGGGATGATGGAGAGGGTGAGGACGCCGGAGCCGATGTAGGCCACCCAGAGACCGTCGAGTTGCGGGTGTTCATACCTGATCAAATCGAAGCGATACAGTCAGCATTTTCACTTAGGATTGAAGCCAAGAAGGTGAACGAGTGGGATGTGTAATAGGGGCTCGAAAGTTCCACCAAAAGAGTGAAGAGAAGGGAAGTTGAACGTACCAATGCGCATAAGCAGCATAGAACAACGAAAGCGCACTGGTAGCCGCAAGCGGCGGCGCGACCATCTTCCCCGTATTATACAATCTGGCCCATTGACGAGCGAGCAGGTTCTCGTTCGCGGGGATGAGGGTGGACGCGGCGGACGCGGCTGGGAAGAGGGGTGGGACGGCGAGCATGGAGGCCGAGAGGGTTATGCCTGTCCGAGTTTCATACAGAAATGATGAGTAAAGAGACAGGAATGAGAGGGAAAGGGTGCGTACCGGCGACGAGACCAGAGGAGAGGATGCCTGTGGTTACGGCGATTTGAGCGCCTTGGCCGACGTAGCCGTACAACGCGTGTGGTGGCGGGATGAAAGGCATTTTATTTCGCGTAGGGTGGATGGGAAAAAGGTAGAATTATTGTGGTGGTGGTGAGGACGAGAGAAGACGCGACTTTGTAGTCGGAGGGCGCGCGGCAGCGGGGTACGCGTTATGACGGCGATGAGGTCATCAAGCCATTTTGGCTCCTCCATCATCACGTTTCTGCGATTCGTCTAGCCTGGTTCTTGTCTTGGTCGATGCATCCAGGTTTGTCCGGACTCGCGCGTTGGGACCTTTTGTGGTGGGCACGAAACGGACACTTGGAGTGTAGTGGGGGAAGGAATGAGACGGATATCCGGATATCGAAACAATTTCGAGTCTCCTGCGGAACCACGGGGTGTACGCGGTCGGTACGCGCACAGAGTATACAGATCCGAATGTGTAAAAAAAGCTTAGTAGGAGCTCTTCAGATGCTAAGATCTCATGCTCGTTGTGGTTGTCGTCGCGAAAAGCAGGCGACTCGGAGTTCAAGGAAGGAAGGAAGCTCACCGGAAGTCCGAGCCACGTGTCTGTTGTTCCGTCGATGGATCCGGGACCCGCCGGAACCTTTCCCTGCCTGCGCCACCTCCTGCTCCTGACGTTCTCATTTCCCCTCGACTCACTCCAGCCCAGTACGACGACGACGACGACGTTGACGACCCTTTAGTGCACGACCCGTCTTTCTAACTCTTTGCTCAACATGTCAGACAGCAATTCCTGGAGCGACGGTATCCTTCTCAAGGGATGTTCTCAACTGCTCGAGAGCCCCTGTTCCTCGTCGTTGTCGTTCGTCGTTGGAGATGGGCTCCCTGACGTCCTTGTTGCTCGACATTTAGCTTGTCAACATCATCACCTATCTTTTTTTCCTTGGCTCGAACGTATACACCGTCGCAGCTCCCAATGATATCGACGTCACTAGCAAGGAGAGTTACACACATCACCCCAGCGCCCTGGGCGTTCTTCATCTTCTCTCTTTGCGTCGTCTTCCGTCACCATGCGTACATTTCCATCTGATCATACGCGTCATTTTTCTGAAGGTCATTGATCCACTTGCTCTTCCTCGGCACCATCGTCTACCAGTTCTTCCCCGAAAGCAAACGCGTCATCATTGACGGTATTTCCTGGCGTCTTCCTCTCCTCGGTGTTCTCAACGCGATATACGTTAACTTGTGGGCTAGGCTCCGAATACACGGCCTTCATCTTCGTGCTCTTGGTTAGCTCCGCCGTCACCCACATCTACTACGTCGTCAAGAAGCATCACTCGCCCAGCTCCATCCCCGACGAGCTCTTTGTCCACCTGCCTGTCTCGTTTTACCACAGCTGGACCACCGTGCTTGTCGTCTTGACTGCATTCGAGGCCTTCTGCGTCTCTTCGTTCGACCACAAGGCCGGCATTTGGACTAAGGTACGTTTTATTCCCTGACAGTACCCATATTTTTCCCCCCGCATTCTCACACGTTTTTTTCGTCATACACAGGTCTTCGTCTTCGTCTCCCTCTTCTCCCTCAAAGTCACCGCTGCAGCCTACGCCTTCTCTTCTCTCGAAGGCGATCTGTCGGCCTCCATCGCCATCTGGGACGGCGGAGGAAAATAGCGCGAAATACTTGACTTTGTTTGGTGCGGAGAATTTATCATAGACACTTTTCATCTTCAAGTTGGTGTGACCCTTGCCGCGATGCTCATCATTCTTTTCTTCCTCGCACTATACTTTGCTTCTTCCATGAAGTGTAGTTCTCAATCGTTTCCTTCTCCCTCCACGCATCGCACCTAGAATGAGACGGGTGTCGAAACGATTCTCCGGAGGGACCACAGGGTGTACGCGGCGAGTACGCGGACTCAGAGTATACAAAGCCGAATGCGTAAATAGGCTTAGTAGGAGCTCTTCAGACGCCAAGGTCTCATGATTCGAGGAAGGGCTACCCAGCTCGTCGTGGTTGTGGAAAAGCAGGCAACAGGTCAGTCAAGACGCTCAGCGGAGTCGCCGGAAGTCCGAGCTGCCACGTGGTTGTCGTTCCGTCGATGGATCCGGAAACTACCGGATCCCTTCCCTCCCCACCACAAAATAATTCAACCTTCTCCTCATCCACCGGACGCGAAATAAATGACTTTCATCCCACCACCACACGCGTTGTACGGCTACGTCGGCCAGGGCGCTCAAATCGCCGTAACCACAGGCAATCTCTCCTCCGGTCTCGTCGCCGGTACGCACACTTTTCCCTCTCATTCCTGTCTCTTTACTCATCATTTCTGTATGAAACTCGGACAGGAATAACCCTCTCGGCCTCCATGCTCGCCGTCCCACCTCTCTTCCTAGCCGCGTCCGCCGCATCTACCCTCATCCCTGCGACCGAGAACCTGCTCGCTCGTCAATGGGCTAGATTATGTAACACGGGGAAGATAGTCGCACCGCCGCTTGCGGCTACAAGCGTACTTTCGTTGTTCTATGCTGCGTATGCGTATTGGTACGTCCAACCTTCCTCCTCTTCACTCTCTTGGTGGACCATTCGATCCCCTATTCCACATCCCATTCACTCACCTTCATCTTACTCAAGATCCTAAGTTGGAATGCTAACTGTTTTCTTTTGATATCATCAGGTACGAACACCCGCAACTCGACGGTCTCTAGTTAGCCTACATCGGCTCTAGTGTCCTCACCCTCTCCATCATCCCCTTCACATTACTTGCAATGGCGCCCACGAACAACCGCCTCCTCCGTGCTGCCGCCGGCGATCCAGATACCTCGTCTTCGAACACTGCGACTGGTACGTTCTCCCTCCCTTTCCTCGTCTGCCCATCCGGACCTTGTTCCATCATCTTGTAACTGAAAATTTACTTGCACGCAGGCGTCAAATCCTCAGGTCCCGGCGCGACAGGCGACGCCACGTCGCTTTCCGTCGACGATCAAGTCCAACAAGTCGTCAAGTGGGCGAAGCTGAACTACGACAGGGGTCCACTCTCGCTCGCTGGTTTCGCGATCACGGTATGGACTACGGTTCCTGGTGCTGTCAAGGAGGTCGTCAGGAGGGGTCGTATAATCGGGATGGGAGTGAAGAGTGAATTCTTTGTTTATTCTATTGGTGAGTAGGGCGTGAGAGTGTGTGTTGTGCCGAAGTATGCTGATAGTCGTGTTTCTTTACCATGAGGGCTTATGTGCTCGATGTTAGCTTTTTCTTGTTATTTGTACACCGAGCATGTCGAATGACCTGCTCTTTCTATAATTGACTGATCCATCCTTGGTGTCTGATGCGCCTCTCTAGTCTTTGCTCGAGCTTGGAACGTCTGGGGCGTTCTTCCTCTAACTGATAGATATCCCACACGACACGCTACGGCGCGACATGTCGGAGTAAGTCTGCGAGCCAATTGCTGATCACGGCGGCTCCTTCTCTGCAGACGTGCGCTGCACGAATGCAAGTATACTGCTTCTTTGGACCTTTCTAGTCCAAATTGTGATCTAAGCAATCAGACTGGTTTTGCGTGCACGACGTCTGAGTTTGCACGATGAATGACGTGTATCATTCGTAAAAGCATGTATCGACCTACTGACCCGTGCCTCACAGCTTTGGCCATTATGTGTTCCTTTCAACCACCCCGTCCGTGATTCGATCTCATCGTTGTCTCTGTCTTCCATGCTTTGTACTCCAACTGATAACCTCTCTCTCCACAAACGTCGTCTCCTCCGTCACCCACCTCGGTGCATTAGGCAACAACTACGAAGCCCGCTATTCCTTATCTTCCACAAGAGTCGCCTCCCAAGTTGAATTCGTCGGAGTCTATGTAAACGCGAAAGCCCTGAACAATCACTAGCTGGAAGCCGTAGTCCTAGTCTCATTTCTTGGGTCTAGCAGGGGATGTCACCGGATCTTTCTCTGCGAGAATATAACAGTCAATACTCGAACAGAGATCAGCATGGTGAGATGATTACCTGTTTTCGTTCGCTTCGTTTGGGGAGCGCCTGTTTCATTGCGATGCCCATCGTTCCCGGACGTCTTCGCACCCTTTTGCACGACAGAAACGCAAAGTGAGTCCCAGGGGGAGTTTTCTCGTGGGTAAATCTGATCATGATTTCCGGTGCGTTTGTAACCCTCGAATGGTGATGTTTGTGCGATGTCGGAAAAGTCGACCCATTCGGTTGAAACAAAGAGCTTCAAAACTCCAACAGCAACGTCGTGATCATCCCGTAAGCTAAAAGCGCGCGGTCTCCAACCACTAGACCCGTACCCGATCGTGAGTCTTCCCTCTTTAGGAATGGAAATGTCGGCTGCGCCATTCTTTGCAGTCCCTGGCTCGTAGTAGGACGCTACAAAAAATGGATACAAATCGAGATTTTCGTTAAAGAACATCGGACAAGCAATTCGACTTAAGACAGACTTACTGATACTCAGGTCACCCAAATCGAAGTAAAATAACGCCACATAGAGACTTTCCCTGGTGTTGTTGACGATCTCGAATCCCAAGGGGCCGATTTCATCTCTGTCCAGATGCAATTGACCGCCTTTGATGAGGTCCTTAGCTCCGTCCTTCTTCTCCATGGTATATCTACCTTCGTCGTACTCCTTTAATTCATAACAGTGTAAACGAACGTTCTTTGTCGATCCTCCAAAAAGGTTGTGATCGTCCGGGGTGAGATTGAGGTACGAGTAGAAATCGGCAGCGCCATCTAGTACAGTGCGAAGGGGGCTACGAGATGCTAGGGGCTTGCGCTCTTCGTATTGGACAGTATGGGAGGAAATCTCTTTCGTGAATTCGCTGTGATGGGGTTTGACCTCGACCTCCTTCTTTTTCCCAAGTTTCAATGAAAGGTTGCATTTATCAGCGGGGGAACTGATGATGGCGATCGGGATATTGTTGCGTTTTCCAAGGGTATTGATTTTTTTCAGAATATAGGAAAGTTCCTTCGGGATGAATAGTTTGAAGGCCCTGTTTGTGCAAGTACTGAAGGCATAGGCCTCGGAGGGAAAGTTGTTCTTGTTACCAGATACGCCTTGAAGGAGCAGAAAGGTGGTATAATTGTTGAGAGTCTGGACGATGAACTTGCCCAGAGCTGGAGAGCTCCGGTCTTTCGTTCCATGGATGTCGAATGTTGACTGTTTGGTAATTCCAGAAGCTTTCCCGGCATTAAGTTTATAAACCGTGTCCTGGCCATTTCTATTCAAAGAGGGTGCGACGTAAGAATGAACGAAGCAAAAAGGAAGGCAACATGGATTGGTGGACACCGAGAGCGATATGTCCATGAACGAGGAAACCATTACACTCACCCACTCTTGCCCTTATTAGTGGCCTTGTAAAAATAATGTTTGTGACGACTGGTTTTCATGGAAAATATACGTCTGTTCTGATTTATGCCAATACACTGTGGGTTCTGGCTACATTGTATAAAATAAGAATCAGGTATATTTTTCTTGATAATGAGAGAACTCGGAGACTTACTTGTTCAGAAGAACCGAGTCGAGACTCTCAATCAATTCCCTGTACGTGAGCATGCTCGCCTGGCTGGACCTGAGAATCTTTATCAAGGCATTCGTGTAGGCACCTCCCTCTGGCTTTTCGAGACCAACTTCCTCCATACCGCAACCAGCGAGCAGGACGTGGGAGGATACACCCAAATGTTCAAAAATTGACTCCAGTTCGTCATCGAGTGTTCGCTTCGAGCTACGCCTCTGGGCCACCGCGGATGGATTTCGTTTATGACCGACCTCAGCAGCGCCCTGTATTGCATGTCCGGAGTAACAACAATCCAATATAACTGTCTTTTAGTACAAAACGGGTTAGTAATACAGGTGCGCGGACACGAGTTAAGGATACTCACAATGTTGTTTCCCTTCTGGGAAGAGATATCGGCGAGAAAATTGGACAGGGCAGCGTCCGAGATCCCATTACTACTAGGCGCGCTACGCGTCTGTTGAACGAAGTCGTATGGGCAAAGCATGCGAGTAGTTGACATAGCTTTATCTTCGCTCGTCAAGTTGACCTTCACTCCATGTCCAGCAAAGTATATGAGGATGGGGTCTTCCCTCCCGATGTTCTTGTCGTTGATAATAGCTCTGAGAGCATCGCTGATTCCGGACGCTGTCGCTTTCTCGTTCTGTAGTATTTTGGACACCCTTGACATGGCCAAAAAATCCTTCATGGAGGATATATCGGTATCGACACCGGGTAAATTTCGCAGGCTCCCTGTGTTTGGATACTTAGATATCCCGATGATGAGAGCAAACATGCGGGTCAAATCCCTAAGAAGGATTAAAACAATTGAGCCTTCATAATCGACAGAAATATGAATCTCACAAGGGAGTGGTGGATGATCTTTGCCTATGTATGAGACAGAGCGTGAGAGCGCCACGGAGATGCAAGTGGAAAAGAAAATAACGCACTGAGGCGTGGATTGAGTATCCACATCTTTGCTGGTTGTCTTGCTCGTCATGTTGGATTCTACAGCTGTAATGATGAGAAACGATATATCAAGACTGTGGAACACAAACAGACCTCTTCGACTGGAAAGATGATAAAAGTACGACTTGTTAAGATTTATGATCGCATATCTACTGAATATATACTTTTGTTGAGGAAGGATCCGATATTTGACAGGTACCGTTGTTCAACTGCGTGAAGCTGTTATCGCAATTTGAAAACATTGTCCTATCACCGTATGGGACTTCGTTTGAAGATTGAAAGGATAACTAATCTATTGATCTGTACGGCGCAATCCGCTAGACCCTGAGTATATTGAATGGAGCAGTTCATCGTCGTATGATACAAACGGGAGTTTGGAGGCTGGAGACTAGACCTGATGCATGTGATCTTCGAATCTTGCTCACTCATCCGCATATCGCTGACCAACTAACAAAAAGTTTCTCCAAAAGAAATGTATCCGCACGTCACCGAGAATGGACATTATAGCCGCAGGAGAAGAATGACAGATCTCTCTCATGTATTCGGATTTAACAAATCAGAGCTAGAGCTAGTACTATTTTTACAGAGCGCATGTAGGACGGGTAGTCCACGTCTTACCGGGCGAAGGAGTCCTCACTCGGTCCATGTTCCTGAAGCAAATTCAACGGCGTAACGGGTAGTCTGCTATGAAATAACGGAGTCGAACCGTCCCGTATGGAACTTAGAAGCTGTCTGAGCTATATTCATAGTTGGGCTTAGTCTTTAAATGTGTGCCTCCAGGTTCGATATCACGTCCGATATAGTGTGGTGTCAGGAAGATATTTTCATTACAAAGTATGAGCTCTTCCCGCTTTGTAGGTTTGTGTATAAAGGATCACCATGCTCAGCTATTTTGCATTGTTTTGCCGGTGACTTTGTCATCAACAGTTTGATAACACCCCCGTTTTGGATAATAAAAGCGACTTCAAGCTCTTCCACAAGTACAAGGTAATTTCCCGCGTCACGTCAGGTCATAACATTTGATGGATCCAAAAACATCCTAGAACAGTCGAGGACCGTTCCATTCATATGGTAAGAGCCCTGCAACAACCAAGGCGTATTCATTCTCCGCTGCACCATGCGGAGTTTCATTTTTAGCAATAATAGTCCGCACCATTGGTGTCCTTTACATCGATTATGCGGATGGCGTTCAATTGAACATACTGTGGGAGTGCGAATGCAATATGAACTGAGCAACTCGGACGCGAGCATACACCATAAATACACTCAATAACAGATAAAATAAATGTGAGAGTGGACCTGTGTTTACCAATATTGTATTGGCCCAGCTTCATGATTCGGCTCGACTTGCAACTGCAAAGGCATTATACATCATTCTGAGCATTCGGCAATACTCAGGCGGCGGTCGTTCCTAAAGGAGTAGCAATGGGGTTGCGAGCCTCGTTGTTTTCATATGCAGCGTCTAAAGGGGCGGGAGAGGCTAATGGTGGCAATCCCGTCCTGTCAGACGCCACAAAGGAATGGGCATAGAGGCATTCGACCGACAACTATTCCTAATCAGATGGTGTATGCTCTCGATATAGAATACCACATTCGGCGGATGAACGCACATGAGGAGATGTGGCATGATGTCCTACGATCGCTGTGACCGCTTTGGCTGCACAGGGCCATAGCTCAGTATCTCTGAGTCAGGACATGCCATCCAGATCAATGTGTCAGACGTAGAGGTTGCTCCCGCGTCGGACAGTTGAAAAGTTTGCCTTGGAAGTGCACGTATTACTGTGTAAGCTGCTTCAGACCTGAATGACGATCTAGATACTCTCTGACGTTTACATGCTACTTTCCGCTCTTTGCTATGCACTCGATGACATGTACCGATAACGATGAAGTTGAACTCTATTTATCTTAGAGCGCAACTGATGATCTTCACAGTCGCTATAGCGTGAAATTATTACTCGGTAACTGTTGAGTACTGAGTGAAACAGCTCCCTCATCGTCAATTGACATGTCCAATATCTCTATTCCGGAAAGGGTCGGTCGACCAGAGGAGCGAACCATAAATGTCCATGTCCACTCGCAAGAGGATACATACAGTAATGCATAACAAAGCTAGGCCCTCTTTGGATATCCTGTGTGAAACATTCACTCTGCAACGACTCTCTTCCGTACTACAGTATGCAGAGTGCTCCGGAAAATGTCACTTGTGTCTGGGCATCCGGGACTATGATCTTCCGTGGACAACCATACGATATCTGTCATTGATCACCCATACCTGGCATGGGGAGGTTCCGAGAGCCTCGTTTCCTGACGTGATGCAGTACCAGCCCAGCGGGACGGGATATCAAGGCTGTTCTACCTGGCCAAGCGCCACATAACAGGGGGTGTAGAACTGACTTACACACGCGTTTATAGCAAGAAGGCCCACGGTCCGCTATCTCAGGTATCTTTGGCCGGTGCTAGCATGCAGAAAAAACAGCCGTACAATGCCCGACAGACCTATATGGTGTGAGGCCACAGACGCAGTTGAATTCAATACTACATTGTACGCGCCATGATTCATGAAAGACAGCATAGCCAATCGGTCGAATAGCTCATACGCGGACAAGAAAGACCAAGCATGTCTATGAACGGTCGGAGACACCTATCCACAAAAAGCTGAACGTGGATGGGGATCGCGCCCCTACCTCCAGCTAGACACAGGCCGAATCGTCGTACGACGTTTGACTGTCAATCATATAGAAGGCGGTATAGCGCATATAGTAAGCACTGAAAAAAGAAGCAACGTGTAGTATTCATGAGCTCCCAGAAATGACCTGTCCGTTCGAGCAGGTGACTCCCGAGTCAGTAGAATTGTTAGTGAGAATCCCTCCCGCGCCGTATGTGTCTGCATCCGATACGAACTTGTATGCCACATTTCCCTGCACGTTCAAGTGGCTATTTGCATAGACTGTGGCGCCACATTCTGACGGTGCGCTGCATGTGTGAAAGTGACGGAGAAAGTCGAGTGTGGTTAGTTGGAGGGAAACGAAAAGGGAAAACAAAGTGGACAAGAGCGTACGTGACGTTGACGTTGTCGAGGTGGATGTCTGTGCATTTGCCCACGGAGCAGGAAAGTGCGACTCCAGTGCCGCCATACTTTCCGGATGCTGTGCCGTGTTGATTCGTAAAGCTAACCGGAGACGTCGCATCCGGATATCAAGATCAGTGCCTTGAAACTTGGAAGTGGAATGGAAGGACTCACTAAACGTGAGAGACCGTCATATTACTGGGATTGGCGAGACACTCGTCTGAGTCAGTCTTGTAACAGTTATCTACGAAAAAATGATTATCAGGGCTAAGTCATGCTACAGAGTGATGATTTGAAACGGTGCAGCACATACCGATAGTAATTGGGCTATCATTATTCTCGTGCTGGAAGTTAGAGAACACGATCTGATCTACATAACCGTAACCGCGGCCGGCACCACCCCACGTCTTGACGCGAGGACCGTTCTCCGAGTTCTGGATGGTAACGTTGTTAACATACACATTCCTCACAATATCTATGAACAGGACAATGTTCATTCGCAGCTACGAAGGCGGATGTACAGAGTAACGTACCTTTTTGACCATCAGTTTCTCCAAGGCTCCCGACGCTGACACCGTGGCTTCCGTTACACCAGATATCGCTAATGAATATGTTGGTAGCATTCGGCTGTAGTAGAATGAGAGATAGACGGCGTTAGAGTGATAAGAATGAGGCGTAATGCGAGTCTATGCATACCTTGAAAGACATACAGTCGTCGCCGTTGGATATCCGCAGACTGTGTAGGGTGACGTATGAACTATCGTAGATGTCAACTCCGTCAGTCTCGCGGTTACTCTCACGGCCCAGAGCCCAGGTATCGGAGCGAGAGCGTATGTTCAGATCCTGTAGAGAGACAGCGGAATCATTGTTAGTTCTTGACACGCAGATAAAGCTCACTTAGAAGGAAGATGAACATACATGAATTAGTACGTTCTTAGACGAGTGAACAAGGATGGTCCATCGTGGTGACTGGCGGATGTTGAGGTTGCGAATGACGAGATTGTCGCCCTGAGAAACAACGTGACTGATCAGGAGTGGTCAGCACAGATAGTTCACGCGGAATAAACGGACCTTGTAAGCAAGCATGAGATGGGGAGGACGAAGACTATCGTTCGCGATTCGCGCATCGTAAAATGTCTGAGAATTCAAGCACGTAAGTCAGCCATTGATGGTCCACGCAGAAGCGACTCCACATACCTGCCCGTTGCCGTCGATGGTACCAGTGCCCTCTCCATCCAATATGACGTCCTTGCCTCCAAACAACCATGCCGCAGAGTTTTCTTGGTAGGTGACATTGAAGGCGTTGTCTCTCCAGTAGTCCACCTAGATGTTCGTAACATGTCAGAACAATATCTTGGACGACCCAAACGAAAGGTACATACGTCCGGATTCAGAGTCAGATTCCCCAGAAAACGCACGTGTACCTTACTCAACCCGGTCGTGTTCAACTTGGTTCCGATGAGTAGGTTCTCGGTCTCGGGAATGAGTACCTCGACACATCCCTAGAAGTAGTGTCGAGTGAGCCTACATAGGTAGAAAGCTTCAACAAGTATATGTATGACGCACCCTAAAAGCCTGCTCGATAGCAGGCGAGTCGTCGCCACCACTCGCCGTCAGTGTGCAGTTCGTTTGCACCTGACAAGAAGCGAAAGAAGCGAAAAGCATGATAAACAGAAAACTACGTGCAGGAACCATGTTGAAGAGCCGTGAGTGAAAGTGCTCAGTATAATGTCCGTCAATCTTTCATCATTATATACATACGGACAAAGCGAAGGCACCACTGGTGCACGAAAGGAAGGTCATAGCCTGTCTCAGAATCACTAAAGAAAACACGGCTTGTGACTGTGGGACATGACCCCAAGAGAACAATACTGAAATCATTGGACAGCGCGAGGGCGGTCACCCGATCGCACGAAAGTGCGCGGGCCGGCGGCCTGCAGTCATATTGGTTCTCTGTCGTGATATTAGCCGGCGGACCGCACAAAGCTGACAGGCCCGACAGATCGACACACACTCCTGACCCCCATGAATTTAACCCCGATTTGGCGTCTAGTAAAATGGCGGGGATAAATATGATATTTAGCAGCCAATTTAGCATTCCTTCTCGCGCTCGTTAAATTCTAAACATATCCGCTTGCTCTAGGACGAATAAATGTATGATTTACACCACTCTACCTGGCCATGTAAATTTGTTCATTTGCACTGGTCAAATGGAAGGGAAATAGGTGATTTATTACTGAAGCATTTATCTTCGGGATGAACTGCAGAATATTTGACATTTATCCTCGCTCAAAATGCCCGGTAAAGTATCATATTACCAACATTTTACGTACATGAAAATAAGGAAGAATACGACATTTATGGAGACCCAAAATTGTCTATTTAAACAGACCGAAAAGATTCAGGTAAACAAGACATTTATACTGAATAATCGAAGCCCATTTTTCCATCCAGGAAATCCGTGAGTGTAAATGTCCAACGCTGGTGCTTGGCGGCCCGTCCAGCAACTGGCGTGTCAGTGTGGCCCGGTGCAAAGCAAGTGAGAGCAAACATATAAAACGAGCAGCACAGACTGCATACAAAAAAATTGTATCCCTGTCTACTGGAGTGCTGCTGCAATTCTATTCTGATGGAGGTTTCGTAAAGTAATAAAGGTGGGAGGTAACCTCGCCTCCCACAGTTTTCCGTAAATGTCCGCCCTCGCCCGATTACTCCTCTCCATCGCCAGCATCTTCGGGGCAGATACTTAGGTATGTACAGGTTTTTGTATTGTGCTCGACGACAATGTGGCGGCAACAGGCGGAGAAAAAAAGTGTGTGGATCCTTCAACGGTCACAACACCGCTCGCCGACGACCTCACGAACCTCGGCATTTCCTCAATCACCGACTAGACGGGCGTGAAGTCGACCTCATTCGGCGTCCCACCGCTTTCTCCTCCATGATCTCCACCGTCTCTACCATACTCGCGCTCCAAGTCTCCTCCGGCTTCAAGTGACTCACCACCGGTACCGCCTCCACTTTACTCAACCTCTCCTTCGTTGTCCTCCTCTTTCACTTTAGGCCACCCTCCATACGTTTCACACTCTGCGCTGAAACACCTGCTCTCCCTTCCTCTCCATCCCACAGCCGCCTCCTGTATCCTCTCTACCAGCGGATACAGCCTCCTCCTCCTCAGCATCATGCCTCTCTCACCCACGCCTCCCTCACCACCGACGCGCTCCTCACGTACACGATGCGCGCCGATAGCCCTCCGATGTGTATTCGTGCGTTTTGAGCGCTATGGTGTCGATGTAGGGTCGTGCTGAGTGGTGGTGGTGCGACAGGGCGATACTCACCGGGCCATATACTTTCGAATTGAAAAGACCGGTATGGGACGCGACGATTGGCGTCGCACGATGCACGGACCTCGGGACGACGTATCTCATACAGCGGCACAATCGTGCTTTCTTACTACGACACGACCCTAACTTTCTCAATCGCCGGACAGCCTCTGGCCACTGGTGTCATCCTCTCCAAGATCATAACCGCCACAACCAGGGCCTTTTTCGACATCGGTCTTGTCTGTTCAATTTTCGGCACGACGAACAGGTGGGTGATTAGGGTGTGGTAGGTGCTATTGAGCGGGGAGGACGTACAATTCAAGCACGAGCCTGTGGTAGATGGAGAGACCGCGGCAGCCGGGGGACTGGAGGGAGTTGCCGGAGGGGCAGACGGGGGGGAGGTAGATTGTGAAGAAGAGGAGGTAACGGAAGAATGGGTCGAGGTAGGAGCTTGAGTAGCGTGTTTGTTTGCATTTCTGTGGGAGCGAGAGGATCAGTGAGCTGCGTAAGTACAAGCGGACAAAAGGAAGAAGTGAGGGATCGGGACTAAGTAAAGTGAAGGTCTGTCCATGCGTGGCACAGAAGACGAATATCTGAGCAAACAGCCTGATGTCGTGGCTGTGATCACACCGGCTCGAGCACTGTAGTGACAAGCAACCTATACAAAGTAAGATGGAGTAAAAGAGGGCCGACATACCTTGCCTGTTTCTGAGGCTTGCCCATTTGCTTCCCCCTTTCTAAGTGAATCGTCCTGCAGCAAAAAAAAAGATGTCAGTCAACAAGTTCAGTCACACAAACCCCCACGAAACGCGCTCAAATGTGGGTGCCCAAAGAAGGCAGTCACAGTCATTTCGGAGAGCGTACGGGGGTATATCCGGTTACGAAGTGCCACACAAAATGTTGGCTTTCTCGCATGCGAGCAAGCAATGTGTCTCCGTACATAATTCCTCTCCAAAGAGAGCGCAAAGATACGCCAGCCTGCTATCAGGAGCTCCACCACTACGTCCATCGCAGCTACGAGACTAAGCCCGTTATACGCAGTACCGCTCGTGTGCGAAAGGCGTACGACTCCTTCGCTAGCGACTCTCCCATCCATTCGGTGGCAAGCAACCCACGCCTCCCTTTGCTAGCAGCTCACGCATCACGCAAATTACACGCGGTAAAAACAGAGCCTGCAGTGAGCTCTAAGATTGGAGTTCACGGGGTGGGAATAGTCATATAGCTCCATGAAGACCAACGCACGACCATCAGAGGCGCGTCGCGCATTGCTCTTCAACCAATCCCAGCCCAAGCTCGACAACGACGAGCCTCACTACATGCACACCCCGTCATCTCGCCACGCAATCGAGGAAGACGGACAATAACAGAAAGAAACACTGCCTGAAAAGTATGAAAAATGACATACCCCATCGTCACTTTCCTGTTCACATTTTCAGCAGCAGCCTACTTCGACCCCTGTACTTTCGTAGATTTCGAGCTAATCTTCGGAAGTGCCAATGCCGAGTTCGCCCTCAGCGCCGATGCGGACGCGACGGCGGGTGCACGTCGCGTGACGACCATCGTTTGAATAGTCAGGTTTTTGCCCTTGAGGTCACGGTAGGAGACTCAAGATGTTGACTGAAAGTCGTAGACGGGAGTGGGGATGATCGAATAAGGTGGCGAGGCGTGACGGTGATGGCTGCAAGCATGATCAGTGTTAGCCCCTACAAAGTAGGTAGGGCAAAGGCAAAGAGAAGAGTCGTGGATGGAAGGTGGAGAAGGTGAGCGTCTTCTTCGACGGCGAGACGTGTCCACGCAAGTGTGCCATAAGCGTAAACCAAATTGCCCTCTCCACTTCACGTATCTCTATTGCAAAGCAAAGTGCATAAGTGTAGAAATAATACGATGATGTGTGACCGAAGGCTTACATCCAGCCAACCATACTTCAAGCCCTTCGAAATGCCACAGGTTTCGGCCAATGCATGCGCCACCCTACAGAAACCGAGTGCAGACCTTACAAGCATGTCTTTCCTCTGCTTCGTCTTTTGCTCACTTAAGATTAGCCACATATCTTTGCAGCATTTCGGATCGTGAAGCTGGCATGGAGCTTCCCGTGGCCACGAACAGTATCCATATGACGAGCGACTGGACGATGGCGGAAGAGACTATGTAGATGAAGTACCAGTGTTAGTGAGGAAACTGTCGAAGATATGGTCCTGTGCAAAGGAGATGTGAGGACGAAAGCAAAGAAGAGGAGATGCCGTGAATGCGACTTCACGTCTTCGCGCCTTTGGAGACGTCTTTCGCGCGGATTCCTGTCTCCTTCGCAGCTTTTTGTGGTGATCTTCGTCTTCTCTGCCATCTTTTGCGTCAAAACACGTCTCCGAGATCTTTGGTGTGGCGACATGGCTATCATAAGTCCATGAAAAAAATTCAATCTTCGTTGATGGTACTGGCTTGAGGCTAATTCACTTTTGTTTCATGCCGTGTTCTTTGCGCGAACGCCCATCTCCATACTTCCGACTTGTGGGAGGGGACTCACCTTAGTCTCCGGTTCCTGATACCACGTCTTTTCGCGCTAAACCGCGTCTTCTTGCGCTGATCCACGTCTTTTTGCGCTGATCCGCGTCATCGCTGCTGCCTTTTCAGATTTTTTTCACATGCATTCCCATCTTCATGGCCATCTCTTGCATGGTTTCAGTTCTCTATGCCCTCTGCTCTTCAGAACTTACGAAGCTGATTAGTCTATCAAGAGATACTTCTGCGCTGCAACACCCTCGAGACTCGTATGTGCGAGGCCGAACGGACTTGAGAGGTAGCGAGGAAAAAGACGAACGAGACGTCTTTTCTTTCGTCGGAGATGACTTTTTGTCCGGTCGGACGCGAGGGAGACTGTTTTTGACCGCGAGAAGTCGCCGAAGATGTCTTTCTGTCCATAAGAGGCGCAGGAGACGTCTTTTTGCGCGAAACCACAGCTTCAGAGACGTCTTTTCGCGCAGAACCACGTCTTCGGAGACGTCTTTTTGCCCAAATCCACGACTTCAGAGACGTCTCCTTGTGCCTCTCTCACTCTCTATCAAAGGATACGCCCTCTCTCTTGTACTGAAATATATATGACATTCTCTCCGCTATCTGACCTTGTATGAATTCAAGTAACGCTCACACCGTTGTTACCTCGACTGTTGAGTGAGACAGTGTACTGACCGCCGAAGATATCTTTTTGCCCGAATCATGGCTTCGGAGAGCATAGAACCACATCTTCCCACGTCTTAACCGTCTTCTGCGTTACTTCCGGACAAAAAGACATCCCTAACACTTCTTTCGGACGACTTTCATTCTCGCCACGCGGCCTGGCGATGGCACATGCAGCACTGAGTGTGCTCGCCACCTTGATAGCTTGTGGCTGCATTCGTGGACTTTGTCCTTTGCACGGAGTTCCCTGCAAGATTGTGACTGAATTCCATCGTTCCAACGTCCATTCCAGTCTGTGCTCTCCTCTGAACGCTCACTTAAACGCCAACGAACAGGCTGGAATTGTCAAATCGAGCTGGGGAATGGGTGGTCGGACGGTCAGGAAGTAGTCGGTGAAGAAGGGGTGGAGGTGTTCGACCTTCGGTGCGAGTGCTCTCCTTCGCTTCGGCTCCCGGTACGCTCCTTGCTATTTTGTTTCGTTTCGTTTCGTCTCATTCCTGTCCCTTTTCTTTCTTTCCTTCTTTCTTTCTTTTATTTTCTTGTTCGTTACCGTTTGGTATTGCGAACCATCTCCATCGTCCAAGAGATGTTGAGCTATCTGCTCCATCCGATCGCCTCTCCTGCACCGCCAATAAATATGTGGAACCCACGACGTGTCGGCGGGCGCCTATTCGTACCAGAGCAAGCGACGCTCGCTCGCTTATCTGCCACTTTCGCGCACGTTAACTTTATCGTTCATGCGTCGGTGGGTACTTACTGCGATAGCATCGGCGACACTTACTGGAACTCAAACGAGTGAGGTCTGAATGACCCGAGTACAGCGAGCGGGCGGCGCTCGCTCGTTCATGCAATATCACTCTCATTCTCACCTCCGCACTTCTCCGCTACTCGCTGACGACTTGTTGTGGAACCTACGATACGTCGACGGCGCCCTTTATGAGCCTCTTCACTCTCTTGCTGCAGCCTGAGAGGGGTGGTTATTCAGTTCATACTCATTTTGTGGGTTTCTACCTGTTTCGCTGTTCCGTTTATTTGTCAAATGACAGTTTCGGTGTTTATACCCCTTCCCCTCCCCTTTCTTTCAACGCGCTATAGGTCCACCTGTAAGTCCTCAGCCCATTCGGGTGTACAACGCACGCTCACTTGTTTGATCCTTTCGGGTCCTCGTGTCGCGTTCGTTGTGGCTCCTCCCTTGCGTATTTGCGTGCCGAACGTGCTCGCGCACCGCGCGCACTCGCTCTTGTCGTACACCTTCCTCACCTTGGCGAGGCCGTTATCCCGCAGGAATGACACCTGAGTACGAACCCCCTGGTCTTGTTTCTGGTGATACGGTCCCTTCGATATCGTTCCTGCTGACTGTCATCTCACTGAGGCCATCCATTGACCAGGCCGTCACCGCCGGTTAATCACTCCCTCTGTCCAAAGACGGAGACTGGCCGATCCTTCTCGTACGTCTATCTCGCCCTTATACTAACGTACCGCACGTCAGCCCATTCCCTTCAGTGGCTTTGCCTGCAAGCAGGGTGAAGCTGAGCGGGTTCTTATCTTTACCGGCCCCAACACCTTTCGGTCAGGACGACGAGGTCAATGAACGGTCACTTGCAGAAGATTCTCACCTAGATCGGCTCCTTATGTCACGGTCGCTACCAGAATTGTCCGTCCTCTACGCTGGCTTCGGATTCGCTTACCGTGAAGGCCTTGACAACATTTTCGTCCTCAGTGGTATCCCCATTGCCGTGCCCACTGTTTTGTCCATCATTCAGATCAGCATGCTCACCACCGACAAGCTCACCATCGACCGCAGCACTATCAAGCCCTACAGCCCCTTCTCCGCCGACGATCATATCCTGCTCACTGCTGAAGCTTGCCGTGCGTCGTGCGTCGGTCTTCGTGGAGCTCCCAACGAATGACGACCCCAAAAACACGATCGTGACACCACCTGCATCCCCAGCGTTTAGAAGCAGCCCTTTCAACTGGAAAGGCTTAAGATAGATACTGAAGGTGCACAGGATCTGCGAAAGGAACGACGACCACAAGATGGAGATAGCCAATCAAACAAACGTACGCACTTTTTCGTACCATACTTTCTCGTTCCCCAATTTTTAGCACCTCAGGTGCTTGTAAGTTTTGTTATATTTTCTTTTATTCCTCATTTCCTTTCGTTCTGTTCAAGTCTAGTAGAAGTCATACGACGTGTCAGTGATGCTCGCGACACGTGCGGGTCTTTCGTGTCATTGTAGCGTACTACTGCGTACGCTCACTCTCCTTTCGTTTTTTTCAGCGGACTCCCTTATAGATCCATAGACCACTCTCAAATGAGATCACCTCATCAAGCTCGAGATTAAGCTGCGACATCGACGCGCTCGCCTAGGCCGCGTTCATCTGTGATGCTTGATTTCCTCGCTTACCGCCGGTACCCTCGCCAGCACGTTCACTCTCACCGCTCTCACTCACGCGGTCCCTTCTCAATGCTCCTTCTCACGTCTTGAACCCTCTTGAACGCGGTCAGCACGTCGGGCTCGCGATTAGAATGCGGATAGCGCTTTAACCTTATCAGCCTCCGCGCTATCTTCAATCCTCCCCGTGACGATACCAGGAAGACTATCGACGACGCTCTTGCTCTCAGTGTCAAGGTCGAAATGGTCATCTTGGTATCGGCAACCAAATGTACCGCGCTAAGGTTCCCAAGGACGGAGACAAGCACCGCACTCTCGACGGTCACTTTCACGTACGCATATCGTTCGCCGGTGTCGTCCCTGAGTATAGATTTGAGATCGTGAAGCGTCCAGGCATGTGTTTTTTCACCATTTCTATTGCTCCCCGTCATTCGCTCTTCGTGATGCTGACTTGCGTTGCTCTTTCTAGGTTCTTGGTCATCTTTGTGCCATGACTGGTGACAGTGCTGACAATGTGCCCTGCCTTGTGCTGTGGCGACGGCGGTATCGTCGTCGAGGCTGTGGTACCGCCGACATTGTCTTGATTGAGCCCGGTCACTTCACCACCGTCCACGGCATTCGCGGTTCTCGTGTTACCTTCCAACGTACGTGTAACTACTCCATCCTTGCTCCATCCACGCCTGTACCATCACCGCCGTATTGTAATCTGCTTTGCCACACATGCGTGCTCCTATGAATCTCTATTTCTGCCATTGAACCCTGGAGATTCAGGGAGGATAAGGCCTGCGAGAACCCTGAGTGTGATGGTGTCGATGCCACAGACTCGGAATCATGTACGGTCAATGTACGGTGCTGTGGTCTTTAGACCTTCATAATTTATCCAGGATAAATGCCAATTATACCACGGCATTGATCCTTTCGATAAAGGAATTATCTGAGTGAGGAATAAATGAGGATAAATGACAGATTTTACCCACTGATGGAGTCACGGTAAATGCCACGTTTATCTTGGTTATCAAATCACGATAAATGATATCTTTGTCCTGAGTAATAAGACGGGTTAAATGCACATTGAACACATTTTTACGTGCACGATAAACTTCAACTTTTCACGTTGTTTACGCTGAATGAAAAGAGGAGTTGAATGTGTCATTTACTGAGCCAATACACGGACTAAAATTTTGATTTTTCCGACCAGAAAAATATCACATTTAACTCTACTTGTACGGTTAGGTAAATATTGGCTAAATGTGGCGGAAAATTTGATACTTAACCTCCGCTTTTTCCACGCGATAAATGTCCGGGTGAATTCATGGGGGTCAGGAGTGACAGGATCATGAGAACTGAGAACGTTACCCATGTCATTTTACAGTCCACGATATGACGACTAAACGAAATGAGAAGTATTGGGAAAGCCGCACTAGGCTGCTTCTTGAGTAGAGGTCGCAGTCCCGAGAAGGCACTCAGGCACAAACTCGCTACGACTCACTGATTTCTGGTGCACGCCTGGGATACGGAGATCGTTTCAGAGGTGCCATCTGTACGAGCCTGAACTATCAGAGACGTAGCATTCCGTTCCCGAGTTGTCCCCGAGTGGTCAGCGTTATGAGTGTCCTCCCAAAGCGAACTTGAACAGGTAACGATCATAGCCTCTATAGTCTAAGTGCGGAAGACAGAAGAAGAAAACACTTGACAAATGAGGAATCGGTGTTTCTGACGCAAGTATCGGGAAGGTACGAGAGTGAACCAAGGTGTACAATGACGGGGCTGAGAAAGCACGACATGACACTCATCCGATGTCATTGTATCGGCTAACTCCGATGACCTTTAGAATTCAACACGAACAAACAACTGCCACCGGTTTGGCTCATAGCTGTGCTTGCCTGTTATCTCTGCCTGGTGTTTGAGTCTTTCGACAGTGATTTTCCTGGCCATACAACAGAGACCTCCTTGGCTGATGCCTCTCGTCTAGCATTTTCTACTTTTGTGCTCAAAGCTTCGTCCATCACCTGTGACTGCTGTCGTCCAACTTGTCTTCACATGCTGGAGACGACAGGGTCCTGGACGATGTCAAGTGCCACCGCCCTTGGTTAGCTGCCACTTCCCTTGGTAAGACTGCCTCATTCACTCTATTCGTCTCTATCTCTGATAAAGGATTCTGCATTCTCTTCCATTGTGTCTCCGTACTAGTTCTTCCGCCGTCCTCGACCGTGTCGCTTCGACGAATACTCCATCGTTGACCGACATATTCGTCGCTCGCTCCTCAACTTGTGATCCATCCTCTACGCATCCCCCACTTGCTCCCAACCTTAAGGTATCCGCGGCGTAGAGAAGGGAAGAAGAAGGACACGAAGGAAACGTACATCGGAGTTCTTGTCAACGAAAGGTATGTTCCTCGCTTCTACTTATCCTCCGTCCAACCACTCACATCGCCATGCGACCTTAGCACCACTATAATTGCCTCCAAGCTTAGCTGTCTCTTCCTTATGTCAAGCTTTGCTACAATGTCGCTACATCCGCGTACGACCCGCTCCCCTTCATGCCTCGCATAACTGGGAGCCTCTGTCGTGCTTACTGTCTCCATCTCGTCATAGATATGTATGGCCCCTTAGTTTGTCGACTCGTTATCGTTGATATAAACTGTGTCGAGGCCAAAGGAGAATTCGAAGCGCATGGTGGACATCGCTTGTTGTTGAGAGGCTTCCGGAGAGTAAGTACAAGGGACGGAGGAGCAATGCGTCTTTGAAGATCAAGGTCAGTGCCCATCTTACTCTCCTGCTCCCTGAATCCCGTGAACTGACTTGCATCTGTGACACTGTGCTTAGACGTACCTCGGCGCCGACGCAGAAGTTACTGGTTATGTGCCAGGCAAGGGCAAGCATATGGGTTCGACGGGGCGTTGAAGTGTAAGATTCCATCTGGAAAGGTACGCATATATCTTTCCCAATCGAAATCCCCCGTAACAGCCTTGAATAGAAGTCCACACCCCTATCAACGATTTCGCGAACAACCGGCTGATATATCATGTTGTCATCGTAGACCTTCGGCGTCGGCAGTGACAAAGGTTGGGCCATTGGTCGTGTATCGATCCCAAGAGGTGACGAGGAAAGGCGCTCCGAGGTGCGTTTCTCGTCTGTGTTTTCTTTCAGACAATACACCGTTTTTTCTGGACCCTGATTATCGCTCGGCGTACGGGCTAGGCTTTCTTCCTTTGCAGACGAGGCTTCGGACAAGGCCGTGGAGAAGAACGCGGAAGGGAAGGTCTGAAGGCCCCAATAGTATGATTCCGCTTCGCCCTCTGGCGGATCTGGACGGCCCATGGTCCATGCCGTTCGCAATGAGTATTCCGTTCAGTCCAGGGCTTAGAGCAGCCGGCGGGTGGACACCCATGCACGATATTCCCGATGCACTTTTCCTTGCCCTGGATGAACGTATCGCGAAAAACGTTCACGGTGGAAAGCAGTCGTTTGTGGGTAATTCATACGCTCTTATCACGCCACTGCCAGATGTGAAGTGGCAGTATGGTACATCGCTCACGGAGGGTTCTCGACGCATTTTGAGTGTAGTGATTGTATCGTACGTGCACTGTTCCCATTCAACATCAGTATTGTCGCCTTATTCGGTCTTCTCGTGGATAGAACAAATCGTGCGCGGCCACCGATCTCCTACGTCCCTACAGATACTCTTCATTCCGCCTTGTATAGTCAATGCCACTATGTCGGCCCTCTTGATGATAAGCTCCCACATCATTGCTCCAAGCTCGAAACCTTCGACATCTTTCTGTTCGAATGCCCGGGTCCAACGCTCACTCTACTCGCGTGAAGTTGCCCCGCGTCCCTCATACGGAATTCGCGCTACTCTCGAGTATGCACAAGCTTAAAAATTCGAGCCTTGCCGCCACCACAGTGCGTACCAAGCCGTCCTCGTCGACTGCAAGCGGGTATAAAAGTAAATGTACTTACGAACGTATCATCTTCTACCGTCATACCCGAGTCTTCAGCCTTCGAGCGCCACCCGTAGCTCCGCCACATCTCTATCAGACTCTGCTTTGTCGACCCAACCCTCTGTACCCTACCGATACCGCATGCGCTTCGTAATCGCCTTCCCGCTATGAAATAATCCACCAAAGCAGTTTCGGGCCCAAGCCATCCACATCGAACGACCTCCAACTCGCCGCATCCAGGGCTCTTATTCATCCGTCGTCGACGCGTCGAATTTACGACCCTACGCTGGCGGTCTTAACTGTCGCTTCCAAGTCTTCGGGCATATACGCACAGCCTCTCATGCTACTCGTCCACGGATCGTGTACCAGTGCAAACCATATCAGCAGACCGTACTCGCCACCATTCTCCATGGGTGCACCTGAATAACAAGTTCTACCCGCACCTTCACTGGCTCTCATACCCGCTCGGTCCCTACCCCTCTTGGACGCAATATCTCCAAGCGTCCATCTGTGAGGAAGCATATGGTCTCGATGCACGACGGGTATCACTGTTCTAAGCGCATACTCCATGCGCGTTTTTGCAACGTGACGGTTTGAGTTGTATCTTGCCTTATTACCACTTGGGATAAACGGATTGGCAATGATCGTCCTCTGAACTGCTCCGTGCGGCAAAGTTCCACGAGCACGTCGCAGGAGGTAGACCGGTCGAGGGTGTGCTCGTAGTAAAGCTGGCTAGTCCTATACCACATCTACTGGGGTATCCCCGTTCTTCCTCCTTCCTCAGAAGCTGACCTGCTCGGCATGACTCGCACGGCACACACGGATTGTGGCGTCCCGTAGTTTCGATCTCAAACAACCAGCTGCTGTATTGCAGGAATATTCTGCGCCCGCTACCATATGGGAGAATACTGCACACCAGCCTATTCCGCCGGCAATGGGGAGTTGACTGTCCTGGGTTTATTCCGAACATTATGTTGTTGCTTACTGGCATACCATTCTTCACCATGGCAGTTTATTCGGGCGCAGAGCTGTCACTCGGAATGGCATACTTGGGTACTGCATCCGAGGAACGTTTTGAGCCAACTCGATAGCTGCCCTGCTTCCATAGAACCCCGTTTTCGCATGCGGACAAACTGCTCCGTCCAGCTACACACGAGGTGGGCAACAAATTTCAGAAGGGGCACTCTGAGGATACTCGTGACCGATTCGACTGTGAGGTGTCTTCGGCGGTACAGGAACAGCCAATGAGCGTTTTCGTCTTCCTTATCCCTTCACTCCAGCCGCGGCGCTGTCTTTCACCAGTTAAGGTGGGTGTAACGCAGTATTGAATTTGACTGGATTTGTGGCCTACCGTTGCATGTCTTTGGCTGAAGTTGCATAGCCTTTGTGCGACATACTAGCGGGAAAGCATGCTCCGGAACAGCGCGTCTGGGGCGCTCTTTGTAAGAGCGCCTGTGTCGGTCAGCTCTGCGCCCGTTGGTTCGTTATTCCTGGTCAAGTAGGACAGCCCTTCTGTGTGGTATCCCGTCCCGCTACGCGTCACTAGATCAGGAAACGAGGCTCTCACAACACCCTCATGCCTTTTATGGACGACTAATGGAAGGTACGGTATCATGTGGCTGTCTCGGAGACGGTCTCGTCCCGGATGCACCGCCCACATTTCCCGACACAATCCTATAACCCAGTGACGTACTCTATAGACTCTATGCGTGAAACCTTGGAAGAGCGAAGAGTGCACTCAGGATATTTACAGAGGACCTAAGGATACCATACACTACTGGATCCATCCTCTTGCGAATGAGTATCCATGCTGCGTTTTTCTGCGCGAGCCACACTTTTCGTTATAACAATACTTGATGTGTCAATCGCACTATAGAGTGACTCAGTGCTCAAAGGGCTACATTAATGCGATTTTGCTTCATCGCAACTGTGAACATGAGTCGCGTTATAACAGACATAGTTATCGGCCGTCTTTATTGTTCTACCTTCCTTCCAGTGTTAGCCAAAGGACGTGCCATCGAGCGCGGAAAAGCGCCAAAAGTAGCACGTCGACTTTCGAAAGAGCTTAGATCGTCCCGTAGGGGTGTAGCAGGTTCCTTATTCCTCCTACAGACTCCGAACAGCGAGCACGCTCGATAACGTGGGTGAACTCGAGGAATACAGCGCTGCCTTCGGAGTGAGAGTACGGTCGATGTCACTCTTTTTTGGTCGCTGTGAGCTGCATTGACATCCTCGTAGTGTATCCAGACATTTGTGGGCACCGCTTCTAGGCGTTTCTTGCTGTCCTCTATCAATATCATGTTTCTCAGCGGCAGGGACGCACCAGTATTATTCCCAGATATCTATCCGCGTGTTCAGAAACGCGTAGGCATGATATTGATTTCACTGCTCTACAGTACCGGAGGTGCTAATGCCGTTCTCGAAAGCGCTCGGGTTCTTCCTTTATACACATGGAAACCCATGATAAATCGGTCATTGCGGCCAGAAAATGGTGCGTATATCGTTACTTTTACTCTACTGGTATGGCGCACAGTGAAAGCGGCCACACCCATGATACGATATATCTCCATGTGCATTCGTCAACCGACAGTGATGCACTGTATCAGGGACGTGCGCCCTCTCAGTCGGGATATTTGTCACTATAAGGCCTCTACGCCCATTCCTTTGTGGCGTCTGATGGAATGGCAGTGCCCCGTCAGCCTCTCCCGCCCCTCCAGACGCCGCAAACGGAAAGAACGAGGCTCGCAACGCCTCCGCTTCTCTATTGGAAGCGGCCAACCGATGATTGCTCCTGATTGCCCAGGATAGTCGATAAGTTCATCATTGAGATGCAGATCGAGACGGATCAGCAGGCTGTACCCATGAAACGTTATCATGTACAGGCACTGAACCCATTGAAAACACATACACATGCATTGTGGACCTCGCCTTCTATCTATCGTTGTGCGCATTTATAGCGTATATTTGCATTCCAATAGTTGCGCCGGATCTCACCGTATGGTATTCGCTTTTGCACTACCCTCTCCAGATGTAATTGTTCGCCAATGATGCAGGTCATTACTGCTTATGGCGGAACGCCGCATGGCCTAGTGGATAGTGAATACACCTGGGTGAATGTAGGAGATCACTCTGATAGATCGGAACAGCCTTTCAGTGTTCTACGATGTTTTCAGGTCGATGACGAGCTGCCGTGAAGCAGAAACCTGTTTGATATTTGTATAGGATCGATTGGTGCCTGTCATCATCGAAAGCGAGCTTATGCTTTGAGAACCAATGACCAAGTCATCAGCAGAACATTGTACAGTACCTGGCCCTGATGCTCTCTTACAGTTCTCTGCGCTATGCAAGGGTCTGCGCTCACTGTGATATTATCACAGTCCCAAAGTTCTACGAGACTTGGCGGTTCTACTTTATGCTTGCAAAATATTGACTACATATCACTGCGCACGCGCTCTTCGAGCCATCTGACGCAGGATCATGTACCGAATAAAGTAGCTCGAAACGCAGGTATTCTGTGTCAGGGAAGATTAGGTGTCACCGTCCCACTATCAACTCATATGGATAGTATTTGCTCTTCATGCCTTTGCAAAAACGGAAGGACTAACAGTGTACCGCCGCTCTGCCCTTGTGATCTTCATGAGTTCCCCATTTTTGTTGACCTCCGGGCGCAGTTTTTCCCGAGAGATCTCCCTAGTCGATTGCTGATGCGCTCACAGTGTGAGCAGCATTCAAAGATATGATGACTGATCACGGTTCCGGCTTTCAGCCTCAAGGCCCCATTTAGTATCTACAACGTCCATCGCCTCCAGATGTATCTCGAGGGTCTAATGCACTGCACCTCATACAGCAATAGATTAGTTGCTTTTTCAATAGCATCTCTGGTAACAGGAGAATGGTTTGAAATAACCGACGGGCATAATGTTCATCGCATGGCGTTGGTCAAAGGTACCTATCGAAATTCGCACCCTGTCTAGACGAATGTATATATTCGGCACGTAACCCATCACATGCATTACAACTTGCGCTTTCACCATCGGTCCACTGTCCACAGTTATCTGCTACAAGAGCTTTGTTTGACTTTCACCACTACAACCCGCACCTGTCTCGATCATTTTCATCATCACAGCCGTATAATCCGACATGACGACCAACAGAACCAGCAAAAAGCAACGTCCTCAACCCTTGCCTCAGTGCGGTATTTTCTTTTGAAGTCGAACTTCGGTGGTATACTCACGCTCTCTCTCATACATAGGATGAAAAGCTCAACCATTCCTCCATTGTGAGATTCCTCTTTCTCTCGACATTATGAGTACTCAATTTTATGATATTCTCCCTAGAGACCTCACCAGTCTTTTTGCCCTCATCATTGGGATTTCCACGTACCCTGACATGAGCGGACTGAGATCATTGCCCGGAGTCAAAGCCGACGTCGACTCGATGAAAGCCTTTCTAGAGGACATGAATGCCCCCTCTGACCGCATCCATACGATACAGAACGAGGAAGCCACATCTTCTGCTATATACCAGGCTCTCAAGGATATTACCAAGAACAAGAATATCGGGAGGAACGACCCTATCCTCATATACTTTGCTGGACATGGAGCAAAGGCCGACATCACGAGCGAAGGAAACTTTCTTTCAAGCGTTCGCATGCTTTGCCCATACAATTTTGCTCGACGGAACGATGGTGTCTCGCTCAAGGATGGTACCCCAAATGATGACGCTGCTCCGGGAAGGAATGGTGCGGCGAGCGAGAATGGAATTACCGACGCAGTATTGGCGGACATTTTGAACGATATATCCCGCGCGAAGGGAAACAACATTGTTAGTGCCATCAATTTCGATCGTCCCTTTTGTAGCTAATGGTATCTTCTGAGACAGACAGTCATCATGGACTGTTGTTACTCAGGGTATGGAACCCGAGGCACAGTTAGCCTTCGTTCTAAGGCGAATCCCAGACATGTCGCCGAGAGCCGCTCCAAAGTGGCGCTCTGCGATAAATTGAAGACAATGTTTCAATATTCGGGTGTATTTTCCCATACCCTTCTCGCAGGTTCTGGTATGGAGCAGCCAGGAAATGAGAAGCCCGATGGAGGGGCGTTCACAAAAGCATTGATCGATGTTCTCAAAACACTCAAAAAACGCAACATCACATACAGGGAACTGATTGAAAACATGGAGGACCTTAACGAGTAAGCACTGCATATCTCCCAGTATGATAGATAATTCATAATACTGAATGCGATAATTTATCTGCCTCCGCGTTGGACGCAGTCAGTACCCACAGTGTGTCGGGAATAATCAGAACAGATATCTGTTTTCGATGCAGAGCAATTTTCGAGAACATGACCTCTACAAGGTCAAACTGAAGAAGTGTGGCAGCTCTACGTCTTCTTCCAGTCCCAACAATATTCCGTAAGTGTGATATCTCCCATTGATGTTAACGTGGTGCAGAGACCGTGATTAACTCGTAGATGTGGACATCGTTTTGCTTTTTCACCCAGACGGGATCATCAGGAACTTGTGACATATCATCTTACCGTTGGCACAGCATACGGGATCACCAAAGAGTCCAAATTCAACGTTTATACAACGATGGACACCAAGAAGCTACCCCTCGGCGAATTCACCGTCCGGAATGTCACGAATTATACCACCGATTTGGTACTTACGACCTCCTCTACTACCGGGAAAGTCTTTCCGCAAGTAGCATACGCATCGAGAACTCGGCTAGGGAATGACTTCCAAATAACGATCCCAAAGGAGCTGTCGTACATCGAGGAATTCGTCCAGGAAAATCTTGGGAAACACAGAAACATTTCCGTCACCACCGTTACAGGGGTCATTCCGAAGCTGACGCTAGTGGCTACGAGCAGGAATTTGGTCGATTTCGAAGTCAATAACGAGACGTGCCACAAATACGAGGTTACACGCCTTTGCCGCACAGTAAAATGTCATACCAAAAGGTCTTCGACTATCAACGAAGTCATTTCCGTCATCTCTGGTGCAGCCGACTTCTTCACACATTTGGATCGCTTCCCGACTACAAGCCAGTATTTTGGTAGCGAGAGGAGGAACGTGTTCCTACGCTGTTACGCTCTAGAGGAAGGCGATATTGATGATGTGCATGTTATGAAGCACAAAGACCCCGCGGTGGATCTCATCACGAGTGACGTATTGGAGTGTCCAAGTGTCCCGGAGCCACTTGGATTCGAGGTTGAGAACAGAACAAATGATTCTCTATATGTGGCCTTGCTTTACTTCGACATTGGGGACCTGAGCATCAGTAAGTAGACGTGATATTACGGACCACAATCTTGATACGATATATACAACTCACTTTGATCTCCGCTACAGGGTTATTCTACCAACCAGGAACGGCCAAGCACGGTCATGTAGATCCATCTATTGGACCTAACGGCCAACTCACCATTGGTTACGGATCCAGTGGTTGGAGGCCACAATGCTTTCACCCACGCGAGGGCCGACCAGTCGACGTCGGGTTTTTAAAACTCTTCGTTTCGACCCAATGGGTCGACTTCTCCGATATAGAGCAGGCTTCACCCTTTGATGGCTATCCCCGAGGTCGCACCTCACACTCTCAGCCTTACATCTCTCCAAACACGCCATGGGACTCTATCTCTGTGCCAGTTGTACAGCGGAGTGCTCCAGCGACATCTAGGAACAGCGGTCATACCGATGACGACCGCGAACGGAAAATACCTCCAAGTAGTGAGTGTATCTTTGTTTCAGCATACTACGCAGTGATAACTGATTTTTCGTAGGTAAACACATGTTGTAGATGAAGAAACTCATAGGTTTATGTCGGGGAGATAAGTAGATGGAAACGTATGCGCGAGCTGAAAGGTTTCTCACACCTAATGATAGCAGTCATCGCTAGCGCAGGTGGTAGCCCGCTGTTCGGAAATAGCTTAATATTGTGATAATCATTGCCTGTCTTATGTTGACCAGCTCTATAGCATTCTCATGTGTATCTAGTCATGATTAGCGAAGCATTACTAGAGGCCTATGCGATTCGGGAGCTCGCCGCCATCCTATTCAGGGCCATGCTCAAGTGCTTTGGGTACTGATGCCATATCTTGAAGTTCATCATACTTACTGTATCTTATTCCTTCCGATATACTGTACTTTTTCGACCAAAGGTTCATCAGAAATGTACGTCACCCATCAGTTTCGCCCCGGTCACGGTTCAGAGACCGTGCGTGAGCGTGACGGGACCCGTAAATAGTTCAGAAAACAACGTAGGCGCTTGCAAAAATGATCATTTTGCGCAAGCGCCTGCCGAGGTCACTGTTCGCTCACCATGCGTTATGCGTGAGGTCACGCAGGATTTTGTTCGGTTCACCAGCGCGGAGAACGCGTGACGAACCTTTGGTCGAAAAAGTACAGTAGTAGACAAACATACGTATGCTGGTGAACTTCATGCAGTAGATTTAATCTACAGGGTCTTGCTCTTCTAAGCTGTGTAGGGTCGCGCCAAGGTCGCGGGGCTGTCCCGGGTTGGTCTCGGGGCGTACATACGTATGGTAGAACCCACGGAGGTGGTCGGAACTTGAAGTCCGATCTCCCGTCTGCCACGTGAACAATGTTCCGTTGATTGATCCGGCGGCTACAAAAAAACCTCCTGTCGCCAGGAACGACACGTTCGAGACCCTCGACAGCAGCGTCGACTCCTCCTGGCCTTTCCAAAATGAAATCCACAAGACTCATCGTGAAAAAACATACCGAACACGACACATGGCTGCACAAGGCAGCGACCATCGATATAGCGACATAACTGCGCAAGACATACGTATAACATCCTCCGACCTCATCATGTCGTCCGATTCAGAACACCAGTCTTTCCTCTCTTTCGCCTTTGTCTCTCTCACTCCCATTCTTCAAGAGAAACCTTCCATTCTCGCTGGCGATTTTTCTGCGTATCGAGTATTTAAAGCCTGCTTAGCCAGTTCTCCCGACGCGTCAACGCTATTGCCATACATTCGTTCTTCTGTGACACTCTTTTGAGCCTTTGCTTTGTAACCCACTCGTCGTCGGCGGCCAACCGACTCCTTTTCTTCGCATCCTACTTAACCACATAACCACAACCTCAACCTACTCTTTCACCATTGAAAAGTTGATCAAGATGAAGTCCGCGATCCTCTCCGCCCTCGCTCTTTCCGCCGCGTCCGCTAAAGCTGGTACCGTCCTCTGGGATGGGACGTTCAACTCTTCGTTGTACGTTCCCTGCATCATTTAGTAAATACTGCGCTAATTTATAATCGCAATTGTCGTTTTGTTAGTGTCGTCGATGACTTTGATCTGTGGTCATTCAGCAATCAGATCGCGCCTTATCAATGGTACGTCCCCGCTCCCTTCTCCGCTACCGTCACCCAGCATGCACTAGCTCCTCCTCCTCCTTCCCTCCACCTTCCACCTTCAGACTTCCTAATTCTTTCATGACTATGCCGCTTACATTTTCCACTCTCCATGACATGGACTAACATGTGGTGCCATAGGTACATCCATGGCGACTCGGCTACATCTGAGTACCTGGACGTCTCTTCTGATTATAAGAACCCTGTGGATACGACAGATGCACAGGGTATCAAAATTACTATCGTACGTCTCCCTTCGCACTCATACCATCCGTATTTATCCCCGATCAACTCGTTCCAAGTATTCATCTCTCTTGTTCAACATGTACATACCTCTCGCCTGTCCCGTCCTTTCGCCACCACATATATCCTTTCACCTGCCGTATCAATCTTAAATTTCACTCCATTTGGTGGCTTATCCTTGCCCTCTACCCTACTCTAGGACGGAACTTCGTTCTGGGAAGGCCAAACCATGGAGCGTTCCGAGATCATCCCCCAGACGTCGGAGGACTTGGGTGCGGGACATCTATACTACCATTTCTCGCTCAGTACGTCCGAGACGAACGCGCCGAACGCGGCGTTTGAGCATCAGATCGCTTTGTACGTGCCTTCCTCGTCTCTTCCCTAGTACCTGCCTCCCATCCCTTGCCCTCTCAATCACAAAAATCCCAATCCAATCCACCTCTGAGTTATTGTCACGCACAGAGCATTCTGATATTCATGCGCGTTTTATGGTCTATAATAGTTTCGAGAGCCACTTTACGGAGATCAAGTATGGCCTCTTATCCAGCGAGTCCAGTGGCACGGATAATACGCTCCGGTGGATGGCAAATTCCGAAACTCAGTGGAGTACGGATTTGGTGCCTGGGCAGTGGTATAACTTGTGCGTATTCTTTTGCCCTTCTTCGTAACCATTTCTATCTTTACCTCGCTTTTATTTCTTGAACTTCTTGAAACCACGTTCCATACTGTTTTGTGTCTCTCTCGTCCTGCCGTTCAGACCAAGTACTGACCCTTCAATTTATCTGCTATTCACTATGAAAACAGCGCCTATGACATCGACTTCGACGCCGGGACAGTCGGTCTCTGGGCCTCGAACGGCTCAGACGCGCTCACACAGGTCGTGCAGGCAGTGACGGCGAGTACTTCGTCGAATTCTGCGGATTGGTACGTTGTTTCTTCTTCGTTCTTAGTACCTCCCTTCCACCCCCCATCTCCAGTTCGTTGCCTGCCTCTCCTTATCAATCCTCTTCGTTCTGGTAACTGACATCTATATCCTCAAATATAATCTTCTCCTCTCTCATATCTTTCATTTGATCCAAACCCTTTCGTTCCCTACCATATCTCACTTCGCAATAGGCACATAGGCCAGCTTCGCCTTCCCAACGGCGGTTCGGACGCAGACGCCGAAGACTGGTTCTGGTCCGGTATATATGTCGAATCGGGCGATTTGACGACGGATCTGGCGGGGCCAAATGCGGGGACCGCTAGTTCTGCTGGTTCATCCTCGGCAGTGTCGAGTAACGTGGCAAGCTCTAGCGCCGCTGCATCCGCTACAAGTTCTAGTGCTGTGGTGATCGCCTCCGCGAGTGCTGTGGCCACGGCATCTTCTACCGCGAATACATCCTCATCGAGTGTCATCGCCTCCTCTTCCGCCGCTCAATCTACCACCGCTATCCCTACATCCGCAACGTCATCGTCCAGCCTCGCAACAACCCCCTCCGTATCCTCCTCATCCTCGTCTTCTGCTCCCTCCACTACTACCTCCGTCGACCCCTGCGCTGGCGCTCCAGATGTTTCCACCAGCACGACCGTTCCTTCATCCTCAGTCGTCCCTGCCGTTTCGTCTTCTTCTTCCGCTGCGGTAGGCGGCCCATCTATCTCCATCATTTCTTCAGCTGGTGCCAGTACCGCCGCCGCCGCTACTACTACTGCTAGCGCTAGTGTCGATCCCTGTGCGGGCGAGGGAACTAGTGCGGCCGGTGCTGCCTCCCCGTCCAGTAGCACCACCCCCGCAGTTTCTGTCCCCTCCTCCGTCTCTACTTCTACGAAAGTCGTGGCTACTTCATCAACTGCCAGTGCTTCAACTGCTTCCGGCTCCTCCGACCCATGCACAGAAACCTCCGAAGGCGAAGTCAAAAAACGCTCCGAGGCGCTTAGACGGCAAGAAACGGCGAAGAGGGACGACGTGTTTGAGTATCAACGCGATGCAGAGATTAGGGAGGCGATGGCAAGGCAGGCTGCGGCGAAAAGAGATGATGAGATTGAGAGGAGGAGGGATGTAGAGATCAGGGCGGCGATGAAGAGGCAGGAGCAGGCTAGACGTGACGATGAGGCGGAGAGAAAGAGGGATTTGCAGAGGAGGAATGCCATGGAGAAGCGGGTTAGAGCGTTCAGAGAGGATATTCAAGAGAGGAAGAGGGATGAGACGATGAGGAGGGGGTTGGAGGAGATGGTTAGGAAGAGGGGCGTGACTGGGGCGAGGGTTGGATTGAAGGGTTCGAGAGCAAGTGGAAGTACAGGGGCGAGAAGGCGAGGACGATGGGGGGTTACGAACTAACCGAGTCGTGGCCTTTCATTCAAGTAGTCGATCTATGTGGCCTTTTCCTTGTTCATTTAGTTTCATGTTTTTGGTACACCTGCGGCCGAGCCGCGTCACTATTCATCGGTTTTTCGTCGACGTCCAAGTGCTCTCAATAGTTATCGTGTTTCTTGAAGTGTCTAATGGGCTGACTTCAAATGAATCACGTACATCAGTTGACTAAACGCATTGCTTGGGAAATAGCCCTGTTGGCGTGTCACATCAAGGAGGAGCGATCGCACAGTCGGGGGGAGTAGGAACTACATTGCATATGGATCCGCTATATATATAGATATATACTGGTACATGAAAGGCAGTATGTAGGATTCAAGGCCATGGTATATAAGTAGTTTTGTTTCTGAACGAGAACATAGTGGATTGAAGTATAAATATGATGGAAAGTAAGTGCCCCGAAATCAATCGAAGTGAGGCATATATCTCGACCACTCTGGTAGTACGTACGCAGCTGCTGGCAAGAACCAAACGCTCCTGAAGCTTTCCATAACTATGAAGAAACGTGCAAAACAGGAGATGAGAATGCTATAAGCTGCAGCAAAGTTGACTACCACCAATTTGATAGCCACCAGACGGCTCATCCACGTACTATCCTTCGTATTATGCCCCCTGTGAAGAATCGCAAGTGCCTGCGACAGTGACACAATCAAGCCACACACCACAATACACGAGACGGATACGCGCCATATCACGCATTCCACCTGGGTTGGAAAGGGGTAATACCAAGCAGAGATATGCAATGCGCCGTAGAGTGCACCGAAAAAGCTGGAAATCATCACCCTAAGACGGCACTGTATCGGATCCGACTGACCCAAGTGGAATGGGTCGGCTGTACCACGAAAGAGGTGGTACCACTTCAGTCGAACAAGGAACGGCTTCGATGTTCCTTCTTTTTGGAGGTACTTCGATGATACACGGCTAGGATCCTGACCTGCAAGAAGCGTCGCTAGGACATCCGAGTTCCTCGGCATGGGTAGGGTGGTGGGAACGTCGACGTTGAAAGGCTTCTTCCACCAAAGGGTGTAGGTGATCAGTGCAAAGAGGGTATGAACGAAGGTGTTCAGCTCTAGCAGGCTGACGGGCAGGTTTTGCGCCAATCGAGTAAGGCATTCCGCGCTGAACCACAGAACTTGGATTAGCGCGAGGCACTTCGCGAGGCTATCGTGCTTGCTTTTGTCTCGGACCTCTTTCGAGGAGATGTCGGGGATGGAGTCAGGGTCTTTGTCGATGAGGTAGGAGACTCCTTGGGCAGTCAGAGTGGCGAGGGTACCCTGCGAAGTCTGGAGACAGAAGCCTCCGGTAGATGCGTAGAAACCATGAATGAGGTCCCAGTGGTGACGTCTCCCTTGTACGGACTGTGAAAAAATGAGATTAGCAGACGCTTCCTTCGTGATTCCATAAGGGTGACTGCGTGGAGAATAACGCACCCCGGTAGAATCAGGTGCGTGATGCGTCGCTATAGAAAATCTGGACTTCTCGGCAGACTTAGAGAGATTACGCGAGTCAGCGAGAACAAAGACAAAGAGATTTTTCATTCGAATATCTACCTCAGGATCATAGAGCTTTGTTTGAAGTAGGAGAGGCTTGAAGACTCTTCTTATTACGACCTTGCTCTTCTCCACATTCTGTTTGAACGAATCGCCACCGTGACGTGAGTACGTATGAAAAGGAACGGAAAAGAGAGGTCCGAAATGTAGGGAGAGAACGTACCGGATCAACAAAAGTTAGACGGCTATTTGCCTCTAAAACCAGTCCTCTCGCATTTTGCCACTCGAGATAAGCCGTCATAGTCAACCATTCTGGCGCGAATACACCAACCGCCACCCACTTCGCCTTCTTCGCCCATTTGTGCAGTCTACTGTGATGCTCAGCTGGGACGTCGAGGTGCACCGCGCTCAACACGCATATCAAAAGCGTCGAGACGCAGCTCGACAGTAATGAGTATGTACCCCGGTAGGAGGGTTCAGAATACCATCCGACGGGCGTTGTGGCGTTAGACGGGTCTAAGAGCATGTGAAACAATGAGTAGTCGGAATGGGGATGAGAGCAGATTTGGTATTATGTGCGGCGGGGAGAGCCAGCGCGAGGGGAAATCGAAAAGCCGTGGTGCTGCATCGAGACAGAATATGGGCGCTTCTATATAGGGGACACCCCTGGACGCAGTTGCTGGGTAGGCGCAAAGCCTCCTGTAAAACACACGTCGAGACTTGCGGATGACATCAAATATGCGCCAGGACTGTGTCACATGCGAAGCGCCTCGCCGTTGAAGGCTGGAAGATACAAGATGGACCCTGTGCCACGGAGTCTTCGAGATCAATATTAAATCGGAACTCCATTAGATGTATCACTCCAGCGCGAGGTTCACCGTATCTTGACCATGGTTCGTAGTCAAGCTCGAGAGGAAAATGAAGAGAAGGGCTGTCGCGGAGCTGTATCTGCTGACCTTCGTGGCTTCAGACACACATCGACGCAGTCATGCGTAACGTAAAGCGTGATGATGGAGCAGCTAGTGCGGAGAAAGGCCTTGCGGAATTCGCAAGCTCTCCCCACCGTGGGGATCAGCGATTCTGACTTAGGTAGACGAGAGATGAACAATGTGTTGGTATTCGGTAGGCTAGTGGTTCACACTTCTCCGAAGACGTGACGATTTAAATTGGGATTGACTACGACTTCGTGGAAGTGAGTTCAACCGAGGCCGATCGGTCTATGCAACCTGTGTAATGGGTAGAGCACTTCCAACCAGCTCGAGTGAGGCGAAATTCTGTTGGAGGGCAGAAGACTGACATGTGTCAGCCAATGCGATTCGAGATGAAAATGTCCGATAGCAACAAAAGTGTCTGCGTGCGCGAACGTACATCCGCCAATGCCTACGCAGTCACCTGATCCCCACTCACACAGATATTCTCGAAAGTGCTTTTGGGAGACAACCAAATGCACAGGGGCGCAAAAAAAACCAACATCGATGCATATTGGCATGCAACCACAGTTCGTTGTTGCGAAGCTTTGTATGAAAGGGTTCCGATACAAAGAAACGTTGGCTGACGTCATTGCTATCATAAGGCTGCAGGTCCGGTCTTCATATCAGGATTGGAAGCGTGAACCTGCGATGGCTCGTGCAACTGATCATACATTGTCATCACGTGAACATTGGTTCACACATGACCCAGAGGCGAAAACTGAAGAGTAAATTCTCCTCCCATAGAGGAATCCAACTGCACAGTTATACGACGATAAATGAAGCACCCTCGATCTTCAAGTGAGAAACGAGAGGGGTTTGTGAGCTCATGCTCAGAAACGCGAGAGAACACGAGAATCTAGAGTGTGCTCCAGGTAATACACGACCAGCGGGAACGCGTTCTGTGCGCTCCGCTCATTCCACCAACTGGCCTGACGCTGTATTCACATTGAAGGGGCAGTGGAAAGACGAGGTGCAATGAAGGGGCGTACTCGCCGTTCTTCGCAGCGCATAATGAAGGTAACTTTCTTGCACTGATCTCCGCTCGCGAACGGCAAGCACCCTGGCCCCATGCATTGTCGGGGCTCTCGTCATCCAGTGAGACTACGGAGGAAATCAGAATACTCGTGCTGTGAAGAGAGGGTTTTACATTCGTCCGTGCTGATGATGCCCTGGCGGTTGAACGTCATGAGTTCGTCTGCAAGATAGAACTGGGACGGGCATGAGACATGGGCAGTCGCATTGAAATGCAATGCAAGGACGAAAATGTCATGCTCGTACGCACGGTATTATATATGGGGCTCTGACGAGGGTGCATTTGATGATCTCGGATTGGATATGTGCTACATCTATTGATGTAACGCACAGAATCGAGATTGCGAGGTTAAAAGGGGTGATTCCACCAACAGATAGAAGGAGACGTACATTATTCCAGTTACTCGTAGCCAGGGCGTCTGTTGGCTTCCCCGAAAAGGGTACTAGTCTCCTGGGCCACGGAGAGGCCGACGCCGGGAGCAAGCTCGTACTGAACCGTGCTCCCTATACCAGGAAAAAAAAGGGGGACGGAGGGGTAAAAGGGTGAGTCGGGAGTGAGTGGATGCGAGGCTAATCACCGGCACCCACGCCCGACCCGAAACGAACAATGCTTTACGGCTTGTCCGTAGCCCGAGCCAAACTGTTAGTTCCGTGCGATCATGCCTAGGGCAGATTACCCACCCGTCCACAGCTTGAAACGAGCGAGAAGGAAAGGTTGAAACTGCGTATTCGGTGCGACCATGCCTGAGGCAGATTACCCACCCGTCCACAGCTCAAGAAAAAAAGCGAACGAGCCAAACTGCTTGGTCGGTGCGATGATGCCTAGGGCAGATTAACCACCCTTCCACAGCTTGGAATGAACGAGAAGAAAGAAAATATCGTGCAGCGTGGTGCTATTGCTGCCTTGAGGAGGCAGAATATCCGCCCGCTGCCCTGCTCGAACGAGCGGATCGAACCGTGAACAAGTGGGGTCATGCCTAGGGCAGATGACCCACCCATTCACGACCTGAAACCGAGCGAACGAAGGCGGAAGGGTTATATCAAAAAGTAAAAGGGAGAGGAGATGGCAGACGTAAAATGGGTATGGGACTTTTTGGTGGGCGAACCTCACTGGCCTTTGTACTCTTCGGGGTATAGCTACGCTCTGTGAGCGAAGCACTCGATGCGAGCGCCAGTCTGAGAACTATTGGAGGCGATGTGGGCTGGGTGGCGCCGGTGAGACAAAGTTGGGTGGCGCGATGAATTGAATGTGAGACATTTCCAGAATTGGCGGGCTCGATCATTTCAGCTCTGGAACGCAATTATGTTCTACGTGGGCGACGAGAAGTTGATCTCGGAGTGTCTAAGACACAACTAAGACACGCTGGTCGAGAGTGCTCCAGTGGAAAGACGACGACTCCCGAGTCGCAGGCCCACGCGATTTCGCCAGCAGTCTCCAGCCAGATGCAACGTGACGATGCCAATCTAAGAGTGGATTATCGCATAGTTTGTCCGATGGTATCCAGAAGAGAAGATGTCAAGGAGGACGCTGCACACAGCAATGAGGTCTTGTAGCTTGAGGCCTGAGGCCTGAGGGTAGAGCCATGCGTTCAAGTTGAGTTCGCGCGAAAACAGTCGCGTCCAAAACAGGAACGGGAGTGCCGGGCCGAGAAGCTATTGGCTTCCGCGCAATTTCCAATCGGTGTTTTGCTCCCACTTCCAACTCGCTCGCCTACGGTCCCCTGTAACATCCTGGTATCCAGTGCGATCTCTATTTCTTCTAGATAATGTTTCGTAATGGCCTGCCCAGTTTGGGCACTGTACTACGGGTTGTTAAACGGCCTCATCAATTATTCTGTTGCTATTCTGGTTTCTTCAATGTACTCGCCGAACTGTGGTCTACCGACGCGATGATGGATTTCAAGTCGCTATCACAAGCACTTCATGGTTATGTCGTCCAAGGCGCTTGAATCGCCATCACTTTAAGTCTCATCCTGTCCCTATTCTCCGCCGATACGCACCCTTCCCGCTCTCCCATCTCGTCTCTCTCTTGCGTACTCAGCTCCCATCCATCTAGGAATCCACCAGGACCCATTCCTTCTGCCTCCGGCCTCTCTGTTTTGCCCGTCTTCCCCTCGACATCTGCTAATGGGTCAGATCACTTCGTACGGAAACACTCGTGATGGCGCGTGTGGTGTCGGGTTTTATGTAGTTTATGCGCACTGGTGCGTCTCTTCTCTTCTTTTGCGCTCGAGGACTTCGTTTGTGCCCTATTCAAACTCCTTTTCACCCCCCATCTTTTCCTGTATTTCCTGCCCAAAATTTCCCTTTGCAGATATACTGATGGCGTGTTTTGGGATGAAATAGAGACGCGCAACCACTGCTCAACTGGCTTTGGGTCTTCAATAGCGGTTCTGTTGTCCTCACGTTATCCACCATCCGCTTCACGTTCATCGTGATGATGCCTACAAAAACCCCGTGGTCCCTGCTACTCCTGGCGATCCTGATACACCGTTTTCACTACTACTCTCGGTGCGTCACTGCCCCCGTCGGCACCCTTTCTTTAGGTGTACAACCTGTCTCCTGTCTCTCATCTCCAACTCGTCCGTCCGCACCACACACCCCTATCCCTATCCATTGAACGTCTCACTCCAAATGTACTCCTTCCGTAACCACGTACGAGAGCTGATATCTTCTCGATTTACCCTCTAGGCATAAAATACTCAGGCCCCGTCACAAAACAGAACATCGCACCCCTTCAGTCGACGACCAAGTCAAAGAAGCCGTTAAGTGGGTGCAGCTGGAATATGTGAAGAAATATCACGAAGCATAGTTCGTGTCGACGCCGTTTTGGTGTGCTGTTCAGGATGCGGAGTAATCAGGAAGATTACTTCGTAGGTGTGGCGAGGTGCATCTTCGCTGGTGAGTGGATGCTCCGAAGAGCCATGCGGGCGTGCGCTAAAATGGTGTTCGCGTAGCTTCAGCGCTTGTGCGTTATACCATCCTTGTTCTGATACTTTGAACGCTAAACATGTGTCGAATGGCCTGCTCGTTCTTCATGCTCGGTCTATCCCCCTGCTAGCCTCTAGACTTGTTCTCTCCAGTCTTGCTTTTCGAATGTCAACAATCTACGAGATAATTGTATTCATTTTCGTATGCTCGCTTTTTGGTTCAGAGCCTACACGCCATAACCAAATAACATTTGCCGCCGATATCTAGGCGCAGTTCGGCCAAATCAATCGCATTCAACACGCTATGGCTCCCCATGACAATGCCACTGTGAATAAAGTTATCTCGAGCTCGTAACCGCTCTATAAGCTTGTCCTCGAAGACTCCTGACCACGCTTATGCTTGACCGCTGTTGGAATCCGGAGACGCTGTGGCATGTAGGTCGTCCTCTTGCCCAAGGGAGTTCAGTCTGGAGTTCCGTATTCCCAACGATGGATAAATACACGTCGGGAATGAGGACCGATGTTGGGAATGAAGATGATAAAGCATAGCTCCCCGTTCGTCTCACCTTCCCTGCTCATCCTCGAACGCATATACTAACCTGTGTCTTCAGCTTCCACCGTTACCTCCTATCTTCAACCACTCCCTCCAACAGATACTCACGGTGATTAGCATCAAGGAGCACAATATTGCCTTGCTGTCGGCTTCCGAGATGACAAGCCGGTGTGGTGTCGGGAGCGCGCAGGATGTCTTGGAGTATATGGAGGTGAGCGACTTTTCACCTTAGTCTTCGTTGATCAGTTGCCGATATACCCCCCAAAGCCCTCTCAATTCGCCCCTATTCAAGGTCACCGTCCATCAATCCATCCATCCGTATCCTCTCATGCTAGCCTTCCGTCAACATTCTCACCGTAACCCTCGCTCCCAACCACGCCTATTCACCCCATCCAATCAGCCTAGCCTTCGAGACCGCCGGTATCTCCGTTGCTCGCCTTTACGCTCTGGAAATACCTCCTGGAACTTTCGACCTCTGGCGTATACTTCATCACGCACGCGCACATGTTTATTTCTCACCCTCCCTTCTTCTTTCCCCCAACCATTATTGACCACTACCACAAACTACGAACGCCGTCGCCGTACATAGACATAGACAAATTTATCCCTTCCGATATCGATGCACCCCAACAGGCTTCCACATCGGGGTGCACACAACGACATTCCACCTATAGGAAGAAGGGCGCACTATACTGCGTCCTTGAGCGCTATGCTCGACAGTGAAGAGAAGCCGAGGATCAGGAAGTCATTGAGGGTTCTCGGAGTAAGTCAATCCTTTCTTTCCGCCTCGTTGCCAGTTCAGTCAATTCGCTTTTTGAAGTTCGTGTAGTAAGCTGGTCTAGTTATGATAAATTGTAGTTCGCGTAAGCCTTATGCTCGTGGACGTGGTAGTGATGACGAGGTGAAAAGGTAGCGTGCTTGGGAATATGGGTCGTGCTGGGTGATGAAGACGGATTGACGATGGACTGTCAGGTACACATGTTGTAGCAAGCGACACGAAATCAAGGGTTGCTTTTATTCATGTACTTATACGCCAAGTACCGTGCAGTGACTCATGGGGCTCACTCGTTAGCAAGAAGAAATGTAATTGCAGTAGTACACGCGAATAATAGAGTGAAGTAGTGAAGCAGGCGTACTCGTACAAAACCCATCATGACGTTCGACCAACCGAATTATCGCCCAGTCCGACGCACTCCTACCCGACTTCCCATCCGAATCAACCCGGTTTAGCCCTACTCGCCCACCCGATCTCCAATCTCATCCAACCCCGCCGTCCCACCTGTCCCGCCCACCACTCGTACACGTACATCCTGTACCTTATTATCGAGAACATAACATCCTAACAAATCATCCCCGATCCAATCCGTTTCGCATCGTCTTCCTCCTTCTTCCTCTTCGCGATCTCCAATAACGCCCACGAGACGATCACCTCGTCCATTATATCTGCGCCTTCATTGAGTACTAGTTTCGCAGGTGTCGTGAAAGGAGGAGGTTTGGCGGACACGATGCGATCGGGAGTAGGAGGAGTTGGCATGTCCGGCTGAGAAGGAGAGTATTTGAGAAGTTGGGGGAGGACGATGCCGCATCCTGCAGAAGGGACGATGAAGGTTTGCGACGTAGGAACTCAATATGGAGTAGAAGTTTTGATATCTAAGCAAGGAGGGTGATGCACAAACCTGTTGTACAACCGTCGTCGTAGCTAGATGGCGGAGAGGAAGAGTATACGGTGAATAGGCCTTCGTTAGGCTTTGATTCCGTGCCGATATTAAAGAGGTTACGATTATTGGAAAGGTTTGGGCCGTCTCGTGCCCTAGTGGGTGGGACGAAGCGCGCGATGGGAGTGCCGGTGTTTGAGGTAGAGACGAGCTGTATTACAGGATGAGGATGAAATGAGGATAGCGATTCAGAGTACAGGATGGACTTACTTGTAGGTATAGTCCTGGATTGTTGTTCTTCCATTTGAACTCGCGGCCTTGGAGATCGTGGAACAATACCGTTCTATAATTGAGATATCGATTGAATAGGCGCTCGCTTGCTCTCGTGGTGGATAATTTTCTGCAATACGCACGCACGAAGAGAACGCTCACGTTTTGAAAGGGACGATATTCTTCCTCAACCACCTGCTCGCAGGCGCTCTCTCCTGTACTTTGCCAAACCCTGTCCTCTCAAACCTCAACATCTGTGCATCTAACCGCGGTTCTTTCCATCTCCAATCAGCAACTCTCTTCCCGATCTCGTCGTATACTGTCGTAGTAGGGACCTCTTTCTCGTCGAAGGTGGTGCAGATGCTGTAAATTCTATTCCCGTTTTCATCGAGCAAGGTTGTGTTGGCCGGATTATTGGGATTGAGAGTAAGGGTGATGATGGATTGGCAGATGTCCGGTGATATAGGTTGCATAGGGGGGGAGATGACTGGATTGTCGCGGGACCTGTAGTGCAATGGGAGCGGGTGGTGTTATTGGATAATATCTAAAGAGGGTAGAGGTAGAGGCGCTTTATAGTTGGGGAGATAAATCGGAAAATCAGGCCTATAGCGTCCCCCGACGCGTCTCGAGCGAGAACCAGACGACCTAGCTTGAGAATGCAACGGCCCTACAGTATAGCACGATGAAGCTCCGATGCTTCGCGAAAGCCAGGCTGATCAGCAGTCGGCCCAAACAACAATCGCAAGTAGGCCAAGAGCTTCAGGTCGTCGTAGTCGTGGTGCAATGCGGTACCTTCTACGATACCGTTATGATACTTGTTACCCATAGTACTACTGCGAGTGACGACTAGTAAGCTAGCTGTATCTCCAGAGAAGATGCTCGAGCTGTGGGAAGCGGACAGAGTCTGCCGACTGGCCGAGCTTCCGAGTGTAACCGCGTCGAAGAAGCGAGTACCATGAGGAAAGCCTATGGAGAGTCTTTTGCCTGGGCCCAAGAGCAGAGGAATTGACCATACGAAAAGAACCACAGCGTGAGGCTTGCACGCGTCTCTGTTCCGACGAAGCTGGGACCGGTCAAAGACTCCAATGATAGCCAGAGCAGTCGAGAATTTCTTGACGTTCAGAATGGATGCTCGCGAATAGGAAATTTACTTGCGAGGCTTTGTGGCCGAGTTGGTCAGTAATGTTTGCAGAAGAGTGGATACATAGCTGCAGTAATCAAGTCGAAAACGCGAGCACCTGAGCTAGCCGTTGATCTGGTTCGGAAGCTCGAGCAAAGCTTGAGTAGGGCCCGGGGCGCTAGCCCTGGGTAGCCCGGCCTACCGCCAAAGAAGTGGACGACGATGAGCACATATATTATCTACACATATATTATTGGGGTAGTGTAAATGATGCATCTCAGTGAGCTCCTTCAGATGAGGTCACGTCCATGCCACTGCCTGACCTGGGTCGGGAGATATTGGCCTCGCAAGATGCGAACATTCTCGAAGACCCCCAAAATCCGCTATAAATTTAATTCATTTATAATTCATTTAAATAATAATTGCCGATGCAATCTTCTTCAAAATAGCGCCCAGCGATGCGCTACGACTATACACAACTTTTGAATGCGATGTAGTGGTCGTTGGGTATGAGGACGCTCTTGTAGAGCCCCAAAACATAGCGTTTTTTGGCATTTGCACAAAACGGGGCTACCCGGGGCTAGCGCCCCGGGCCCTGCTTGAGTGCTCGTCGTCATCGGTGCCACACTTCGGGAGATTCCGGAGTTACACCGTGCGTGAGTGGCCCCGGCGCTTTCGTCTTCTCTCTCCTTCACTGGCCTCACCATCGCTTACCCCCTCGCGAGTGTGTCAGTCTAAGTCTCACAGGGTAGTCACGATAGCACCTCCTTGCAGTTCCGTCTTATGACCTGCGCATAAGTACGAAATAATTCCAATTATGGAGGTCATCGCAAGGATCAAAGCGTCAGGATCAACGACTCGGACGGCCTCGAGTACGAGTCTACGGTTTAGATATCGTCTTTGCTCACGACTTCGTAGACAAAATTTGCATCTGATCTCGGTATGCCCTCTTCTTCAACGTTAGACATCAAGATATAGACAATGTATTTGGTCCTGCTGCCTTAGAATATGATCAGATCCTCGCAGCTTGTATATGAAACAGAAAAATACAAAATACCCCAACGCACGCATAGAATACATCTGACACTACGATGCTCCACTGCTAGTTATCGTATGTCCCTTCATAAATGCACCGCCTGAAATCTCGCTCTCTCTCTTTCCTTTCTCCAATAGTGCCCACGAAACAATGACCAAGTCCATGATTTCTTCTGCCTGTTCATCCAGCAGAAGTTTGGCGGGTACGATGGGGGTAGAGCCTTTGGGGAGTTTGGGATCGATGATGGGCGAGATATATCGAGCCATTGGCACAGCAGTGTTCGTCGCGGAGGCAAGCTGAATAGGTAGAAGTGTTATGATATTGGCGGAAGACGAGGACGGAGAGAGGAAATATACCTGGAGATGTAGACCTGGCGCGTTGTTCTGCCACTGAAACTCGCGGCCTTTGAGATCCCGGAATGCAACGGTTCTGGAATCGCAACACCCACGCAACTGGTATTAATTTCACACTTCGCATAGACATAGTTCGAAATACTACTTACTGCTTGTACGGAATTAAGGTCTTCCTCAGCCATCCACTCGCCGTGCTCCTCTCCTTTCCATGCCCCCTCCATGTTCCACCCTCCTCCACTTCCACTGGTCCATTATCAACAGTCCCTACACCTGCACCCTCGAATCTCAGCATCTGTGAATCCAACCTCGACTCTTTCCATCTCCAATCAGCCACCAGTTTCCCTTGTTCGTTGAGTACACTAGTCGTCGGTATGGATTTCGCGTCAAACGTCGTGCTGATATTGTAGACTGTATCTCCAGATTCGTCGAGGATAGTTGTGTTGGCTGGGTTGTCAGGGTGAAGAGTGAGGGTTAGGACGGAGGAATATTCGTCGATGGATTTCGAGTCGTTCATGATTATTGATGGGGAAAAGGGAGTGATTGATGGGAGTGCGGTGTGGCCAAGCTCTGTAAATAAGCAGTTTTGGGCGTCTAACATCCGATCACAAGCACATGTAAATGACTCGCCTGGACAGCAATCGTGATGCAGAGAGAATGTATCCGGGCCTGCGGAGCACACCGCTACTTCAATCGGGCTTTTTGTCGCAGTTATGTTTCCTCTACGGTACAACGTAGAATTAAACTCACAGTAGCGTGGTCCGAACCTGTCGTTGCGCTATCCGCATGCTGGCAAGCAAATACCACTAGGAATGAGGGGCCGGCCAACCGAGGTAGTGACCCAGAATCGCCCATGGATGCAAGATCGGATGGAAGGCGGTCACGGTAGTCTCTGGAGCTACTTATGCTTGAAAGGGGGGGGATCTTCTACGTGCACGTAAATATGGGATCCTGACTCCGCAAATACGAGCTCGAGAGACGCGTGATTCAACGTCAATGTTTACTTCGGAGTGTTCAAATCGCAACACTCCGTTGTATGAAACCAAGTTAAGAGCTCGAATGCCAGAATGAAGGAGCTCTACGCCGCGATGAGACGGGCGCTGTTATCTTGACGCTAGCTTGAGAGGATCACTTACTCTGCCATAGGGGTACAAAACGAAGGTTAACAAGATCGCGTCCCACATATTAGTGTAGAGAGGGAAGAAAGCGGGTGGTGAGTGGCGGATGGCGCGAACTGGGACATTAAAAATTGCCTGTACTACTTGAATAAGTGACCGCCGAAAGGCTCGGAGACATGCATATTGATCTGCAGTTCGACAACATTGATACTCACAGGCTCGCGTTCACCCTCGAAGGTTCGTTCGAACTACAGCTTTGATGACTTAACCTTTTGAGTACTATGCTCCTGACTGTGGAGAGACTGATGCGACGGAGTAGATATGCGTGTTAGATACCGCACCTATAGGATTTCATGAACAAAATGTGGGAGCGAAAACTCGTAGTGTGGGAGTCTGGAGAAGTGAAAGGCAGAGCTCTACTAGCGAGCGTAGCCATTGCTCAGACTGACGGTATAGTCACTGCTGTACCAGCCCGAACTGAGATAACTCACAAGAAATGGTGTGCCGTATTTGTTGAAGTAGCCTAGTAAACAACGTCGGTTGTATCGCCTCAGTATCGACATGTCAGGAAGAAAGCGTCGTGACTATGGTCTCAGCGTCAATCGGCGAAGTCCGGAGCCTCGGTATAGAGTACGTCATCCTTCCTTGGGCTTTTGTTGCTCGCTCTCTCTTAACACCACTTCATCCACCACCTTGTATGTATGATGGCCGTACGTGAAATCAATCTTTCACGGTCTCAAGGCCCTGCGTGAATTATCTTCACCCTTGCTCAGGCTTCAATCAGTCCACTGCCTCGTTTCAACAGACGTGACTTACGGAGCCTAATTGCTTTCAAACCTGCTTTCTGCGTTCGCCTTTCTTGCTTGTGTAACCGCTCTATCGGACGTGCATGGTCATTTTTTCTGCCATGTTGATGCCGAAGGTACTTATTCAGTTAATCCATAGAAGAATTATTCTCGGCTGCTACGCTCGTCACTTCAGCGGGACTATTGCGGTAGAATCGCGGAGTTGCGCCTGCGACTCATCTTGCTCTGATCACGGACACGAGAATACTGTGAACACAAAACGGCTGCCGATGGCCAAGTCAGCGCATCCAGGTGCATTACCTTGTTCTCCGATCTCACAGTGCCGAATCACTTGACACTGCACATCTGCGTCCGTCCATGGTATGCCCCTCGAGTGCTGAGTCCAAACCTTGATGACGCCTTCTTCTCTCCGGGGAGTATGCAATGCTGTACTACTCTCAACACAGACTACCAACGTTTACTAACAGTTGCGCAACTTTGCTCTGTAGTGCTCTGTACAGGGTTTTGCGGCCCCGACAGCCTGCTTCGCATACCCAGGAAACTGCGGTTACTGTACACGTACTTTTGCGTGAGTTCTACTATTTCAAATGACTTTCTAGAGATGCCGATAGGCTGACTTCACTCTATTCTTGCTTCGTGAGGAACATGCTTGAGGTACGGCCTCGGCATTTACACTCCGCCTAGTCTTCGGGTTCTCAGTACCTCAACCATTCCCTTAGACGTATGCCGATTCCATTCACCAGGCTCATCAATACTTTCATGGAGTATTATTTGACGTATTTATCTGCCTTGACGGCTTAGCGCTCAAGGGATCGAGAAATCGCTCTGCCGCAATAATTCTGAATAGTTTTCTGCTCTCGGCAGGGCTCGGCCGGCCATGATCTGCTGATCACACCAGCCTAGATGCTTTTGCTCTCCTTTCTCGAATATACAGTGTATGCCTTCGAGGTCCATGCTCACACGTCGTTGACCACACCCAGCAGATTGTCTGCATCTGGGTGGTCGCATGGTCGTAGAGACCTACTTTTACGCTTATATATTCGCATGCCCTCGAGCATTCCTACGATGAAGAAGCCTGCCTAAAGGTTGAGTGTTAACAACCGAAGCCCTTGTGACCGCCTGTGGTGGCGCATCTATAACAGGGATAATTGAGCGAAGGGGTGACCAAACGCGCCAGATGCCTTGGCCCGTATTGACACATACAGGAAGTGACCCTAACAGCATGCCATCATCAAAAGGCACGCTGGGGCGACAGTCGTCGCTAATAGTTTTTGTATCTATGCGCTTTCTGCACTTCATGATACCCCATATGGTGATGATGAGTGATGCATTTGTGGACAGCTGTGGACTTCGACCTCGGCAGTGCTTCGCACAAGAATACTGCTTCCGTTGTCTCGGGTCCTCTGGAGGGCATGTGCAGATCTGCCAGCACAAGGTTTCTATAAAGTGTGCAGGTCGGATCGTCTTTCGCGATTCTGGTCTGGACGTCCCATCGTCAACTCCCCACGCGCCATAATGGCCACCCAAACAGATTCGCAAGCGATATTCTTCACCTTCAGTGTCGACATGCAAGGGCTCGCTTTCTCTATTGCTGCTGAGTCAGTAGTGTATGGTGAGTTCCTGTCGTATGCATTTTATCTGCAGTTCGGCGATTCAATCCTGGAAGGATGTCGACAGGTCTTTACGCGGTCCTTTTCATCTTGTCGTCGTGGTTCCTTCTGTGCGTTACAAGATTCTTTTATTGCCAATTAGTCACCTTACTTCCATATTGATAGCCGACGCAAACTTCGGGCTAGGGCCGACATCTTCATGTTCACGATCAATACCCTCATGTTCCTTTGCGCAACCGCTCACTGGGGGCTCGCACTTGCCTATGTGGCCAATATTGGCAAGTGGTACATCGAGGCCATTCAGGAGCCAGTCCCCTTTTCTACCATACCAAACTCTTCCCCAACGGACCGAATTGTGAACGCTATAAACAGCGCTTCGCAGCACGTATCGTTCGCAAACGTGAGTGTCCTCAGTTCACTCGATTGATTTAGCGTCTAAGTACGGGCCTATGTCGTGTCATAGTATGTGCTCAATGATATTGTCGTCATATGGAGGGCGTGGCTTGTCTCCGGTAGGAGGGCCAGGAGATGGATCATTGGTGTCGGAGTGTGCGCAATAGGTATGTATTGTTCTGATCTGCCTGAACCTCAAGCGCTCCAAGCTTTCGTTGAATTTATTCCGATTCGCCTTCATATTCTTCTCCTCGAAAACGTCCACCGTATCGTTTTAGTCGTCGAAGTCCCCCTCTTTCTTGTCGCAATGCAACTCCCTGATGCACCGTCTGTCGCAACTTCCAAGAAAGTACGGGTGTCCTTGATGGATCTCTTGACACCAATGTCCTACTTCATCACTCTACTCACGAATATTTGGGCAACCGCTATTGTCGCGCGAAAGGCGTGGTGAGTCCTTTTCTTTGGTTGTGGGATCTTTCTTTTAATACTAAAGCACGGGTCAGGATCCTTCGCCGGCAGCTGAAGCGGGCCTCGCTGCCTTTTGGGCGTGCATCCCCAGTAGGAAAAATTCTTATTCTACTTCTGGAGTCTGGCGGTCTGTACTGTATGGTCTGGGTAAGAATTTCTACTGCTTCCTGTAATCAAGCTGACAGATACGTACCTCTTATAGGCTTTATATTTGGCAATGTTTTCTGCGGATTTAGTGGAAACAGCTCCCTTCATCTATCCCTCCGCGTTGTCGATCATTTTCTTCTATATTCTAGGTATTTGTATGGTGTACTACGCGGTAAGTATATCGTCGATCCCAAGTTCACATACCAATTGACCAGACCGCCTCGTAGGGAATGTACCTTTCCATGGTCATCGTCCTGGTCTGTCTTCAGCGGACCTTCGGGGAGCATATCGTAATATATTCGAGGCCCAGCGACATCCCTACACCTCGGGGCCTAACTTTCCCTACCGACGATCGTCCTGCCTCCAATCACATTCGAAGCCGCATCGAATTTCAGCAACCGCATTCCATCGTCCGGATCTCTACCAACTTCTCTACGCCCGATCTAGAGTCAAATACGTGGCCAGCGCGGACGTCTATGACGTCGTCCCGTCATGGGGTATCGATGGATGGTGGTGCTGTCCAGTCACAGCTTGGGCCGGTGGTCGAACGGAATTCATATAGGGACTCGTCGTCAGAATGCCATAGTGCTGATGTCGTAGAAAAAAAGGAAGAACGCGGGTTCGCTGTTTAATATCTTCTTCCCCTTCTTTCCAAGCGTGTTAGCTAGGCTTTCGCTTGACGGTCGAACATGGCTCACAACGACTGTGACTGCCCGCCATCTACATTTCTGTCATACTCCTTCCTTCATCTGATAGGCTGGCTACAGTGCCGCGACTTGACTGCAGGTAGATCACCTCTACATAGCACATGAGTACAACAGGTTGTTTCGATATCCCGTATGAGGTTACGGTGACTTTTTTCCTCGATACCAGATCGCCTCACATTCTTTTGTTCTGAGGATCGTATCTTCATGCTCATTCGATCTGTATGTTGTACTTCACTATCCATACAGTTCGAGTATATCAGTATCCGCTTCAATCCTTTCTTCCGTATTCTAGTATAAGCACGACGAGCATACTTTAAGTTGGTACTTGGTAGACTTCTCCATTACGCCACAATCAGTGAGGAAGTTTAGAAGCCGAGCTCAGCTGCAAATTTGTGAACCTTGACTACTTACGGCTCCGACGACGCGAAGGAAGAGTCTTCGAAGGCATTGGGAGTTTATCCTTCAGGGTCCGAGTGTGTAGTACCGAATTATCCCCGACGATAATCGAGGAGGGGCATGAAGCTCGAGCAGTGGCCAAGCAAGAGGACTCAGGACGAATGCCTCGCTTTTATTTAAGGTGCGGAATAAGTATGTACTGTACCCAAAGACTCTAAGGCAAAATCGTTAGCCATCATCGGAGAAACTAGGCTATTTAAGTGACAGATGGTTGTTAGTACTGGTACAAGTTGGACACGGGTGACGAAGGAGGTTGACCTCGGGCGATCAAATTCGGAAATGTAACGGAAGCCAATAGCTTTGCGGCCCGGCGGTGCCGGCTGCCTCAGGCTGATTTTCAATCGTCGAACCTTGGGCGATGAACTGCGACGAACTCTACAGTACTGAATCTCTTTTTCGTCCAGGCTTCGTACCCCCCACAATCACTGAACTCTATCGCACAATTCACTTGCACAGGGTGTCTTCATAATGCGTTAGCATCTCATCTGTGATATACTAATCCCTTTTATGAGACCAAGAGCGATCGTTGTACTTACGACGAGGTCTTTTGTCCTCCGTCTCGGGTACAGTGACAGCTACATACCCACTACTGCAAGGATAGCGACTACTTACCTTGGGCGATCGGCACTGATCATGGATCACTATGGTCTGGAGAACGGATCGAAAGGACTCAGTCTACATAGCGCGATGCCATCTAAGTACGTCCACAAGTGGGCTGGTCTCTCTTCACCAGATTTTGAGTTGGTCCGACATCCATGTCGACGTCGACGGAGACTAATTATAAACGTTGGTATCATCTAGGTTCTGATAGGCTACAAGCCGCAAGTTTTATGTGCATATGTGCCTGGTTCTTATGCAGCCAACAACACGCGAGTCGTTCCATTACGCGCTGCCCGTTTCTGAACCTAGCAAGCTTCGCCATTCCGCAGACGATGAGCATACCCAATATAAGCGCCGGTGAGCGGACGTTGGCTGAGTAAAGCTTTCACACTATCGGCTAATGACTCGTGAGACCTACTATGTCCTAGACCCTTGGATTCTCTCGCTGACTGAGCAACTCTCGTGTACTGTTAAATATTCACTGTCATCAAGATGCCTCCCTCTCCCTCCTTGTCTCACTGTGTTTCCTCTTCGCCGCTGCTGACTGATCGTCCATCGGCGTTAGCTTCAACTCTGACGTTCTTAAAAGCAAGATATCGAAGTCGTAGCTTGTGCATCCTTCTCACCCACTAACAGTGTACCTCTAACTGCCTTGAACATGTCCAACCTCTTTTCCCCAATCAAGATCGGCGACATCACCCTCTCGCACCGTGTTGCACTCGCTGCTCTTGGTCGTTTCCGTTCCGACGCGTCGCACGTTCACTCAAGCGGTCACGGCTTCACGTACTATACCCAGCGCGCGACACCTGGTGGGCTCCTGATCACTGAGGCTACTCCTGTCCACCCTAGGGCTGGAGGTTACGCTCATAACTCTGCGATCACGACGGAGGCCCAGATCGCTGCGTGGAAGAAGGTCAGTTATTTCTCTTATCTCTTTATCTACCAATTCATCGTTCCTTCAGGTCTTACTAAGTTTTTCTCATCAATGACGATGTAAGTAGATCGTGGACGGGGTCCACGCGAAAGGCGGCTTCATTTTCATGCAAATATGGGCCATGGGACGTGCCGCTAGGCCAGACATACTCAAGGCCCAAGATCCGTCCTGGGACGTCGTCTCTGCCTCTCCATTATACTACCCCGAGACCGACACCATGCCCCGCGAGCTCACCATTCCCGAGATCCGCGAGTTCGTCGCATATCACGCCGAAGCCGCACACAACGCAGTCCATCTCGCCGGGTTCGACGGGGTCGAGATCCACGCTGGGAACGGATATTTGATAGACTCTTTTCTGAAGGACGTATCGAATTGGAGGACGGACGAGTACGGGGGGAGCATCGAAGCAAGGTGTCGGTTTGCGTTGGAGGTTATCGACGCGATAGTGAAGGAGGTAGGCGAGAAGAGGACGGGAATACGGTTGAGTCCATTCTTCAAGGGAAACCGTGCGTCTTCTCTTTCTCGGCGTCCTGTACGAACTGACATGGACGGTCCCACAGAGATGGACATACCCGATCCGGTCCCGACCTTCTCCCACCTCGTCTCCCGTATCGGCTCTCTCCACCCCAACCTCGCCTACATTCACTCGACAGAACCCCGCGTCGACGGCACATACGGCGTTGTCGACGACTTCCAGACTTTAGCACCCGATGTTGGCTCAGGCAACAACTTCATCCGTGAGCTCTGGGGTGAGAGGCCATTCCTTGTCGACGGTGGGTTCAAGGCGGATACGGCATTGTTGGATGCGGAGAAGCATCCGTGGGACGTGGTCGCGTTTGGGCGGATGTTCCTTGCGAATGTGAGTTCCGTCTGCTTTGCTGAAAGATACCCGCGTTTTGTCCAATTTTGGCTGGTGACGGGCTCTTCTCAATTTTGAGAGTCGATGCTGACGGATGGATCGTTCCAACAGCCTGATCTTCCGCGCAGGATAAAGGAGGGTATAGAGCTCAACGTGTACGACCGGTCAACGTTTTACACTCCAGAGACTCCAGTGGGGTACATCGACTACCCTTTCGCCGAAGAGGTGCAGGCGAAGCGGCAACCCAGCCAGACAGAAATTTGATGGTAGATATTTGAGAGTCTTGCATTTTGTCCGTCTTTCTCAAAATCGATGTTTTATTGTATCTGCCCTTTACACATACCTATGGCTGAGCGCTGTCTATGCATAACCGTGAATCCAGCTTGGTGAATCGATAGGAAGAAAAGGTTGATTATGGCTGGTACCTTCGAACGTAATGCATGATTATAACGAAGTCGAAAGTCGAGCGCACGGCCAACCTACCTCCCTCCTTGAGCTTTGGGAAACATTCTTAGAAGCGCCACATCGACCTGCCCCTGTCGTGCGCGCCGCCCCAATTCCACCTTCGCATGTTCTGCAACAAATATCAATGTTCGTCATCATGTCGACTGAAGTTACCGCTGGGTATCACCGCAACAGAAAGGGAGTACTCCTTGCGCTTGAACATTTCGACGGAGCGTTGGGCCAAAGATGAAAACAATAACATTCCTTGGTGGAAATACCGACATTGATAGTCAGTACATCGAGCAACAACGTAGTATACAGACAGTAGAAGCATAAGTAACGTAGCTGCGTAACCGTCCAATTATGAGCTAGCGTTCGATGAGAATGAGACGAGGCTTTAAGAACATGCAAGCAACACGTCTGGAGCAACGAGAATGATTCCATGCAACAACATCGCACTACCGCGACAGCCTTACCACTACACCACTGCATTTTGGACTGCACCTTCCCCGACTCGAACAAACGTTCAGTTCCCACCGACCAACGGTGCCCTCTCCTCATCCTCCAAGATCCCACCCCTCCTGCTCTTCGTGAAGATCCCGACCGCACTCCTGATGACCCACACCAACGCCAAGATCGCAAACACGAGCGAGCTCCAGTGTACGAAGCCGGAGGAGCGTTGCTGGGCGAAGATGGCGAAGAGGGACCAGGCGATGGCGATAGAGGCGGGGAGATCGCCTTCGGGAGAAGAGAAGGCGTAGGCTGCTGCGGTAGCTTCGAGGAAGAAGAGGGCGAGGAAGACGAAGACCTATACACGACAGAAATATGTGAGAATGCGGAGCGAAGGAATAGTAGTACTATAAGAGCGCAAAAACATACCTTAGTCCAAATGCCGGCCTTGTGGTCGAACGAGGAGACACCGAAGGCCTCGAACGCAGTCAAGACAACAAGGACGGTGGTCCAGCCGTGGTAAAGCGAGAAAGGCAAGTGGACAAAGAGCTCGTCGGGAACGGAGCTGGGCGAGTGATGCTTCTTGACGACGTAGTAGATGTGAGTCACAGCGGAGCTAACCAAGAGCGCGAAGATGAAGGCTGTGTATTCGGAGGCGAGTAACGGACAAATGGGAACAAGGGACGTGCGTCAGTTCGGGGTTATTCGGAACGAGTAATGGGGACAAATTGCGAATAGGCGATATGGAACGAGCTACTCACCGACAATGTAGTGGTGGCTGGCCCATAAGTTGACATATATCGCGTTGAGGACACCGAGGAGAGGAAGACGCCAGGAGATACCGTCAATGATGACGCGTTTGCCTTCGGGGAAGAACTGGTAGACGATGGTGCCGAGGAGGAGCAAGTGGATTAAGGACCTTCAGAAAAATAGACGCGTTTGATCAGACCGAAATGCACGCATGGTGACCGCGGATGGTGCAAGCGCACCAGATGAGGAACGCCCAGGGCGCTGGGGTGATGTAAGTCTCCTTGCCAGTGAAGTAGATATCATTGGGAGCTGCGACGGTGTACACGTTCGAGCCAAGGAATAGAAGATAGGTTATGATGTTTACAATCTAAATGTCGCGCAATGAGGAGGTCAGCGCCCCCATACCAGCCAACGAGATACAACGAACAGGGGCTCTCGAACGAGAACATACCTTGAGAAGGATGCCGTCGCTCCAGGAATCGTTGTCTGACATGTTGAGCAAAGAGTTGGAAGGGCGGGTCATGCACTAGAGAGTCGTCAACGTCGTCGTCGTCGTACTCGGCTGGTAAGAGTCGAGGGGAAAGGAGAACGTCAGGAGCAAGAGATGGCGCAAGGAGGGCGCGCTTTATGAACGGTTTTCCGCGCAGTCTCACGTGGTCGTTGCCCATGACGGTAGATGACGTCATCAAGCTCGCGTCAAATTCGCAGTCCAAGTCGACCGCCTTTCGCTCTTCTCCATCGTGCTCGACGTCCTCGACGCCCTCCTTGTCGCCGTGCTGCCCAGTACATGCTCAGTTTTCTCAGGCAATCTGGAGCTCACTGTGGGCAACAATTATTGGGCGGCTCATCCATGCCGAAGACGAAAGGGCCTTACGAATGATCATTCCATTGCATCGAGGCACGTTCCGATCACCATCCTTTCTCCAACTGTCCAACTGGTGACCGGCCCAGGCCCTTTTCTGTGTTCCCTCTCTCCTCTTTCCTGGATTCTGTCGCTCACGCCACAGAAATGAGCGAAGGCTTGACGACATTGGATTCTGCGCAGACGAGCACGAGCTGACTTCGAGGATACCGTATACGCATCTTTGGCCGGCTCCCCGCGCAATGATTATGGCATCTTCTTCGCCCTTCATCGTGTCCAGTTCCTCCTTCTCTAGATCCACCCTACCATGTCCAGCGACATCTACGGCGGAAGCGGAAGTGGAGATGCCCACGGGTAAGATCCTATTTGCTTTCCAAGCACTTTTTGTTAAACTCACTTCTTCCGCTCGTTAAAGTTTGCCTATCCGGAGGACCAAACCGTCCCGAGGTAGAGCCAGAGAACGAGGTTCGCGTCTTTGCTATATGCCGTTAAAATGTCCTCGAGGTTAATACGATCATGAACGTATCAGGAGACCATGACTCCTTCGTCTGATTCATCCTCCTCCTTCGCCCTGAGCGTGCTATCTCAATCCTCGAGCTCCTCCATAGCATCCTCAGCCGCGCTATGCGTGCCGTCTTCTGTCCTGCCTATAGAGGTGGCCATCGTTCAGACGCAATATACAGGTGCTCCACGACGGGTTCCGGCAGTCTTCTTCTTGACGGGCATGTTCGGACAGGAAATCAAACCTCATGTCAAGTCTAGTCCTTCGCAATCGGTAAGTTGTGGTCATTATTCTGGAAGGTAGGGTACACAGGCTGACTTTGCTCCGACAGAACCTCTTTCTTGCATCAGACAGCTCTCTGCCCTCTTTTATTCCCCACTCGAATGTGCACCCTGCGTCAGCGTTTTCCTCTTCAACCTCACCGACCAGTTCCTTCTCTATTGGTCAGCATGTATCCGAAATGTGCGGGAACTGGCGGAACACGGCCAGTGAGAACAACAAACCCACGTCAAAACCCTCACCTAACGGACAAGCTACTTCATTGTCCTCGAATGCCCATTTAAACAATACCGCCCGTTCCAAGCATGTCACGCAAACTCTGCACCAGACTAAATCCCAATCTGTACGTCCTCTCGATCTCGCAATGATGAGGAGCGTTGACTCACCAGATTCCTACGTTATGACAGAAACCTTCCGCCATCATTCATTCCAACAAACCCTCCGCATTCGCTACTCTTACGAACACCTCTGAATCTCTCTCGACATCGGCATTCGCATCGAACACTTCGCCTGTATCAAAATCGTCGACTCCTGCCAATGAGCAGCCCCTTCACACCAGCAATCTTAGGTCTCCGAGTCTCCGAGGCTCTACTTCGGGTATGATTAACACGCACGAGCTCAACGTAAGTGGTATTTCTATCTTAGGAAGCGTACGTTTCCCTGTTTACTCCTTCTTCAACCGATAGGCGTTGACGTCGTTATCCAGGATAGGTAAAAGAGCACATTCGTCTGCTTTCATGGATGAATATGTCTCGCCGGCTCCGCCGTTCAGTCTCATTGATCGTGTATGTTTTCATATCACCTATATGTATAACAGTGCAGGCTGCAACTCGCATCTTCCTTTCCATAGATCGAGCCTCGGGCTATGGAATCGACTACGCTACCAGCTCGCAAGCGTCCGCATTGCTTCACCGGCGCTAACACTGACAGTGGTACTGTGCCCTGGTCGAAAGTAATTTTGAATCGTGCTAGGACGGCTGCCGATGGCTTGTTGGACAGGATGAAACTCGATGACGACGTGAGTCTCTAATCTGACTCTGTGGTGCACTGGGGCTACATGTGGTGGTGGCCCTTGACATCTTGCGTTTTCATATTGTTTTCAGGGAGATGAAGAGGACGATATCGACCGCAATATTGTGAAGGCTGAGCAAAAAGAAGATATTCTCTCGTCGCCTGCGCCCTCTAGTCTTTACCAGGTCAACGAACAACGCATGGAAGATACGCAACTCAGGTGTTCTACCACTGTGAAGACGGAGACTGTTTACGATATCGGGCTACGTTCTTCTGCCTTTAGAACTTCGTCGAGGCGTAGATTCTGACTATCTTGGTCGCTCATCTCTCTTGGCGTCTGGTGTACTGTCTGGCTTTCCAACGTTCCTTGTCATCGTTACACACTATTCGGGATACTCACTTGATTCGTTCAGGCTCTTGTACTGTGGCTGGCTCGTCGTTTTTATAACCACCGTCCACATACTACATCTAGCCTATTTTGTCTTTCTCTTTGCCGCCGTTCCCTAGGCGAGGAACTCAGTATGGGCCGACATTATTGTACCCATGCCTCGGGCTCGACTACAGCTGTTGTGCTTCATGTTGACCGGGAAGATCATCGATCGTTAGTTTCAGCCGAACTAGATATGACGGCGCAAACTCAACAGAAGTAGTATACTCCATCAATTCCTCACTTTGTGTTACTTGGCACTGTTTGTGCGCCACACAACTTTTGTCTCTCCTTCGTCAGCTTTGTCAATGAATCTCTGTATCATAGCAGACCGACCGGCCGAATGAATGACTTGCTAACTACCATCACCCACGAGAGTCGGCTCCTCCTGCATGATAGCCTCCTTCCACAACCTCACCTCCGCAAACGCATCCACCTCCTCGCACGACCTCGGTGCGTTCTGTTCATTCTCTTTTTCATTCTCGTTTCATCTGGCACGGTACTACGGCGTCGCTTCCGAGATATATGTGTCGCTCTTCTCCATCATCCTTCGCACCCTCTCCCTCTTTCATCCTCCTCACCTTCGTCTTTAATCGATTTCATCCTTCGCACCACTCTTCATCCTTTGCACCCCTCCTACTTAGGTCGTCCACCACCTTAAGCTAACTAAACCCCCCCCCCCCCTCACATTCACAACAAATCCAAACAGATCCGCATTAATAAGCCTCCTCGGCACCAAACACGTCGTCGGCCAGATATAACGCAAGATCTTGAATATGAGAGAAGTGATTGGGGGGCAGCAGACTGTGCGCTTCTTTGTGTTCTTGTTTCTCTCTTAGATTTGTTTGGGATCCCTTCTGATATTCGTTTGCTTGGTATGACGATGGAAGGGGTGTTTGTGTTCGCGTTTCGTTTTCTTCGTCCCTCTCGGTTCTTCTTGGATCCTCGCGTTTCGTGTTTTCGTCTCCGTTTTTTTTCCTTCTTCGGTGTTCGAGATTGCTCCTGTGGTCGAGGTTCGTTCTACGCATTGCACGCGTCGCCTTTCGCCGCAGAAAGTCTTGAATCAGCCTCAGCACGCGCTCGAACCCAATCCGAACCGGACGTATTGTCATCGTCATCGTCATCGTCTCCAGTAAACCACTATCGTATCTGGTGAACGGCTATCCTCTTCGATTAACGGTCATCGTCTCTGGTGAACTGACATCGTCGGATAGCTGGCTCACTCTCTGGGCTGGATCGACGGCGGGTTGGATGACTGGCTTGGTGGCTTGCGTGCTGGCTTAGGCCGCCGGGCTGCATTTGCTGTGCATATGATCGTGTTTTTGTTTAAGTGTTCGGGCGTTCGTAGTCGCGCCTAGGCGTTCGGGCGGCCGAGCCTTTGAGCGTTCGTTCGAGACTCAAAGTTTGGCAGAAGCTCGGACTGCGGATGGGCCTTGCTCGGTATGAGACATCTAGCTTTTGCTTCGCCTCATACTTCGAGCTTTGTGCGATGTATAGGACATTGAGCCTTGGATCCATATACTACTCCGAGAAGAGCATCATTTCATTGATTGTTTAACCACCGACGCATACCTTCAACTGTTTTGTCCTTGTGCTGGTGCTAATGAGATATTCGTTCGGCCATGAGCCATTCCAGTCAAGCTCTCCGATGACGGCACTCATAAGCATACAGGCATACATCCATGCATGCGTCACCGCATGGTTTGTTCTGACTCTGGCCTCCTGATAGCGTGGGGCTGCAGTACGGGACAGTGATGGGTCGTGCTTTTGTTCATACTTTTGGTTTCGTTCGAGTTCTAGGTCATACCTCCGTTCTTCATTCTCGCCTCCGTTCTTTGTTGTTGCCTTCGTCATACTTAAGAGTAGTATCCAATCGTGGAGATTGTGCGAAGGTTCTGTTGCGGCGGTGAGGCCCATGGGCTGATGGAAGGACTAGATGAGGTCGGCTTTTGGGGTGGCGTGGCCTGAGAGCCTCACTGGGCTGTGTGCGTTGCTGTAAGGTAGAGGGTTGAACTTGGAAATATTCACTATCATGGACTTCGAGTGGTTGATATCATCGGAGATGGCCATTTCGTATTCGTGGGCAGCTTGCAGAGAAGACAAAAGGACTTGAATGTCAGTATTTGCACCATGAATCGCGGGTAGCATGCGAGAAGGATCGTTGAGAGAACAGCCGTGTTCTCCGGCACTGGTACAACACAGAATAAACGAACTTAGCATGTGCAGAGGAACAATAGTACGAAGGATGGTGATGAGCCGTAATTTGGCAGCGCTACTCTCTCCTTTCCTAAGCTGCATCTTGGACCCGTGGTTCTTTCGGACTCCGAACTCCATCCCTAGATTCATATGAAGAGCGAGAGCAGGCTCTTCCTTCGGCTTGTTCTGAATAGTCAGGTCACCGACATTGTGAATCATTACAAATTCAAATCAATCGGTGTGGTCTCACTTACGCTGGAATATATCCGCCATGCTCATGGTCATGATCACCTTTATGTCGGAGGTTGCCTTCGCTGATTCCCAAGTGCTTTCAGAAGTTTGCACGTCTTTGCTATTGAACCATTCACGGTCTGTATGTATACCTTGTGCCCGTTGTCAACTAGTCATATATCAACGTGAGTTCGAGTACAGAGTATGCCGGACATAAAGCAGGACCTCCACCTCTGGGAAAGAAACGCCTTGAATGCTTTTCTCTTGCATTCTTCTCTTCCCGCAACGCCTGCAAGTACTCCTTCGTACAGTCTGCGTAGGACGACTTTTGAACAGTAGTGAACCGAGAAATTTCCTATGGATTTGCTCTCCGCATCAGGCCTTGTGTGGCCTGTCAGAGACAACACTCGCATGACACGGATTCCGATTTTTTTGTGAAAAGGACTGTAATTTGGCTGTCGAAGACGACTGACGCCGTGACGGAATGAACTATCTCCCGCATTCGCTCAAGTCGGGTCTGCATTCCATGTCATCATTATACGAGGTCCTATACTGAAAGTGTTTGTCCACAGATAATGTTTCGCTCGTAACTATCGACTACGTTGGGCCTCGGTTGGACGCCTCACCCCATGACCTCGCTCATCAATCGCGCGACCACCCTCGCCTCGTCCGACAAGCCCCTATTCGCTCAATTGTCTGAGTTAGCGTCTAGCACGATGAACGCGCGGCGGTACGCCGACTCCAAGATCTTGATCTACATGTTTGCCCGTCAGCTTGCGAAACGTGTGGATGTGGAGTCTGGGAGCAGTAGTCGCGGGGTGGTGATCAACGATATGTGTCCTGGGATGGTGACGACGAGTATAGATAGGACGGTGCCGGCGTGGAGTACTCCTCTGGTGTGGCTCTTCAAAGGATGGCGAGCGCGGACAGCTGAGGAGGGCGGGAGGACGGTCGTGTATGCGGCCGCGGTAGTGGGGAAGGAAAGTCATGGAGAGTTCTTGGCCCATGAGAAGATTACGAGGTGAGCTGTGTTTTCTTTTATGGATGTATCATCAGCGGCTACGATGCGGAGTTGACTGGTCGGTGGATATTCTCGTATACAGAACGAAAGCCTTGGAGTTCATTGAGACTAAGGATGGGGCATCTATTGAAAAGAAGGTCTGGAAAGAGATATTAGGGTTAGCAGAGGAGGCGGCTCCGGGAAGTATCGAGGCAGCGGGACTTCATTAATCACCAAGTAGTTTATGTTCTTAGAATCTTTGATGCGTCTAAATCTCACTCGGCGTGCTTCCAACCCCCGAGACGATATCTGCCGTGTCAACGCTACCGCAAAGTCTGCACCAGTTTGCAAGGCGTTTCAGCGAGGGGGAATGATGGAGAGCAAAGGCTTACCATGATCCAATCGCGGTTCAAGTCTCGGGTCCAGGTCTTGGCTCCCTTGACCCATCGCATCGCTGAGTTCGAAGTGCAGCGAGCGGGATATTGACGGTTGGACCAGCGCATGCGAGGGCATTTTGGACAAGATTGCCTTCCTTACATCAAACGAAGGAATCATGCCCACCGAGCGAATCAGAATAGAGAAAGAAAAAGGGATGTTATATAGTCCGACCTCTTCAGATGAATACACGCAGCCGTCAACCGAGCCTCCCAACGTAGCGCATACGTTCCTCTTCAGTCCCGTCATTCTCACTCGGCGCTATGTTCCTTCTCCTTCCCTCCCTCCAGCCAGCTTCTCCACTCGACCATAACACGCTCCAGTTTCTCTCCAACCTTCCTCTCCTCGCCGTCCTCTCCATCCACAACCTCCAAAGGAGCCCCATAAACGCCCTCGCTCATGCCCCTCCTCAAAAACGGAACAAGCACCCTCACCCAAACCTCACCCGCCCGCCTAACCACGAATACCTCCTTCTCCCTCACTCCCTTCTCTGTCTCTGTCTCGTTGTCGTCTCCTTCTGCCCCGCTCAGTCCATCCTCGACGATCCTCACATAATTCAACAACACCTCCCCACTCGTCGCTAACGCCTCATCTAGATCCGATAGGAGTACCGGTAACAACGCAGCCGGAGCGAGCAACCTCCAAGAATTGAACGTCGTTAAAATCGCATTCACATAGACCGCGAGCGGAGGGTACGAAGTCAACATATGCGGCGGAACATGCGCCGGCGTCCCATCCAACACGTTCGCCTGAACCGCCTGCGGAACCTGTATCGCGCCTAGAGGGGTCGTCGAAACTAACCACGCGCTCGGCAATCTTCTCCCCTTCGTGCGCGTTCCCAACTGTGTCTCCCTCTGCACGAGCGTGACGAACTCCTCCGTCGCGCTCTTTAGCGCGGATTCGACGCTCCACCGGACGGTGTCCTCGAAGATCGGGCCTAACAGGCCTCTGAAGTCCAGGCCGATCCGGGAGAAGGAGGTGGCGCAGTAGGTGAGTTGGGTGAGGAGGGATGTGAGCGATGAGGGGTCTTGGATGTGAGGAAGAACTGTATGGAGGGTGGGGAGGAGGTGGGTGTGTATGGCGTTGGATGTGAAGGTCGGGAGGAGGGTGAGGATGAAGGTGGAGGGGGTTCGTGGTGAGGTCGAAGACGTGGGGGAGGAGAGAGTTGGGGTACTTGGGCGAAGGGGGAGTGGGGTAAGTGTTTTCGGTGGCGTTGACGTTCCGGTCGAAGTAGAAGAGGTAGAAGGTGTGAGGAAGATAGTCGAAAATTGGGTGACGACGTCATGTACGCCCTCCCTCCACATATCCATATACTTCTTGAGATATCTAACCCAGCCCTCCTTCCCGACACTCGCACCCACACCCAGGCCCACACCAACCTCACCCTCCATCCCCGCACCAACAGCCCTCAACGCTGCCTCCAAACACTCGCCCCTCCCACTCAAAAAAGCCACCGCCAATTCCTCTTCCCCTTCCTCCCCAACTCCGAACACCCCCATCTTCCTCAAAAAACCGACCGCCTTCCAAAGCGCCGGAAGCTTGACCCCCGGCTCCCTCAACGTCCCCACCAACCCTTGCACCAACCCCCTAATTGCCCCATCTACCTCAGCCTTCACATCCGCCACCACCCTCACGTCCGGGAACTTAAATGCGAGAGCGGCCGCGTGACAATGAAGATCGAGAGCCTCGGCGTAGAAGCCGTTCAGGATGCATGTCTCGGTGAGAAAGGGGGGTTCGAGGATGTCGTTTAGTTTTGAGGATTGGTCAAGCACGAGCGACGCCTTTTGGCGTTCCGATTGGACGTGTTTGATTTGGGTGGAGAATGATTTCGAGGAGGATTCGAGGGCGGGAAGTGTGTCTAGTAATGTTGAGAGGGAGGTGGAGAAGGTGTCGAGAGATGAGTGAAGGGAGGATGTTGAGGTGTGGAGCGAGAGGAAGGTGGGGTAGGAGGAAGTGCAGAGGGTCGTGAGGGCGTTGGTGAGTTGGGAGGAGGTGGACGAGAGCGAGGTGGGCTCCGAGAGGAGGGAAGGGAGGGGCAGAGTCGTTAGGTGGGAGAGGTAGGCAGATGTCAGGGTAGATTACAGGTCTATTGACCGTTTGGTGTTGGATGACGACGAAGAGGGTGTAGAAGCCGAGGGACCGCTGAGAAGTTCGACCAGGGAAGAGAGATCGGAGGTCGCGATGGATGAGTGTGATTGTCTTGTAGGCGAGATTGAGGGTATAGTTGTCATGGTCGCTAGAATAAACTTAATTATCAGCCCTAATATCGTGCACGTAAAGAGATCCAACAGAACGAAAAGAGGAGAGTACGGTGTAACCCTAGGTTGATGTGGCGCGCCACACTACCAACGGATTTCATGTAGGCTGTCAGGGCAACGCATAGCGGATCTCCTACAATTCCGGAGCTTTCTGGGTTTATAACCAATATATACAGCATAATCGTGACCGCAGAGACGAATGCAAAACGCATAATTACTGGCTTCGCAGACTGGACAGTCCTCTGCATCGGAATCTGCGAAACACGGAGTGCATCTCGAAGGGCGGTAACAATGACAGCGTTCGGAGAAGTCACACAGATCGTTCAAATCCAGTAGCCATTCAAAGGCTTAGAGTTGGTATAAGAAAAACACCGGCATGGGGATAGAGAACATTTGAGGCGTCATATGCCAGATTCTTAGCGTGGGCGCAGACATGGGTATGGCGGTGAGATGGCTGGGCCAGAATACATTGTAGACAGTATTGGAGTCTACGGTAGAAATTTTCGTAGGATCAATACGGTCAGTATTGGAGCAGATATTGGACGAACTTCTGGGGACGCACCGGTGGCCATGCACTGCTCACAAACACGCCAGATCTTGATCCGTCTCTCTCACTCATTCTTAGTTCATCTTGAGCGACATTGGGTAACCAGTCACCTCAAGCGTGCATATGATTCCAAACAAACAACGCAATACCGCGGATCTGTTCTACAGATTACTTCGCACACTTCAAACTCACCTTTTATGTTGCTCCGTGACCTGAGGGGTGTCAAACGAAATGGATGGCTACGCCGTCGGTACAGGTTTACAACAGATCGTTTTTGCGGAGAGTATAGAAGAGAACGTCGGGCGCACCTAGCAAATAATCATTCAATTCCCAACACTCAGTTGTCGTCGTTTCGAACAGCGATGAAGACAAACAAGATATCGGCGACGCGTCCCGCAAGCGCTCGTGATCACGTGGTTAGGTTATACTGTACGTCTCTGCAGTTAGGCGACGTCCCCTGTCCCCTGGCCTCTGTCGCGTCGCCTATTTTGAGTTTTGTCCCCACGCCACACAGACATGTCGTCTAAGTTCCCCCAAAGTGATACCGCGCCGTAAAAAAATCAAAACAAATCGAACTATATTCATTTACTCAGAGACTGCTTGGAAGGTCGAAAGAACAACGAGAATGTAGGTAAAAATACCGCAGACAACTCATTTGCGGGCTGGGATACGGATCGTCAACTTTGGTGCAACCTCCATCACGTCGTCGCTACCACCGTTTGTCCCCTCTGTTCCGTTCCTAGCCACCGTGGCTTTGCGTTTCTTCGTCGCGGGCTTTTTGGTCGAAGGTTCGACGGGCCCCATCTTCGTTGGCCGTTTCCTTTTACCGCCTGCTTTACCCCTCGCCTCGTCTGCTGTTTGGAAGACTGCCGGATTCGTACCTCCTCGGATAGCGATGTCTAAAAGAACAGGGAGCGCATTAGCGGGCGCTGCGACGTTTGTTGAAGTCGTGGTGGGTGCCACCAAGGAGGCGGCAGATGCTGCTGGTTGAATAAGTAAGTCACGGCAGTAGTTCTCGAGCTGAGTGGGGTCACAAAACGCAGACATACCGGCTGTGGTCGTGCTTGCAGATGGAGGATTGATTGGTTCAACCTATCAGAAAAATTATTGTAGGAAGATAAGGAGAAAGGAGACGATACAACGGCTTACAACGGTGGGTCCGGGATTGGATAGACCTTGGTCCGAGTCAGCAACGACGGCCGCGTCTTGGCGGCTCTCCCCAGTCTGATTGACATCGTGAGTCTGAGAAAACAGAATGCAGAAAATATCAGAATCAGAATAACTTTGTGAGAAGTGAAAGACCGACTCGGAGTTAAATAGGAAAAATGGACATACATTGTCTGAATTACTACCAGTGTCCGTACTAGCCTGTGACAGACTATGAAGGGCGGTGTCCTCGCTAACTTCTACCTCTTCAAAGTCAC